GGTCTCCAGGCGATACCCAAAATTTGACAGACAACACCTTCCTGAGAGTGGCTATATTGAATTGAAGAAAGCACATGATGCGCCGGACCTGGCCCTCCCTAACCCCGCCCTTTTAGATTGTCATTACAGACTTACAGAGATCCTGAACGCATCAGGGATGGCAAAAGTGATCGAGCGCAATTTCCGGGAATGGGAGGACCTCAAAGGCAGTGCTTGCAATTTACTCAGAGAGGATGGGGGTACGGATATTGGGCAGTTTTTACGCGCTGGCCTGTGGGAACGTGTGATCGGATAAAAACACAACGCTTTACCTTTGTACCCTTATGTATGTGACCAGGTGCCAGATCAGATCGAACGTGGACATGGACACACGTGACGCCATGGACTGTGCTAATGAGCAAGACGCTTGAAACGGCCGGATGTGCAGCCGTTCTTGGCCTTCTGCTCACCGTATCATCGTTAATAGGAGTATACGTTCATGAATATAGAGCACACAAAAACAATGCCTTAACTACAATGTAACCTACCTATCTTTCAACTGAAAATCTTTGAATAACGTGCTTATCAATAAGTTCATTTGATATAGTGATCTCACAGATTAACAAAAGACCTGAGTCTCACAGCAAGCCAAGAGACTTAGCCTCACCCTCGACAATCTCAGGGATAAGATCAATCAGCTTAGGCTTCTGTGGCGTCCACCCAAATAGCTTGCGCGCACGGATTGAGTTTCCACGGGAGTTGGAGCCCCAGGCATAGACTCCAGCAGAATTTAACTCACTCGTCTGTGCACCATCGAGAGACTCAACATTAGGAGAAGCAATAAGCTTCTTATCAAAAGCAGACTGCGCAACAGCGCGCTGGATATCACCCCATACAAAGGACCCATTCTCAGCAAGATAGTAACCCTCGCTATTCCAGGTAGCCTTGCCACCTCCCACTGAAGCTGCCTCGCCCAGAGCCAGGTAGACGTTACTCAGATCCTGGACATGAACCTGATGCCAGACGTTTTCGCCTTTTCCAACCAGGAAACCCTGCTTGCGCTTCAGCACTGCGGCACTGAGCCAGTAGGCTTGGATACTCTTTGTATTACCGGGGCCACGGCCAGGGCCATAGATAGTAGGTGGGCAGACGATTGCAACCTTCACACTCGCCGGGCTCTGCTGACCAGCTCCGAGGATGATCTCATCCACATTACGATGGAAGGCGTCGGATGGAAGGTTGACCAGCTCACTGACGCCCTCCCAGTCGTTGTACTCCTTAGGGCGCTCAATGCCGTATGTGCCAGCACGCTGGTCCTCGACTGTCAAGATACCAGTGCCGGAAGTATGAATCAGCCACAATGGACGCTCGGGGGTATGGTGCTGAGCACCCTTAGCAATGGCCTTGGCTGCGGCAACATGATCGCAATCAGCGAAGTCTGTGTTTAAGTTGTTAGCGACGTGATATCCTGATACTGATACATGAGCTTAAATAAACATACGGAAGACAATGTCTGCGTTCTTGACTTCCTCTTCGATCAACTCGGACGAGTCTAGATCACCGATCACAGTCCGAATCTTGGGGTATTTGCTGGTGACCTGTGTTGACTTGTCCTCGCTACGGACTAGAGCTGAGTATTCCCAGTCAGGGTGGGTGCTGGCAAGGGCAAACAACCCATCCCCGCCGATGTAGCCCGTGACGCCAGTTCTATGGGAACTTATCAGATTGGATGTTTATATTTACACCAGAATAACTTACAGAAAGACCTTGGGAGCCATTTTCGAAGGGAAAGAAATATTGCCCAGAAAAGCGAGTAAAGAAGAAGGTTCCGATGTCAATGAAGAAGTTGAAATGCTTTGAAATCAACTCCGAGTGCGCAGGTGGGGGATTGCAGCTCTTATAATGTATGTACCAATTAATAATCTATACGAGCACACCTAGTTAAACAGATTCATTGCCCCACATGATGTCAGAAGTATCCTGACATCTCAATCCAATTCCTGTATCCAACCTCTAATATTGACGATGGCCTCCGGCAGTTGCGCTTGTCATTATATCAGTTACACTGCCTCCACTCCCCCAACCTGCCTGGTCAATTGCCATTGCACAACCTGCCGCAAACAAGCCGGCGCACCCTATCAAACCTGGGCATTCTTCGCGACTGAAGATATCCAATGGCATATCAATCCCACAGAACGGCGATCGACCAACGTTGCTACGCGTAGCTTCTGTCCCCGATGCGGTTCGACTCTAAGTATGATCCAGCATCGTGATTTGAGGAGTATCGGAATTGCTGCGGGGACACTCGATGAGGGGAAGACGCAGATCCCGCTGCCAAGCCATCATATCTTTCTTAGTGAGAAGGCGTCTTGGTTTGAATTACCCAAGGATGGGGCAAAGAGGTGGGATAAATGGGGGGAATATGATAAATTGTAGCATTGGTGTGACTGGATAGCATTTGAGGGGCCTCATGTTCCCCAGATGCAGGGAATAGATATATTCATTCCGGCATTCCGAATGTCATAAAAAATAATTTGCAACTATCACTTTGAGACTTTGAATGGGTTAGAGAAAGAGATACTGATTGTTCACAGGCTTAGATAACATAACAGGACACGAAAAGGTTATAAGAGGAAGAACAAAGGGGAATCACAAATTCGTGCCGGGGCTACATATACAGTCTTGTTGCGTACTAAAATCCGATCAGAACGTGCTGGTGGCCAGTCGGCTGGCTGCATTGCGCGCATCAAGACGGTCATCGTCTTCCTCCGCAATAGACCCAACTTGACTGGAAGCTCGGTTGCGCCCTTTGCCAGAGCCCTGACCATTCACCTCATCATCATCATCAGGGAGCGAGGGGGCAGTGAAGCTGCCACTCATGCTACGTCCAATATTGTCATTGCGGCGAGGAACACCGCTCCATGAGTCACCCTTGGGACCCTGGCTCGAAGCCATGTTTGGCCGGCGCGTCGCTGGGTGGGATTCGCGACCCAGCCGGCTCAAACCACCGGACGCATCAATGGCACGGATATCGGGTCGGACACTCTCCAAGGTGGCCAGAGTACGACGCTCAGCTTCGATCTGGCGGAGCGTATACTCACGCAGGCTAAATAGAAGATCCTGAGTGGTGCGGTCAAACCAGCGGCGCTTCTCCTGGAGAAGATTTGACGTGACACGCTGGGTCCGCTTGGTTAAGTAGTCTTCATGGTTCTGAGCCTCCTCGAGAGCGTTGATCGCTTCGTCTACCTTATCGGGACGCACCGATGAGCTAACCTTCAAGCGGTCCGCCGAGGCACGTTTGCTCCGTGCAGTCTGTTGGGCCTGGAGTAGATCACGAAGGAGAATATGGCGGTTGGTCAGGGTTTCCTTCACAATGAAGGCGTCTGCAGAGTGGTAACTCAACGGTTCGCCGAGAGTAGTAGCCTCCGCGGTGGCCTGAACAGCGTGGTAGTCGCCAACAGTCTGAACAATTTTGCCAAGTTTACGGTAAGCGGCGCCCAAGCCGGGATGAGTCTCCTGGATGCTCATCTGACCGAGCTTCACGCCAAAATCGGCCTCAGCCAATCCAAGCCCTAAAACAGTCAGATTCAATCGGAACAAGATATAAGACTAGAACAGTTTGAAGCTCAATAACATACCACGACGGGCCTTGACCACTCGGTCGACCTTGTGGCTCGAATCCATTGATCCTAGGTAGAACATCTTCGCAGTTGGACGAGCAGCTTGCAACTCAGGTGTGTCATCTGGGGGCGGCGCGAACTGCTTCAACATTTTTCGTCGCACGCCTGTTGCCGGCTGTTTCATCTTCAGCACGGGGCTATATCCAAAGTCGCTCTCCACGAACAGCACAACCTCGTCGTCTTGGATAAGGACCTCATTGCTCAGCACAATATTGAGCCATCGCTGCATTGCTGATTTGATGCGAACCTCATCCTCCTCGGTGCCTGCACCGGCTGGTGTCACCGGCGATGGCACGGCAGGGACCAGAGCTTCCGGGTTGGCGGAGACTAGGTGGTCTGCGAGCTTGACAAATTCGGAATGGGTCCGACGTACATCACGGTACTGGGTGGTGCGGAACTTGGGGATATTGGTCTGGGTTCAAAGCAAACAGGAATTAGCTATGGCAGCGGCGTAAAATACTCAAAGGGGCAGACTAACGTGGACGTCAAAACGCAAGATTGGGTCTTTCTTCCCCGTCCTCTCCAGACCAGTTATTTTTCCTTGGATCCTATAGGCGGGGGCTGGAGGCCGTGGGTCTTGTCGTGCTCCGGTCTGATATTGTGCGGGGGTAGGAGATTGCTGTTGCTGGACGTTTGGAGACTGGTGCACACTGAATGGGGGATGCTCCTCGGGGTAGTCCGGGTCTCCTAATTGTGCGCTCTGCAGCTGCGCAGAGAGGTCTGGAGATTGGGGTTCTACATTGTGGCCCCTGTCAACATCCTCGGCCGATTGATTCTGGCTGGGTAAAGGGGAGGACGGGATGTCATTGTTGGAAGTGGGGAAGGTGCCTCGCTCAGCACGCGGTGAGGCCCAGGGTGAGGTACCGGTGGGATGATCAGGGTCGGCAGATATGGTAGAGTAGTCCATCTTGGTTGAAGGTGGGTGTAAGGATTATGTTCGCTGACAAGGGGGAGTGGCTGGTCATTGTAGGCGTCAGTGTTAAACGGCTGGAGATCCGACCCCCACAGCAACGGCCAGCTAGCTTCTAAAGGTACTTGAAAACCTACCTCGTGCAGCTTCAAACCGAGAGAGTAGCTGGGATTCGTTAAATTGACATAACAAAGAGAACAAAGAAGAGCAAGGGTATGAGCAAAAGGACCTGAGTCGTTAAAAAGAGGTAGGTGTCGGAGTCGGTTACGTATGGAGGAATGCGTGCGCCAAGCCTCGCGATCCCCCAGTCCGCTTTGCAGTCCGATTTTCTTTGCTCTAGAGCGCTCAGGGTTGCTCTTCCACTGTATCAATAATAACATACACCCAATGCTAACCTCAACCTAATTATCTATCCTTTTGTCCCATATTACATGAGCGCTTCCCCTTGGAATGGTCGTGGCTCCGTTGTTGCGTTTTCCCCCGGGGTGCGCTGTATGAGCTCTAATTTATATAAGAGCTATATTACGTGCAAAAATATATGTTCCTCCCTCCAAGGTCTTCGGTCCAATTACAGACAGCTCCAATGCTTTTCCACGACATCTGCATGCCAGGATGAAGCTCTGGACCGGACTCGGAACATCGGCATTATTGCTCACATCGATGCAGGCAAGACTACAACTACGGAGCGCATGCTGTTTTACAGTGGCTTCACACGGCGCATTGGTGATGTGGACGAAGGCTCAACAGTGACCGATTTCCTTCCCGCCGAGCGCGCACGCGGTATCACTATCCAGTCGGCCGCCATTACCTTCCATTGGCCACCTGGCGAGGTAAATGGAACCACAGGCCCCCAGGTTGGGTCGCAGAATGAGCCGACTCCGCGGTCTGCTTACCCGCATACTATCAATTTGATTGATACCCCTGGCCACGCAGACTTTACGTTCGAGGTCATGCGATCTCTGCGTATCCTCGACGGCGCTGTCTGTATATTAGATGGTGTTGCTGGTGTCGAAGCGCAGACAGAGAAAGTTTGGAACCAGGCAAGCACATATCGCATTCCACGAGTCATTTATGTGAATAAACTAGACCGTGACGGAGCCGCATTTGGTAGAACGGTGCGAGAAGTCAGTACTCGCTTGGGTGTTTATCCAGCAGTCTGCCAAATACCGTGGTTCCAAGGAGGAAATGGCCCTTTTATCGGGGTGGCAGATGCAATCCATCTTCAAGGACTACGATGGAAAGAAGGCGAGGATGGTCGCACTGTGAAAGTGGCTGACCTTCAGCAATTAGACGCAGAGGAGCCGACCCTGGCCGCAGAGCTGCGGCGGGCACGAATTGCCTTGATTGAGCTGCTTAGTGAGCACGACGAAGACATTGTCGAGAAATTCTTTGAATGTGAAGAAGATCATCTTGCTGTCTCGCCAGCTGATATCATTGAGGGCTTGCGCCGGTGCGTGTTGGACCAGACAAGTCAGATTGTCCCTCTATTTGCAGGTGCCAGTTTCCGGAACATGGGAGTTCAGCCGTTGCTGGATTCTATCGTGAATCTGCTCCCCAGTCCACCTGAAGCTCCCGACCCAGAGGTGAGCATTGGTGGTGTCAAAGGAGGTCTTCGGGACCTGCTGTCAGGAGACTTGATTGTGGAGCAAAGCGAGAAGGCGTCCTCGCAATCTAAAGGGAAACAACCAAAGAAAAAGCATGCCGCCTTGCAGACCAGCTCAAAAGATGCGATCAGCAAGCTTCAAAGTTGTGCACTGGCATTCAAAGTCGTCAACGACGCAAAGCGCGGAGTCCTTGTTTACGTACGGGTATATTCCGGCTCCTTGGATCGCAACAGCCTTCTCTACAACACAAACCTGCAGCTCTCCGAGCGCGCCCCACGTCTGCTGAAGATGTACGCCAACGATGCCGTGGAAGTGGACTCGATCCCTGCCGGCCACATTGGAGTCGTAGTCGGGCTCAAACAAACCCGGACAGGCGACACCCTCGTGTCCTACGCAGGGAACAAAGCCACCCCCCCGAGCCACTTACCACTCTCCAACTCCGACCAATTGCTGTTCCACCACCGGTATTCTTTACCAGCGTCGAGCCGCACAGCCTGAGCGAAGAGAAGCGTATGCATGAATCGCTTGCCCTTCTCCTCCGTGAAGACCCCAGTCTCCACGTCAATGTAGACGAAGAGTCCGGCCAAACGCTCTTAAGCGGCATGGGCGAACTGCATCTTGAAATTGCCCGTGATCGACTAATCAACGATCTCAAAGCCAAGGCCTCAATGGGCCGCATCGAGATCGGCTACCGAGAATCCGTACTTGGCACCTCCAACCCAATAACCAAGATCTTCGACAAGGAGATCGCCGGGCGGAAGGGTAAAGCAGGCTGCACAGCAGTCGTAGAGCCACTGGACGAAGACCTTAAGTCCGAAGCGGTAGACCAAGACACCCTTCTCGTCGAAACCTACGACGGTAACCAGATCATCGTCCGCGCTCCCGGTCTACAAATTGATCGCTCCTCCCGCAACGAAGAAGAAACCAGCCCATTCCTCCCGCCAGGCATGGAGCTCGTCACCTTCCGCACAGCACTGCAAAACGGAGCCATGGCAGCGTTTGCTCGCGGGCCTCAATTCACCTTCCCAATGCACAATACCCGCGTCACACTAACTATCGACCCGGCCGCCGACATTTTCGGCAACGAAACAACCGCCTCGGCCCTCTCATCCGCCGCACACCAAGCCACCGCCGCGGCGCTGCAAGATGTGCAGTTTGGCGCAGGAACAGCGATGATGGAGCCGGTGATGAATGTGATCATCAGTGTTGACGAGGCTAGTCTTGGCTCCGTCGTGCACGACATTTCCTCCTCGCGGGGTGGACATATCATTTCACTCGATGAGGAGGTACCGCTGTCAAACACGGACGCGTTGGGAACTTCTGCATCCACACTTGAAGAAGAGGCACCGCCGCCCATTGATCACAGCCGTGTCTATGCGCCGCCGGACCCGTTTGAGACACCTTCTATCGGCGTGGAGATTCCTGCTGCTGCGACTCGGCCGCGCACTATTATTGCAAAGGTGCCACTTAAGGAGATGGTTGGGTATCTCAAGCATTTGCGGAGCTTGACTGCTGGTCGAGGCACTTTTGTCATGAGTGTCGATCGGTTTGAGAAGATGTCTGGTCAGAGACAGAAGGTCGTGCTTGCGGAGTTGAGGGGCGGATTTTGATTGCGGACTCTTAGGCGTCAAGTCATTAGACGTCAGATTCAGCTAGGAATTTTCTTGTATATCATCACATCTCATAGTATCTCCTCACTGTACCAATATTGTTCTACTTTTCAGTCACCGTCTCGCCCGCCTCCCCCAATTGACAACAGGCCAAGCTAATATGAAGTAAATGGAGTATGCATGGTCTTCCCTTTTCCAAAAAGGAGACTGCAGCGAGATATATGTGTAGTGCAGATAGAGGGCAGAGTATGTAGACACGGAAAGACAACACGGGACATAAAAGTCATGGCACTAGAACAGCGGCCCACAAACAGATAACACCAAGCAAAACAAGACGCTTATATGCTACCAGTTATCATCCCATTCATCCTTGCCCTTACCCGTCGCGGAGGTCGTTGTATTCTTACCCTCTCCAGCGTCTGCACCAGACAAACCAGGCGTCGAGTTAGCCAGAGAGGTGGTGGGTCCCTTGCGCATGGCAGCGGTTCCAACAACGTCAGACCGTTGAGACCGTTGTGATGCGCTACGGCGGTGGCTAGATGTCTCTTGGTCGCCCATTGACGAGAAGTCGTCCCAGAACTCTCGGCGCTCAGGCTCGACGCGATTACGGCGTCCGTCGCCTCCTCTATCTTCCCCTTCAACAAACTTACTGAATTGGTCGGCAGCGCCGCGAACCCCTGTTTGCAAGTTCTGGCCTAATGTTGAAGCATGGACGCGGGCCTGGGCTGCAAATTCGGATTCGGCCAGCTGGGTATTCATGTCAGTACTTGTACCGAAAGAAAGTAGACATTATAAAGCTTCTCAAGCGAGGTCATGCACATACCTGTTTAGCTGTTGGCTGGAGATAAGCATCATTAACCTGTTTTGCGCTCTTGCCAACCGTCGATGTAAACCACCCAAATCCTTTGGTGATAGTGCCCATTGGATCTTTCTGGAGGTCTTCAAAGGGCTGTCCACCACCGCCACCACCCCAACCAAATCCCCCAAAGGGCGAAGAGCGCCGCTCACTTGCAGAGGGCGCAGGCATGCCACCCCCGAAACCTGTAAACTTTCCACCCTGTGAGGGCGGCAGGCTCTCGTCACGACCTGCATTATTATTGCCCAGCTTCGCAAAGTAAGCCTCGTTCTGCTCCTTCTTGCTGGGCACACCACCCCGCTGGCTGTCACCGGAGCGAATGGACGACCCCGCAGGCGACCCAGCCCGCACACCAGCACCAGCAGCACCGCCCAAGCTCAAGGGTGTGCTCGACCGCGAGGGATTATTCTTCTTCTCCTGGCCTTGGACGTACTCGCGACCGTCGACTTTGCACGCTAACCGCTCCTTCCATTCCTCGCCCGCGTCGCTTTCATATCGTTCCTTGATAGTCGAGTCTTCGAATGTACGGCCTTCAGAGATAGTGACTGGGTGTTCGTCGTAGAAGGACTTCCAGGGGTCATTGCCTCCCAGCTCCATGCGTTGGATCTCGGCGTTTTTGAAGGCGTCCATGGTGATCGAACGGACGAAAGAGATGTGCACACCTAGCCCGCGATGCGTGCCGGCGCAGTTGAGGCAGATGAATGTTCCAAATTTCGGGGAGGCCTGGTTAATGTGCCCATTGCAGGCAAAGAGTTAGCAGGGTGTGCGGTTGGCGGGGTTTGGGTATGGGTTGTTTAGGGTGCGATGGTGATAATGCTTCGCGAAGACAATGTTACGGCAATGGGCAAGAGGGGGAAGATAACGCATACCCATTGAGGCGATGGGGCACCGCAATCGCAGCACCTGTCATTTCCGTTCGTCTTGGAGATTTGGAGGAGCTGTGGCACATGTCTGTGTCAGTGACCATGGCGCGTTGCGGGATTTGATCTGGTAGCACACCTTTGTCCTCGTTTCCGGGTCGACCTCCCACATGCGAGACATAGTGAATATACAAAGGCGACCGGTGGGACTTTAGGAAAACGCAATCCAAATAACGGAGCTAGGATATTGCAGGGTTGACCGACTCGGCACCGCAACGTTGGGTGATTTACCCCTTTTTCTCGTTTCGATGTGGTTGCGGGGAGAATGAAACGTATTGAAGGAACGAAGCTAATGCAATTGGCTCGATGCTAAAATAAAATTGAATTGAAGAGATGTGAGACAAAGTGAGTTCTATGTTTTGCCTCTGGTCGGCAAGGCTCGGACTTCGCGTCATCCCAACCCAAATCGGGTACATCCACTATAAACAGGTCCATTGTATAACTAGGCATGGAGGGGCTACTCTTAAATCCAATATGCCGGGTGGCAGATCGTCATCATTTAGTAAATGTGTGCTAAGGTACAATACAGAAGGCGAAAAAAAAAAAAAAAAAAAGTCGTTAAGGACGGAGAGCACATCAGCAAAGATGGCTCTCCTGCATGGTCAACTGATCCATGTTGTCCGATAAAAGTCATGAATCCAACCCCTCTCTCCAATCTCCCCTGTAATCGTTGAGTAGCTAAGATATTCACGGTGATCTGTGGTTTGCAGAGCACCATGATCATATCAATACGATCCTCCGTTGAGTTTCCCCCCTTCTGTTTCTCAACCCCAAAGCCAATTAGCAAGTACCTCATTCGGTCGAGTGGAATTCGTTTGGCATTTAAGCCTTGGTGGTGACGGCAGGAGCAGCGTTCTCCTGGGCAGGGGCAGGGGCAGAATCGGTAGGAGCAGCCGCAGCCGCAGGAGCAGAAGCGGGAGCAGAAGTCTCCTCGGTCTCGGCCACAGCATTGATATCATCGTCTTCCTTACCGGGGCTGTCAATGGCAACCTTCACAGCGATGACGCGACCATCAATATCCTTGCCGTTCATCTCGCTGACAGCCTTGGCCTGGAGCTCCTCAGAGGCAAGGTTGACGAAGCCAAATCCACGGGTCTTGCGGCGCTCGTTGCGAGCCTGCAGCTTCTTGATCATGAATCGGGGGATGGGACGCAGAGCGACCTTGGCAGAGACGGGCTCGTAGGCGGCGAAGATCTCCTTCAGCTAAAGGGAGAAAGGGTTGTCAGTCAATGTAACCTCAGGCGGAGAAATGGCGGAAGAAAAGATGTAACCCACCTTGTCCTCAGTCAAGTCGTACGGCAGGTTGGCAACCATAACCTTGGTCTTGGAAGGAATGCCATCCTCAGGAGGACCGCGCTGCTTCTGGGGACGTGCGGCGCGGGCCTCGCTGGTCTTCGAGGCAGTGTCCTTGTCGTTTGTGGTCTCAGCAAGGGGGGTTTCGCCGGTTTCGCCGACAACAGCTTCGGTAGTGGCTTCCTGGCCATCCTGGGCCTTGGGTAGTGTCAGCATCCATTTCAGAGTGTCGATATGCGCGGATTCAAGCAAGGAAAGGGATTGGGCACATACAGCACGGCTACGGCCGGTGCGGCCACCACGACCACGGGCACGGCCACGGCCACGGCCGCGACCACCAGCACGCTTGCGGCCCTCAGCACCCTCACCGCCACTGGCAGCACCTTCCTTGGCCTCAGCAGGCTCGGGCTTGCGGGCAAGCTGCACGGACACCTTGCGCTGAAGAATCTCCTTGCCGGAAAGGGCCTCGATGGCGGCAGAAGCTTCAGCTGCAGTAGCAATATCCACAAATGCGTAGCCAACAGGGCGGTTGGTACGGGGGTTCACCGGGATCGAGGTGGTCTCGCTGAGAGATAAAATGCGTCAGAAAATGGTCCCATAAATGATGACTTCACAAGCATGAATGTTTGATGAAGGTGGAGTTATTTGAATGTAATCCACAAACACGGCAATTACTCACATGGTGTAGGTCTTGAAGAACTCCTTGAGCTCCTCCTCAGTGGTCGCGTATGCGAGGTTGCCGATGTAAAGACGGCGACCCTCATCTGCACTGGCAGCCGCGGCATCGGCAGCCTGGGTGGAAGGGGTAGCACCGTTTGTATCGGGCTTATCGGTCAGAGTGGTCGCAGCCACGGAGTCAGCAAGTGCGGCGACGTCAGACATCTTGAAGGTTGAGATGTTGAAGGATGAAAAGTGTCGGGTTGTTTATTTGCCTAAAGCTGAAAGAGACTTGACGGGAGGTGGAGCGAGGGAAGGAGCAGGGTAGCTTCGTGCCCTAGATACCAATTGAAAAGAGAAGATGGAATTGAAGTTTTTGATGCACTGGATCTTGAAGAGAGGGAGGAGGAGGATGGGAGAAGGAGATGGAAAGGGAAAGGAGAGGCGGTGTAGGACTAGCCCAGTGAGAGCTCGAAGGGACAGGTGCGATCGAAGGTACTTTCCTCGATCGTCCCATTAAGGGCCCTTGCTCCCTAATTCACCCCCCTAGGAGCCCCCAATTAACCCCCAATTACCCCCGAATTTTAGGCTATGAACCCCCGAATGCTCCCAAGAGTTAGCCCCGCTTTACTTGAAAGCCTGACTCATAACAGCTGGCCTGATGTCATTCTGGAGACCTTCTGAACCAATGATCGGTGAACACTTTTCCCCCTCCTTTCTATATAATCTCACTTTGTTATTCCATTGATTCATTTGATTCATCTCTTCTGTTCTACACTACATACTATCCAGACTCTACACATATGCATGATACCCGTGTGACATGTCCTAAAATAATCAAAGGATCTTTCACAGTTATCTCCACTTCATATCTCCGTGACTTCATGCACCTTCACGCACCTTCCCGCACCTTCAGATTCATCTTACATTGTAGAAAATAGTAAGCCTGAGTATACAACTGTCTATGGAGTATCGAATACTCTATACTAAATTTAATATTCAATCAACCTGATAATATCCTTGGAAATCTTATTCCAGGCTACGCAGGTGACACATAGTTGGTGACAGTATTGTTCCCTTACACAATATCACAGTTGTCTTACAAGAAAACCCCGTTCAAATTGAACTCGGATCCAGAATCAAACCTAGTTATTCCCTTTGGGCTCATGGCCATCACGTAATTGCCTCATCTACCTGGTTTGCGACAGTAGAGGACTGCTATGTTTGCCAACATTGGCCAATTCAACGTCAGAACGCTTCATGGCTAACTTCGGTTTACTATAATAGCACAGGTATCTGCTTTGCTGTACATTGCAGAGTCAGCCAAAAAAATCCTTGTTTTATTGTATGTTTTTAAGGAATTCATATTTTGACAAGAACCTTCACGATTGGACTGATATGGGCCTCTAGTGTACGACGTTGCGATAACCAATGTGACAATGATACATTTAAATAATTCAACCCCAAAATGATAGAATGACTTAATCCAAGTTTCCGACCCAAAACTGTTGATCACCATGATATGTTGTCAGGTACAATGTAGATCTACATGGGTTCTGATGACGTCCCATCCTGCCATCGCTGCATCGCGTAGACACCTTGACTTTCAGGCATTAACAATATAGCTTGGTACAGTCATAATCCAATTTGGGCAGTTTATTGGCCACAAAAGTCAGCACTTGCCACTGAATACAATTGGATCTCTTGACTTTCAACCTTGAAAAAGACATCAATCACCAGGAAAGGAGAGCAGAATAGAAACCTTGAAATGCAAACACATGAAGATCGACAGTTTAGCGTGATAAGAACGGACTGAACTCCACTACCTCGTCACTGCGGAAAGGGAAAAAAAACAAGATTCGGGTGCTGAGTCATCATTGGATTTAAACACCCCAAGAGATCCAGAACGTTCAGGACTGTTTTCCATGTGGATCAAAAGGGGAGTTTAAGCCCTTGGTTTACTTATATTTTCCTTTTGGTCTCGGGGCCCTCTTATATTGTGTGATATTCTCCTTCCGGGACTCGTCGCTCCAGCAATATGGATCGCATCGACCCGGTCGAGGACCACGCCTCTAATGCGAACTCTCGAGGGACCCAACCCACAGGGCAACCCACAGAGTCTGGCCCAGTCAGGCCAGCAGGCCCTGCCCCGTTGCGCACTCGAGGCGACTCACGGGCGCGACGACCGAGTATTCGCCTGTCTCGCTTCCCATCTATCCCTTCACTAGACAACGTTAATCAACTGCCTCAACCCGCGAGTCAAGGTCAACTGCCATTCGAACCGCAGCCGATCCAATCTCCTCCTCCCAATGAAGAGGACGAAGCATGGCTCGCAGGTCGGCGGCGCAGCAACTCGGAGCCTAATCCAGGACGATGGTCATCTCCCCCTCCTGATCTCTCACGAGTGGCGACTCCCATGCGAATGAAGCCTGTAACCGAGGAATCATCACACCAAAGTCCGACACCAACCTCTCCAGCGGCAATATTGCTCGGTCGAGAGATTCACTCCGACTCTGAGCAACTGGATCCGGAGCAAGTCCAGGCCCCTCCCGCACTAGCGCGACCGGCGGGTCGGCTTCGGCGAACTAGTCAAGCTGCGTTGAATCGCTTTACTCGGAACCGGGCAAGCACAGTTACAGGAGCTGCGCCCACTCTAAGCACACAGGAGGAGCAACGTCAAAATGAGTATGGATCTCACGTCGTTGACGTGTTAGACGTGATCGGTAAGCACCGGTGCCAATAGTGATACAAAAACTAGGATTTTTAACTTACCCGAATCTAGATCCCGAGGTCTCTGCGCTTTCTACTCTCACCAATGTCCAAAACTCTCTCTTCGTGCCGAATCTGGGCGGGTTCATCAATCGTATGCCCACCTATACGATTTCACGACCACAATATTCTTCGGATGAGGAACAGGGAACTACAACGGACGAGGGTGAACCGTCCAAGGGCGACATGACCACACAGCGGCCGACTTTAACACAGTTCCACTCATTCACGAGTATGTCCTCGGTGTTACGTGGGCCCAAGTATGCCGTTCTCCCAGAAGGGCATGGGCTAGAAGGATGGACCAGAGAAGACTTTGCCGAACTCAACGATCATGTTCGACATATGCTTCACTCTCGGCGATCCAAGTTCAAACGGTCCATGAAAGGATTTAAGCAGTACGTGCAGAAGCGTAAGTGACACTCCCCACCAAGACATTTTCGCTAGATACTAATTTCGCCTAGCCCTCGGCTTTCTTGTAACTCTCTACGCAACTTTGATTACCCTGTTCGGTTTGGCCTGGGTTCTTTTCTTGATTGGTGAGATCTCTTGCCCTGATGCTTTTTGGCTAGTATACTGACAGTCACTTCAGGTTGGATCAATGTCGGTGGTAAACAGAGTTATGTTATCAATGTCATAGATAACGTTTTGGTTGCCCTGTTCGCTATCATGGGTGATGGACTGGCTCCTTTCCGCGCTGTCGATACATATCACATGAGTTTCATTGCTCATTATACATTCTTATCCTGGAAGCTTCGTCGGAAGCGGGCCCTGCCAAGCCTCAAGGACAAGAATGATCTTCCATCGGTGCCGGAGAAGGACGTTGACGTTGAATGTGGTGACACAGTGAAGGAAGACGAACACGAATTTTCTGTTCTCGATGCTCGCCAACAGTTACGATTGATGCATCACCAGAATAAATTTGCAAAGTCGCATACTTTCTATAAACCGCACGAAACCATGACCCACCACGCCTTCCCCCTACGCTTGCTCATCGCTATTGTCGTCATTCTTGACTGTCACTCTTTGCTCCAAATGGCTCTTGGTGCCTGTACCTGGAGTATGGAGGACTACCATAAGCGCCCATTCGCTCTGACGACGGTTATCCTTTGCTGCTCCATCACCTGTAACATCACAGGTGGTGTGATGATCATGATTGGTGATCGACGAACCCGAAAGAAGGATGTTGTCGAACGGCTCTTCCGCCAAGAGCTGACCGAAGAAGCCATGAGAAAGATGGAAAAGAAGAAGATCAAGGAGGAGCGCCGCAGTGCCCAAATCGAGCGGTCTAGTGCACAGATTGAGCGGTCTAGTGCACAGATTGAGCGGTCTAGTGCTAAAAGTGACTGCCCAATGCCGTATAGCGGCACCTGATCACAGCAATATTCATGCACTTACGAACGTCACGACAGGGCTTTAGGAACGTTGGTCCAGCTGGACCAAAGCGTTTCTTTCTTTTGGCCCACCTGTACAGATTGCCAACTGATAATAATACTGTTTTTGGTCGTTGGTTTTATATATGCACCTATACGTACCGGATTTTCCCTGGTGGGTGGGGCTTTCCTATTTGAGCTGCCGCCGCTTTTATGAGGGTGTTCAGGCTCGGGCTCACTGAGTAGATGTCAGCACGGGCTCAGATTCATTGATCATGCTCAGATCACTCACGTGCAGAATGACTGATCCTCAGTAACTGCTCACTGATTAGTTACTCAGTGATGCTCAGTGCCTAGTTAATCAGTGAGTAACACTAATGCCCTCAGCACGCCGCAGGCTATACCCAGAAGGGATTATCCTCGCAGGTAGTTTATACTGTGATAGTTAGGTCGTTGATAGCATTACTGCTGCCCTCAATTTTTTTTCGAGCACTACATCCCACCACGGAAATACGCCATGACTAAGGGGCGCAGGAAAGCGCGGAGAACTCCGTCCGTTATCTCCCTCTGTCTTTTAATCGAGAGCGGCTCGAGCTTGAAGTCTTAGATATAAAAGCAGACCGTGTGCTAACATTAGTATGTAATTTTTCATACGCCTTCTATTTAAGAACTTTTTACCTAGTATCCTTAATATGATATCCCGTTCGTTTACTTTAAATATTAAGACGTAGTCCCAAGTGCTTGACGAAACGACGGAAAGTGGCTTCGTAAAGCCGCCTGCAGCTTGCAGTCATGTAGCAACGTATTCAAAGGTGACGTTGCCTGCGGTAACCTCTTATCGAAGGAAGTGATAGCGAACTGCAACATACTTTATACGAGCATGATACTCTGGGTTCTTTGCGAGAGTAATTGCGCCAGTATTATCAGCTTAGATGATAACTGACTTTCAGAGTAAACCAGTATGAACGGTCCCCTCCTTTTTCCACCAATTTATCTTAAGAAATCTTGTTTTTCCTTTTGACAAAAGGAGAACTCACTTCCCTCAACCAAGCGAAATGTCCGAAAAGACTCTCCGTCCCTCTTGCAAGCTGGAATTCAAATCATATCAAGATTGGAACAGCGACCGTCCATCACAGACCCTGATATTTCACAACAATGGCTCGTTATGGTGGATCAAAGTTGTCGTTGATTGGTCTCTGCCGGAATCGATACTGGATCTGGGCTATTTCCAACGCCGGTCCACGTTTCAAAGATTTATTGAAGCGATTGATTTCGGCCAACTGCAGCTTTTGGAGGATACTGTGACAATGATTACTCTAAGTTTGACTGAGCAGAGCCAAGACTCGATCACGATCCGGGATGGGTATCAAACCACAGCAAACTTTTTCATTACAGTTGCCCATCGAATGTGCTGCAAGATCACGGAAGATCCAAAGAGAGTCACGTACCCGACTTTAGACCGAGCCAGGTGTCTACCAACATTTGAGGCTAGTTGTCTGCAGAATGTTGAGGTTATTGCTCCAACAGTCTCCACGGTCTTAATCAATCAACACAAGTTTGCTTACAAAATGATCGACCGTCCTATATATGAGCCTGAAGACACGAATCATATCTTGGACGAGATCGATACCCTTGCACAACTCCGTGGAGAGCCAAACATCGCGCAATTAGTTGGGCTAGTTGTATCGGAGAACCCGTACAAGACCTGCATGTCAACCGATATGCCAGCAGTTATTACAGGATTCCTTCTTGAGTACTATCCCGGAGGGTCGCTTGAGCAAATCATTAATGAGGCCGAGGTCCAAAATGGTTCTTTGTTGTTGCAATGGGCTCTACAGATTGGAAGAGCATTAGAATCATTGCACAAGAGGGGCCGAAGTCATCTTGACGTCAAACCCTCAAATATTGTTTTTGATGCTAGGAAAAATGCCATCCTCATCGATATCAGTGGAACCGGGGGTTATATGTGGGAATGGCTCTCTCCGGAGATGCAGATGCTCATTCAACAAAACTGTGAGACAGCTCCTGCCAACACTTCATTTGAGGCACGGATTGCTACAGACTGCTGGGCTTATGGAAGATTACTCTCGACAATTGCTGAGAAAAGTGGCCCTGGTGCAGGTGAAAAGCTGCAATTAGTTGCTGATGATCTGACAAAGGCAGCCCTCGAAGCTCGCATTTTATTAGGCGACGCTCTTGAAAAGCTGCAAGAAAAGGACGACGAATAGTGGCCATAAGCTGAAACTAGCGAGGATTCGACCTATTTGATTTATTTATTGTCAATTGCATTTGTTGAGTCGCGCTCTATTGAAGAAATGAAATGGTAACTGTTCAACATGAAATTCTCTTGATCCTTGCCAGGTTGTGCAATCTCACGGTGGCTCGATGAATTTGTTCGAAGGAAACCAACAAACTTGAGGTTGAGAACGTTGGGCATTGAACATGGCCATTTAGAAGAGCAACCAAGGGCCTAGGTTCGCTCCCAATTTCATCATATTATGTGTGAAAAAATATAGCATATTTTACCACTAGACCACATAAAAACCAAGGTTATTATGGGGCCTAGAGGCGCCATATCTGACATTTGACAATGAACAATATGAACAATATGAACATCAATCTCTCGCACAACGAAAAATGTAAGAATATCATGAAATTAAGCGAAGGCTAGAGCCTCAAGTAGTGATAGTAACTTTCTCCCCAACCCATTTCCCCCCACCCTTAATGATCTCCTCGAAAATCCACTCCCCAACTAGAGCCCGTGAAATCGTATACCCAACAGCAGGATCCCTCTCCGTTCCAGCCCTCACTTTCTCCAGACCTGCCCCTTTGTCCCCTTCACAAACAGGAACCAGATGATCCCCTGTCAGAAGGCTGGGCCTCACAACAACAACTCCCGCCGCAAGCACACCAGCATGCCCCAACTCAACATCCTTATCGAGCAATTTCTCCATCTGCAGCTTATCCGCAAGCGGGATCGCCAAAAGCACAGAGTACAGAGGCCTTAACCAGAACGGCACATCTTTATTACCGGGCAAATGGCCCGTCGTCGAGATCACAGTGACCTCTGGCGCAACAGCACGATACGCCTCAAGGGAGGCGAACCGCTCAGAACTAATCTGCGCCAACGCCGCTAGCAGCGTGCTTGTCGTCTCTTCTGTAATATGCGGGTTCGAGAGCTCAATATGCGGCAACGCAGGCACGCGCATCTGAGTATTTGCGCATTTTGTTTCCTTGGTGAAGGAAATTGTCGGTGCGTCGCTGCTGCCTATGCCGGAAACTATGCTTGTGACGAGAGTACAAGCGCCATTGGATGTGTTGTCGGAGTTGGTGATGAGTGTTTTCGTGACGCTTTCTACATCTGTTGCGTCACCTTCGATTATCTCGAGCTGGCGAGAGAGAATCTCCTCTGTTATGCCATGCTGTGAGAGGAGTAGTGTCGTGAGTTTTGAGGGAGTGCGGGCTAGGGCTCTGGCCTTGTAGCCATTGAGGAGGGTGTGGGCCAGGCAGGCGTTGGTACAACCGCCGGTTGCTCCAAAAAATGCGATTGTTGTCATTTCACAGATTAGTGGTGTGTATAATCTAGAACTTAGATTGCAAAATATAGGTTGTAGATTGAGCTTGGGGTTTGCTTGTATTGCAGACCTTGAAATGGACTGTGATGGTGATGACAGAATCTCGAGGATACAAGGATCCTTTATACTAGTGATTGTATATACCATCCTTTCAATGGGCTGATATTGACTCTTGAAAATCTATCCGTCCCCGATTGAACCCGACAGTAAAGTGAGATTATAGTGTAGAAAGTGTGGTCGTGTAGTATAAGAGCGTACGCTAGGCTGGAGGTAGCTTAGTAGCGGACGAACAATCGGCCGATGCGGGCGAACTGCTCGGTTATAGTCGATAATATTGTTTAAGATATATAAATAGAAATAGGCACCGCATTTTAACTCTTCAAGTAAGCAGAAGCCATTTAAAGGGGTGAATATGGGTGGAATAACATCTGTATTTTGGGCGTTTTGCGTGAGATATATATTCACATCGACATTACAAGCAGATCATCAATATTGGGATCATTTCAAATCCTTATTTATGCTATGATCACGGAGTATCGTATCGAATTATATGCTTTTAGATATATCTATAGAGAACATTATCCGTTAATCCCACAAAGCCAAGCTCTAGATCTAAATATGGCATTAGTGAAAGGTAGAAATGAACAGCAACTTCTATTAATCTGTAGTCAGTCAGCTTTGCACAAGAGAAAGGTTTCATAGAAGTCCGAATATCTCGCCTAATACGTATACTTCTTTTTTTTACTAAGCTAATTTTCCATGGCTGGTAAGCTGCTCTAGTGTAGAGTGGTGTGGCAGTCTCTGACCGCTATTGCGCTAGTTCCATTTTTTTTGGAGTACATTTTGTCATATGAGTTGGCAGGTTCCAGGAAGCTCAGAAAATAACCTTTTGATTCCAACCAAGGTTGAGATTTAAGGCTCTTCTCGGGACCCACTTACCGCCATAGTTTGTCGAGACTGTGATATTTACTTCGCCATGACAGCTTGGCCGCTAACGGAATCGGAGATGGAGCCAAACCTTTATAGATATAGGCCCCAGGTTTACCATGCGGTTGCTAGGAAACGACAGCAAAGAAGTCAGGAACTCGATAGAGGGTACGAAAGAGCTAGGAGAGGAGAGCCTGCCATGTGGTGACGCAAGACCTACAGCTCCGATTTAATACAGTATCGGACCAGGAAGAGGGGGATTGAAGCTGTAAGATTTGTCGTGGCCAAAAATGATGGACTGCCCGAGCTCATGGCCTTGGCTATTGTGTTGCTGTTGCATTGCGGGTTATTGGGCAAGTTATAGGCCAGCGTATAAATACTAGCTCGAGTACCCGCGCAAGAAAATACTACATAGCTCAAATTACCAGCTAAGCTATGTCATTGCGTTTCACAGAGTTGGTTGTGGCTAGGGATTTATGAAGACATCTGTCCGACCTGGTTTTGATTTGTTGGAAGCACCACGATCATCTTCACCGAACATTTGAGCTTGATAGTAGGCATCCATATTCGTTGTCATCCATATTTTATGTAGCAGCGTCATTTTTATACCTAACTCACAGTGTCTTCGAGATCAGCAGTGATCGGAGGATCTCCCTTACAGCATCTAGCGCAAAACCTGATTGCAAATGCAGCTAAAATCGAACACATCGCCCCTCTGAGCGAGAGTCTTTACCCAATCGCGGCTGCTAATGCATATTGACTTTTGGACTGCATACAGAAAAAGGAAAACATTAAGAAGAGCATGTCTACCTTTTTGACTTTTCGCGTCGCATTATCCGCTTCAACTTTCACCCTCACACCAAGAATATCCCCAAGTCAGCGCGGTGGTTGAACCGGGTCATTAATCATGACTTGGTCGAAGCCATTTTTGAAGCTTCGCGACCAGCGACCGTGGCTGTTGCCATTGAGGTCCTCGCAATCCTTCATAGTGACGGCGATTTCTCTGTCAATGTTCACGGTATCTTCCCCAGTGTCCTAGCACCCAAACGAAATAAGCTCCAGCTAATTAAATTTCATATAGGATCTCTTTCTCTATGCTATGGTACATATATTCTGACCAAGACCCATGATCCTCACCTGACCACAGCAGATTGTCCCTGTCATGCCCCAGGCACTAGTCTCACGAGCTGGAGTAGCATTTGAAGATAGTACGAAAGCTTTACAAAGATAGATACTCATTTACTAATAGCTGTCTCTTTTGATAGGAGAGTATTGGAACAGCGTCCTCCTCATCTCTGAAGCCGTCTCGGCACTTGCATGCTGTCCGATACTTGGATACTTATCAGACGTCTCTGGAACACGACAGGGTCCATATCTATCTGGGCTGGTGTTACTATTTGCATCTATGGTCATTTTTGCAGCTTCACACTCAGTGACGTGGTATATCATCGCCAGAGTGCTTCAAGGTGCAGCAACGGCCATAGTTTCGGTAGCTGGTCTTTCAATTGTGACAGATGCAGTAGATAGAGCGAGTCTTGGGCAAATGATTGGATATCCTGGCACCGCCATGACACTGGGGTTTATATCTGGTCCACCACTGGGCGGACTGGTTTACGAAGTTGGAGGATTTCGTGCAGTTTTTGGTATGGCTTTCGGGATCATTGCTCTTGACTTCGTTCTTAGACTCGCTGTTGTCGAAAAGAGGATTGCCGAACGTTGGCTATGTCTCACTGATGGCGAGCGACCAAGTCAGGAGAACGGTTATATCCCTGAGCAGCCGCCATACGGAACCATGGGGACTATAACCAGTAACGGTCATACTGTCACGGAAATTTCTAGGAGTACATTTGCATTGGGCAAGCTTTCAAAGCAGCCACGGATTCTGATTAGCCTCTGGGCAGTTATTGTTGGGGCTCTTGTGGTCTCGGCATTCGATGCGGTATGAAATGCAGTCTTTTATGTTGGAATTGATTGGAATTTCACTGACAGTCCTATATAGGCACTCCCAGTCTTTGTGGAGAACACATTCCAGTGGAATGTTCTAGGCGCGGGTCTGATATTCTTGCCAGGTGCTTCAGTGGCTATTTTCCAACCATTCTTTGGTACGCCGAGATCATATCACCACACTTATTGCATGATTCTGACCTGCTTTCTAGGGGTTTTATCTGACCGGCTTGGATCAAGAGTGACTACATTCGCAAGCTTTGCCATTCTATCCCCGAGTCTGATTTGTCTTCGTTTCGTCGAGGGAAACTCACCATCTCACATAGCTCTTCTTTGTGTGATTTTGGGTGTTGTTGGCATGTGCATTGACTTGAGCGAGCCAGCCTTGGTAGTGGAGATGCAGCGTGTCCTGGATGACATGGAAGCTGGAGACCCCGGGATCTTTGGGGGAAGAAGTGCTGTGGCTCAAGCTTTTAGTTTAGAGAATATGGCACATTTCGGCGGTTTGGCATTAGGACCTATGGTAGGTGGGTTTGTGGAGTTCAAATACGGTTGGAAGGTTATGACTCTTGGGCTGGGAGTTCTTTCTGCGGTTACTGCTATACCTATGTTATGGCTCAGTGGTCCTATAGAAGAAGTCTCCTGGACTGAGTCTGCTGAGGAGGAGATGGAACGTGAACCCCTGCTGGCGGAGTAGCATGTGTCAGGCTGTGTATAGTAGTACAAACTTCTTTTTATCGCATTTATTTTGAGTGCATGACAAGCTCAGGTAGATTTAGTATTCTTTCGCATCACTGCAGGTGAAGTTTGGCCATCAGATCATTTGAGTATTTCGTGTTGACATAGAGGCCTTCCAATGTATGTAATCTTCTTGAAACATCCCTCTTGCCTCGTTCTGCTCTGTATCAATCCAGAAAACATGTTGTCCTTCGGCGATTTAATGGGGAAATATCATTCCGTATCGAGAACACAACTTGACAACCATGAGTAACGTTGAAGTAGTCATAGTCACACTAGTAGATAATGTACAAAAATGATGAGGGTCAAGGCAACCGAATTGCATTTTTAAGAAGGCGAGAAACCCCAGCTTGATATGAGGAGGGCGAAGGGTCCGGTGACTGTCAACATGAAACTTTTTGAGCGATTCCACAAATTACTGTCGAGCCTCTATACTACTACACGCACCCTGCTCCAATACCCTCATATCAGTGATGAAAACAAAGTTCAACCAAGCAGCTACGTCTTCCCAGCAGAGTCAGAGCGGCATGAAGCCACAATAATGGGGTTACCATCTCGATGTTCCCTACCCCGCGATCAGTATGATGCTATGTGCAATGAATTAGCTCAACTAGCGGCGGCGATCACTGAGTTCGAACCAGTTCGGCTGTACGTGAGGCCCGAAGAAATCCAACTGGCCGAGTCCTTAGTCAAGAATTTTGCGCAAGATATATCAAAAATATCCATTATCCCGTGTCCAATCAACCACTGCTGGGTACGCGACACAGGCCCAGTCTATGTACGGGACACGACAGGAGCGTTCCCAAATCAGCGGTTCGCAATCAACTTCCGGTTCAATGAATGGGGTGAGAAGAAACCCGAAGATGACGGAATCTGCTGGGGTCAGCGATGGCCCGTGATGAATGAGAAGGCACTGCAGGAGAACGGTGATTTCGCGCGGTGGGTAATCGAGCATGACTGGGAGCCCAGCCCCGTTACGCAGGTCGAGACTTCGATTCGCGCCGAGGGCGGTGGTCTCGTCACCGACGGCGAGGGAACCCTGCTTATCACAGAGAGTAGCATCGTATGTGATGTGCGCAACCCAGGGCTGTCCAAGGCCGAGATCGAGGCGGAGCTGAAGCGGGTGCTCGGGATCGAAAAAGTGATATGGTTCCCAGGGCGGCGCAATGTCGATATTACCGACGTGCACATGGACGCTGAGGCAAGGTTCGTGCGCCCTGGCGTCATCGCTTACTCCAAACCACATGCCATTGCGCCAGACTTGTGGAAGGAGCTGTCTACGGAGATACGGGATATTCTAGACCGTGAGACAGACGCTAAGGGTCGGCGCTTGCAGATCCACACCATTGAAGAACCCGACCCACGAGGCTTGGTGAAATCAGAACACGATGAACTGTCGGCCAGTTATGTGAATTTCTATTTTGTTAACGGGGGTCTGATAATACCTAGATTCGGCGATGGAGAGAGGGATCAAAAGGCCTTGGAAATGTTTCAGCAGTTGCTCCCTGAGCGGGTGATTCGGCAGGTGTATGCCAGCGCTATCCCTCTTACTGGTGGAGTGCTTCACTGCGTCACCCAGCAGGTCCCTGCAATGAAGTGAACCATTGAGAAGGATGGGGTAGTAAACTATTTTTGACTTCTCAGTCAATTTAAAAATAAGATCAAAGCTTTGTCAACATGCGTACACATTCAGGTCTGAGAGACCAATTCTTACTCGAACATTGCACAGCATATATGATATTGAATATGTGAATTCGCGGATATTCCATCGGTTATTCTGACTCTAACTAGTTTCTAGTTTGTGAAACTATGTTGTAAAGTCCTCGGGGGCTTGAGGAAGCTCTGGGGATTCTAATCCTACAGGGAAACAGCCTACGACTCTAGGGCAAGGTAATATTTTTAGTTTCCAAAGAAGCAAATACAGTAAATTCTAGAGAGCTCTCAAGTCCAACATGTCCAATGTGTAACAGTATAATTGCCCGGCAAAGCCGATAAGTACTAAGATCGCGGGCCCTAGCGGGATCTCTGAAAACGACTCTAAATGGGCTGGATTCTTTAGGGCTTCAGCTACGCCTCATCGACGGGAAATTGAGCGGTTCCTGCATAAACTTGAGAATTTCTATGACATAAAAAGTACTGCATGATTTTTCATTTCACCGAGAAATTAGATCTTAATACGGGGAATATCACCGCATCTCAGCTTTGTATTTTACAGCTACCGATTGGTCACACTACCCAGATATCTGTAGATATGACCTTGATGTACATGTGTGACGATGTTCTCTGGAGTTTCGCCATACTCTATATTCAGCTCGACGCCACCATCCCCATAATAACCACTGTTGCGCTGATCACATATACTCAATAACCTCGAATCGTGCAGAATTGGATCAATACGCCGATCTAGTCGCTAGTTGATGCAAGTCTTCATCCTATGCACATAACACATCACCTGTAAAGTCCTGAAAAAAACAGACCAACTTGTCTCAACGAGGATGTAATTGGCTCCCTCACAGATAAACTGGAGAAATGAGGCCTTGATCCCGTGTGACTTATTGCTTATTCCATCCCGTAAGATCCAACGTAATGCAGCGTCTTAATTGCGTGCAAGATTGTTTTTAATGGCGTTTCTTCACATTTTAGTTCGTCGATCGACTGCTCTCCACCATCATGGCTCTTCTCCCTGCTCGTGAAGCCGTGACCATTGGAAAAGTCATACATGCCACCGGATATCGAAATCTCCCGCCAGATGAGCTTGTGGATCTCGCGATTGAGAGTCACATTGCCCATGTAGTGAAACGCTCTTGTGTCGGTGGGGATGAATCATTCTTCATCGCCGATTTGGGCCAGATAAGTCGTCAGCATCGTCGTTGGATCCAGAATATGCCCGGAATACGACCGTATTATGGTATAAGTCTCCTCTATTATGGTTCCGTTTTCTGGATGTCATTGTGTAGAAAATTAACATTTTTCCGCAGCGGTTAAGTGCAATTGTGACCCAACCTTTCTCAAGGTTCTTGCAGGGTTGGGAACGGGGTTTGACTGCGCTTCCGTTGAAGAGATGCGCGCAGTTCTTAGCCTCGGCGTGGATCCAGCCCGGATTCTGTTCGCCAATCCATGCAAAGCACCCGCCGCGGTAGCTTTTGCACGCGAGGTTGGCGTCTTGCGAACAACGTTTGACAACATCGACGAATTGGATACCATCAAGGCACATATGCCAGAAGCTCAGCTGTTACTTCGTATCTATGCAAATGACGAGGGTGCTTTCATTTGCCTGGGCGAAAAATTTGGTGCGCAGTTGGATACGACCGAGGAGTTACTTTCAAGGGCTTGGGAGCTTGGACTGAATGTGATTGGCGTTAGCTTCCATGTTGGTAAGCACTTGGGCACTTCGAATTTCTGTTTAGCTGGTCAGATTTATTGACATTCGGACTATTAGGGACGGGTGCTACCAACCCGGCATCATTTTGCAAGGGCATCAAAGATGCACGTCTGGCGTTTTCACAAGCTGAACGCCTAGGGTTCCACCCCAAGATTCTCGATATCGGCGGCGGCTTTCAAGACGATGGCTTCGAGTCTATGGGTCCTGTTATTCGAGACGCAATTCAGTCGGAATTCCCAGCTGGTATCACAACGATCGCAGAACCAGGTCGGTTTTTGGCTCGCAGTGTGTATACTCTTGTATGTCGAGTGATTTCACGTCGCCGCCAGCTTGGGAGTGCTGCTCTATCTGGTGTTCCAGACATGCTTTATCAAAACGATGGCATATATGGGAACTTTATGAATGTGATCATGGAGAAAGAGATCATGGTTCCTTATTTGGTCAGCAAGAAGACCAGGAGTTTCTTGCATAAACCAAAATCAGGGGAAAGTGAGAAGACAAACGATGCTGTTCAAGTAACAAGTCATCGGTACTCGATCTGGGGACCTACATGTGACAGCACCGATTGTGTTGTGCGCGAGGTGACCCTTGATTCTGAAGTCAAGATTGGAGATTGGCTCAAATATAAAAACATGGGAGGTGAGTATTGTCATTCTATATTTGGAATTTCAACAGGGTTGACCGAGTCCCAGCATATACAAGTACCACTGCCACTCAGTTTAATGGCTTCAGCAGCACCTATGATACATTTTATGTCAACAGTGAAACGTTGTCTGGCTATTAGCCGGTGTTCTGGTGTTTTCGTTTTATTCCACGTTATAATGAGTAGTCGTGCCCAGGTAACTGACACCCTTGGGCATGTTGAAACGCCCTGGGTGCAACCGGGAAACATGTGGTTAGCAGGATTTAGATCGCTTACACGATCTCCTGAAAATTTCAAGTGTAAATCGATGAATAGCCTGCATTCATTCAGCATGAGCGCGCAGCCTCTTGCATATATCTATACCGAAAACCATAATATCCATAACTATAATAGTAGGATGGCTGAGCTCATCCAAAATAAAACAATAATCGCACGCTTAAAAAACAAACACCATACTTTCCAGGGGTTTTCCTATCACTCCAGGTGGAATGAAGACAGCAAAAAGGATATCAATCACGAGAAAAGAAAAAAAGGCCTCAAAGGAAGACATAAGAGAAATGCCAATATAATAGGCAAAAAGTGACAGAAATCGAAAGTATGTGAAAGAGAGAGAGGGTTTTGGACGAGGTTATACCTTCTCCATCCCGGACATCGAGACGTCGTCCTGAATCGCATTCTCCGGGAGAGACTGCTTGATATCCATGCCATAAGGTTGAGCGTCGGAAGGAGATTCGCCCTGCTTCTCTGGTATTTCGGATGAAGCTCCGTTCTCGGGTCGTTTCCGGCCAAGTCGTTCGCACCAGTGCTCAGCACTAACCAACGTGTCATTGACGACACCGCTGACTTGCGCCATCATGTCTAGACCCTCTTGGGCTAGCACCAGAATGCGATGAGCACTGACTGTGGCATCGGAGGAGGCAGCTGTGGAGTCTGGTGGGGGCTGCGATGTAGATGCAACCTGGAAGCGGTGCGGCAGAGACGTCAGGTGCCGACGCACTAGATGGCGGGCATTCTCTGGCAGAGCGCCTCCTGCATACTTGGAAACCACATCCACTACCTGTTTCAAGGTAGATAGCACATCGGCCTTGACCGCTTGGATGCGCTGGATAAGCAATGAGGCATTGTCTTGGCCACTTCCTCCTGCCTCGATATCCGACTGTGATTGTGATTTGTGGGCTTCCCACTCGTTGACAGCACTATGTAGTGCTACAATGGACTTGCCCAATCGACCGTTTGCCCATCGAAGCCAAGTCAGACAATATTGTAGACTTCGCAGAGATTCATCGCTCATGGCGACTCCGAGTCCAGACGTCGAGATAACCAGTCGGCTTTGCCATGTCGCCTCATTGCGTCTTCCTGGTTTCTCTTCGTAGTGAGGAGACCTTGTTTCGTCGTACGGGGGAAGCGATTCGGCCATGGAGAGATCGGACGAGCTCCGTGTTCGCGGCGGGTGAGCTGAGCCATCTGGTGCCTTCCCCCCGTTCATCGTTCTCGGTGACACATTCCCATCCATCTTTCGTCGCTTGGTGGTGTGTTTTGGGTCTTCGTTTGTAGAATCTCGTCGCTGTAGCGCCCAACGGAGACCGCTCTCGACACCAGTCTTGCGGCCCACCGTACCGACAGTGTTTGCGACAGGTGATCCAATATTGCGCTCAATGAACTCAGCACCGGACTTAAATCGCGGCGAGTATGATTTCGATGTGGCGTACGCAGAAACCGAGCCGTTGATAGCTGAGGAGATAAGGGGATGAGAAGAAGTCAGCAGAGACAATAGTGGCTCAGGCGGTGGTGGGTCCGGTGAAGTGATTGGAAGGGATTGTCGCGCTGTTCGAGGCGACTGTCCAAAATCTGATCAGATTAGCTGAATGTCCGTCGCACAGTCATCACAATCCAGCGCAAACCGCAGTTGCGACACTGTTAAGTGGGCTGGTTCAGCATATCAGAGAGCCACATACCGGAGCGAAGCCCTTCAAGGGCTTGTGCAGCTTCGAGATCATCCATCGATAATACACTGGCAGCTCGACGAGATCGATCTTCTTTATCGAGATCCATCACTGATGGATGGGCATTATGATAAGGCGCCGGAAGTGATGGGGCAAGGTTACTTGTAAGCGCGGAGGGGAACGAATTGGTCGAGGTCAGAGCTGTGGCGTTTACCCTTCCGACAGGTGGTTTCGGCCTAGCGGTTTTTGGAGGTTCCATGGCGGGTCACAGATCGTCCATAGAGAGAGAATAATGAACCCCAAAGACGTCGGAGTTTCGCATGCTATCGTCTTTCACGTGAAAAAGTGTCAGGCCACTAGTCCCAATTAGGAAGGAAGGAAGTGAGGTAATCACATTCCCACGGTACCTGCTCGGCCATATATTCCGCTATGGCCGTCCATGTACCTTTTCTCATCACATGTCAAATATTTGTCCCTCGCCCCAACAAACTCTGCATTCAGTCGCCCCTCAGCTTCGATCTTACCGAAAATGATTATTTACCTTTGATTCAATATGTAAAGTCTGAACCAATTGTGTCCTATGTAGCGCAGTTGCCTATCCATAAGGCTTTTCAATACTCAATCCTTACATTTGTCAACTGGTGTACCGCCCGAGTCCAATGTATACCCATCGCAACACATACTACGTGTATTACACGGATAAACAACATATTTGTCCCCTGGAGAAGTTCTTTATGGTCCTGGAAAAAGGCTCCATGAACCCCCTTATGTTCATATTTCCCTTTGTTTCCATTTTTATCATTGCCAATGTAACTCGACTAGTACCTCTGTGTGCGTGTACCCCAACATGCGCTAGGATGTGCTTGACAGGTCTAATACGAGAACGATTGTGAGCCAGTGCAATTCTAGTTAGCATGGTGTTTGGTTCGCTACGGAGTAAGCCGGTTGCACCTCTTTTTCTCCTACTCCGTACGTTGTACACAGGTAATGTACTATGTAGATTGACATTGTCCCGGAAGACCTTGCTCCGTCCTATCACATGTCTACATGAAAGGTGATTGATTGATTTTTTTGCCTGCGATTCCCATTTGTCGCTCTGTTTGCCGGTTAAAAGAGGTACTTACGAGACTGCTTTCTCTTCGCCAAGGGTATTAATGTATTTTAATACTTGGCACGGCAATCCGAATATAGTCTTTCAGCTCTTTCAATTTATAGGCCCAATCTTATATTTGTTGGGCCTATGCTTCCTGTTTCGGCTCAGTCAGATCGGCATGTGATGTGGGGGCGTTCTAGCAGTAGACATTTGACTAGGATGGACTCTCCTGCTTACAATATAGTATTTTTCCAGTCCGGTAGTTAATTTACAGCATCTAGGCAAAAGCCTGAGCTTCCGAGAAACGGATGATAGACTCAGCATTACTGGTCACCCCACTGCTCCATTCGCCGTGCTTTGCCAGCTCCGTCCTCACCGGACGGTCTGAGCTTCTGAAGCAGGGCTCGACAAACCACGGGGCTATTTGATCGGAGAACATCAAGGAAGTTGTTGTAAAGACTCTGCACACCATCACGGGTGAGCTTGGCAATATACTCCTTCAAATTCCCTCCATATTCCAGAATTGAAAGAAGCTGGATATTAAGGTCAACAGGGTGCAATGGCTTAGCCCAGTTAACTACGAACGTCAACTTCTCATCGTCATCCGGGTTAGCCCATTCCTGTGGGTGAAGGTGTATTTTCAACTGCGAGTCCGAGATCTGAATCCAAATATCATCGTCATTCATGGTAGTGATATTAGATCGGTGGCAATCAACCGTTCAGAGGCCCTTTGCGCCTGCTATTCTGCCCTAGAAGCAACTAGGTGTCGCGGTGGTTATTCCCAATTGATCACATTTTGGTTCACGAGAGTCCTCGTTATCAGAGCACATCCATTATTCATAATAGCCCGGGTTGGACCTTTTCTCAACCGAAGTACTTGTGTTGGCTTCACTGTAAATGTCGCAAATGTCTTCGACAAGCTCAAAGAGATACGCTGAAAGGGCTTGCAATTGCGTTGATTCGCATTCTCAATTTTGGGCATATACCATTTCAGTAAAGCATCTACGCTCATCGGAGTATAGCTGTCACTTTGCTGTCGAGGGGCCACCACCGGTGGTACCCGAGGCCCATGATCAAAGCCATTACCATCAATGGCGAAGATTTTGACCCAAAATCGAGGCTCACCCTTAGCTTTCCGCTTGGTCTTTACTTCCTCGACATAGAAAGCTCACCATATCCGTCTGAGGTAATTATGATCATTCCGTGTGAGCCAGGAAGAAACACTCTCGCGAAAGACCGATGGGTAAGAAGGTTGTTACTGATGGCTGGGAGGCCGATCCAGGACTGGAACAGTAAGAGCTAGGAATCTATCCGATCCAAGTTCTTCGGTGAAATTGACAGGTCCGCTCTGGCTTGAGCGGGTTGAGTTTCAATTTGAAAACACCCGGCTCGGCCTCGTCACACCAGTCCAAGTCTCCCGACAGTACGATCACCTCTGAATGCTTATCTGATTTGAAATCACCAATAGCAACATCCCAGGTCCGACACGGCGATCTCTGGGACGGATAACCATAACGTCGACCAAGCCCACTGACCCATGACTAAAAGTTATCTTGAGTATTGAAGTTAACACGGTGACTGGGAGGGTAACCTGACCAATTGGGGGGGGGTTGGATGGCGATCGGATAGATACAGGGTTCCTCGCGGGTGATTGGGCGACCCCTGAAGTCTTTTCTGGCGACGGAGTGCTCATCAAGCTCCTCGTCGGAGGGGGCATATTACCTTGAGGCTTAGTTTAGCGACCACTTTCCTAGGGATAGATTGGTGGAATCCTTGGCCTTGTTCTGGTTGTGCCTTTGCTGGCGGAGGAAACGTTGCCGAATACTACGCCGGTGAAATGACGCTCTCTTGGGTCTTTTCAGACGACTGAATGGGTCCATGCCTTCTTCCGGGTGATGGGCGAACTTGAAATTCTGCCGGCGACGCAATTGCTATCGACCCCCGTGTAGGAGACTGAATCGCCCGATGGCTATTGACCGGCAAGCTTGCAGCCCCAGAACTCATTGGAGGCCCTCGAAAGCTGCTTGTGCCATCTGAGGAAATTGTAAACTTCCGTCCCCATTCTTCCCCAAAGGGGACTGAACTAACACAGACTCCTCCACTGGGGAATTTGGTGCGGTGTGGAAGTTTTCGTTTTCGTCTTCATCTTCATCATCATACCTCTGTTTCTTTGGTGATAAGCCCTTGGCATTTCCAAAGGAATTTGCGGCTACCTTTTTTTTCGTTTTTGCAACACGACCATTCGCCAGAAGATATTCCTCATCATCCATGAGCTTCAGCAAGTGGTTCATGCACACATCCTTCTCGGGGCCGGTGAGCGAGAGTGGGATGAGGTTCTTAAACCAGAATGCCTTCGTCTTCTGACTCGCCCATCTTGGCAATTCCTTACTACTCCATATACGGAGGAGTTCTACGAGTGGTTGCTGTGCAAAGCCATGGAGGGAACTGTTTACCGGCGCTAACTTCGGGTAGATGCTATTAGCGTCCCCCACCTGACGTGTCACTGTGATAACTATACAATTTTACATTAGTTTCTAGGTCTACTAGGAATTGTGAGATGTATGTTGTCTAAAACATAGTGGATGAATGGGATTGGAGCTGGAGCTAGTACCTAAATGTAGGTACGGAATAGACATGAGAAAGTATCAGACGATAATTGCTTTCGCCCCCCCCCCCCCCGAATGGTCAACAAAGATGGTCAATAATCCTTGATTCCCCAAGGTTAGTTCCTAATTCTTAGTAGTCAAGGACCAGGTTGAGCCTTGGACCAACGGCTGCCATCACAATCGGTTTCGTTCAGTCGTGTGCCCCCCCTCTCATTGCCCAGGTCAATCTTATCTGTCCATAGGTCAGCCTCTTTGGGGTCAACACGTTTACTGTGGACGGCAAACTTGTAGCCAACTATCAAGGCCACGTAGAGAGGGATGCTGATGTACGACGCAATGAAAGATTTGACGTCGAATTTCCGAACGCCCGAATCAAAGCTGAAGGAATCAAAGACAATGGCAACAGATATGAACAAGCAGAGAATGAGAGCTAAATATGTCCCAGCCAGACCAAAGCGAGCTCTAAAAGCTAGAGCTTTGTCAGGAATGCCTTGAGCGTTTCGTGCTCGCACAAAAGATATGTGGGTGACGAGAATGGAAATCCATGTGAGCAGCCCGAGCATTGTGACCATGTCAACAAAGTATCCGAAGACGACAGTTGAGTCTTGGTGGACATTGAGATATGCCAATGTTGCAGTTGACGAGCACACAGCCAGAGCATAGATCGGGACGCCTCTCCTGGTAGTGTGTGATAGGAAAGCAGGGGCCCGGTGCTTCACTGCGAGGTCGCACATTGCCTTAGTTGCCAGGTAGAGATCGTAGTTCGCGATTGACAGGACGAATAACAGTATGCATGCATTCAACAAGTCCGGTAGCACGGCGATGCCTGCCAAATACAGAGCTGCAACAAATGCCGATGCGGCAGCCTCGTGGGAGGACGGGCTAGAAAATGCCACAGACGCCGAGCCCTGGGGGACGATCATACCAAGAAGAGTGATGGCTAAAAGATGGAAAACCATAATTCGATAGAAGGTATTTTGAATAGCCCTCGAAGTAGCCTTTTGAACGTTCGGGAAGTGAGCCATGCCAGATCGCTCGCTTCCGACGTACGCAAACGTGGCAGATGACATAGTCGAACAGGTTATGTAGAACTTTTCTAGCAACCCGTGATCACGATGGGGGTGAGCGCCGAAACCACCGGGATACGACCAATATCGAAACCCTTTTAGGTCTTGATCCGGTCCCCCTCCCAGAGCAATAACGGTGGAAAGTATCATGAGTCCAAGCATGACGACAAGCTTGAATGAAGAGATATAGAACTCGATAATGCTCGGGAGGCGGTGATTGATGAAGTTGAGAATCACAATAACCGAAAGGAAAACCGTGATCCAAATACCAGGATTGACTCGCTCAGCATCCACCCAATAAGAGACTACCAGCGCTGCAGCTGTGAGCTGGTTGGGTGTGACAACAGCATATTTCAGCCAAAATCTGGCTACGAGATCAGAAAAGGACTAAATTGGATGTAGCCCTCTTCGCGAAAATGAACTTACATCCAACCCAAGCTAAATCCAAGCGCAGGATGACAAAATCGAACAGCCTGATCTGCAACGGTATACGGTTTTGGTAGCCATGAACCCACCTCACCCAAGGCAGAGAGGATGAGGTAAACCGCGAATCCGACGATGGCATAGGAGATTATTATAGCTGCCGGCTATAACAGATCAATATCTTCGTACATGGGCTTCCTCGGAAATACTTACGCCGCTCCTGTGTTGGACAACGTCGTTCAGCATAGAAGAAATCCGCTTATCATCAGGAACGAATCTTACATGGACAATGCTCTTCCAGTACCAACCATCAAGCCCGTTCCAATCGCCGATCCAATGGCTGCAGACCTGTGTTAGAATGTAGGTCCCCATACAAGGTAGGGGGTACAGACTGATTATGCTGATTTGACGGGGTGTCAATGACCCGTATATATCGGTGAAGCCCAGTGCATGTTCGTTCTGATGAGCTTCGGGGGCAGTTTGTGGGGTCGTTGGCCCAGCGCTGATGGGCCCAAGTTCGCAGGCAGAGGACCGCGATCCCGGTCGACGTCGCGGAAACATTTCCTATGGTGTATCTTTTAAAAAAAGATACGAATCTCTGGATGTCGAGGTTATGCAAAAAGCAAATGAGTTAAGTACGAATCAAAGATCAGAGATCGAGTGAACCGCCCAGGGTGGAACCCGAGGAGCTTGGGATGGTTATGCAAGTGCGAGTATGGGAAAGAACGAGACACAACTGGTGGGATCACAGATCATTGGGATATATTTTCTATATGCAGAAATCCCATCATGGGACAGTCGAGATATAATGGCATAAACAAAAAAATATAGGGGCATTTCCCATGCCAGCTCTAAGGATTGCCACCAAGCCCATCGAGGAGGCACCAAAGTAGCCAGCGTCTATCAAAACGGCCATAGAATCAAAAACGCCCAAAAGGTCGACACCCCCCAAAAAAAAGCACCAGTCGGTTGCATACTGAGTTCCATGGCCCCATCACATGGGGTCAGAGGGGGAGGAGAGAGATATCATAAGTCTTTGTCAAATATTCCCAAATGGCAGCGGTTCGGAACCAGCGTCTGTGTCGAACAGTCGCTCCCTGGGTGAGGCGGAGGGGTAACGCGAGATACGTAAAAAAGGGGTTCCTATTAATCAATTCATCGCGACATGAGCGAGTCGCTCGACTCGGTGCGAGGGAAGATGCGCGTGTAGAGGGAATCGCTGGACTCGGTGCGCGGGAAGTGTCGTTGGTGCTTCCGTGAGATCACGCGATCGGTGTAGATACCCTTTGCCGAGCCACGAATAACCGACTCGAGATATTCGCGGAAATCCGTGGGTTTGAATTCGGGGTACAGGTCCTGGGTGGTGTGGTAGCCGAGATACTTGGCGTACTCGGGGTTGTTGTCGCCTCGGATTCCCCAAGACAGCTGATATTCGGCCAGGTACCGCGGAATGAACTTGATCGGGTCGAAGGGGTAGGTTTCACTAGCTTGTCGGGCGGCCACAACTCTGCTGCAGATGGTTTCTTCGGGAACCTGTGCTCCGGAAAAAGAAAAAATCGGTTAGCCACATTGACTTATTCCGAGCCGGGAGAGTCTGTGCGACTTACGTAGTTACGATCGACCTTCTCCTCGCTGAGTTCCTCCATGAGCTCGTAGATCTTGTTTTGCGACGAGACCAGGTTGTAGGCGAGGATCTTCTTGTTCAGAGTGCGGGGGTCGGAGATGATCATAGCCATGTAGCGACCGATGTCTCGCAAGTCGGTCAGTGCGGTGGGCATGTTGCCATCGCCAATAATTTCATCGTTGCCGGACGTCATGGCATAGTCGACGCGCCCGGAGGGGAGGCGGGGGTAGGCCAGCTGGTACCACCAGCCGACATCGACGATGGTGTAGGGAAGCCACAGTTGACGAATCTGGTTGTAGACAATTTCTTTCTATAGATAGCAAAGGTCTGGTCAGTCCACTGACCAAAGCACCGTAGAACGTTCCACATACCTCGTCACGCAACCACATGATACCACCCGGTGGGCAAACGGTGATGAAACCACATGGAATGAATCGCTTCACGCCGGTCTTCTTGGCTGCCTTGGCAAGAGGGATCTGGTCCTGTTGTTCGGCCGGGCCGACACAGCTGATAACCACATCAATTCCAGCCAACGCCTCGATGAGCTGCTCCTCTGGGGCCTTCAAGTCGCACTTCCGAATCTGACATCCCCGATCCACGAGGCGCGTGATAGCTGGTTTTTGGGCCGAGATAGGGCGAACAAGAGCGATAACCTCCTATTGGGACAAAAACGAAACAATTAGTCTAGGGGTCAATTGATAGAAGCTGGGCTGCATACAAAGTTACCGGTATCCAACAGTCCGTTGGCGATAGAACCTCCGGTTTCACCCGCTGCTCCGACCAGCAAGACCTTAGTAGTCATAATTATTCAGTTTATTCAAAAAGGCAGTAAGAGGTAAAGAGTATGGAGGGGGAAAGTCCAAAGAGGTGGGAGAAAGAGAAGGGGATTGGGTAACAGGTTTAGGACCTGACGACGTTATAAATTCCCAAAGGCTCAACCCACTTTCTCATCCGCAGCAGTGGGTCGGTGGATGTTCGTTCCCCTCGTTTGAGGGGGAGTTTTTTTTTTTTTTTTTTTGTCATTATTCCTTACTACATGCATACCAGTACATATTTTAGTTTTCTATTCGGTTTATTAGGTTGTAATTCTAGTATATATACATAGTATGGAAACCTTTCTTCTTCACGGGCCGGTGATTCGGGAACCCCCCTTCGTCGGCGACATTACGTCATACGGCTTCCCGGTCAAAGGAACATGGGATAATAATGATGTGTGCGGTCAAAAGAATATTCATAAAGTAGACATTTGGGATATCTCTGATTCTTCAGGCCTGCCAATTAGTCGGTCCCGAAAGTAAGACCGTACCAACCCTTTATACCCCCTTCGTGCAGAATCTTGAATACCCACGTCACAAATCCCGATCTACGTGGTCACAGCTCTGAGAGTCAGGTTTCACTCGTAGACAAATGACGAAGTGGCAAGGATTAGTCAGGATCAGGGTTTCATTGGTGGCGCAGCGCCCTTGGAATAAAAAATGGGGCTTTAGGAGGGCTTTGAGGCACCAATCATAGAGGATTCAGGGCGAATTCCACGGTTGCTTATATGTTGGATAGTACGCCAACACATGGGCCCCGAGCAACTAATTGCTTGTGACCTCCCAAGACCGAGCCTTAGGGGTTGATGGTAACCTTGTAAGAGCCAAGGACAGCCACAACCGGAAGATCTGTGCCTGGCGTATTCCCCCCTCCTTTGCCTTTTCAACCTTTGGAACACATTTAATTTTCGTCTTGATCTCTAATTTTGGTGGGGTAAGGTTGCTCGAGTTTGGGGATTCTTCCTAACAAAGTAACCAAGGGGGAAGATCTCAGCTCCCGTCAGGTCATCGCGGGGGAATGCAGCATGGGCCTAAGCATAATGATGTTCTGGGCCCGAAATGTCATCACGCCGAAAGATTGATCGTCGTTATGGGCGGCTAGTCGAAATCGCGAAAATACTGGGGAATTGGAGAACTAGGGGGCAAAGACAATTTCAGAAATTCAATTTCCCTCCCTTCGGGCTTACTAAATAATATGCATGCAGACAATGCCTCATAGCAGATCGACCCCAGCTTGGGGTCAGGCTGCTTTCATTTCAGCCGTTACTAATCCAAACTAGGTACGGAGTAAGCATTGACGTCTTCGAAGCGACAGAGGATTTCCGTACTGCACGTGAGCATCGATGTAGATTCATATAGAGACGTCGGCATACCTTCTACAATAGGCCACTCTAACAGAATCATCCTTGAAAGGTCTATATTAGTATTCCGGTCAGACTGATGATTTGATGGGGGCTTAGAATGTAAAAAGGCAGCTTAGGAGTAACTTGATTATTTAGTATTACAATAATTCTTCGAGCTCTTCCTATGAACCTTTGGGATCTACACTCATTCTACGCTGACCCCAACAATTGGTCTCTCTTCTCTTTCGACAGGAATCCAACCACCACACTCTATGTCAGTCATTGTGCTTCATTTGGAGTCTCTTACTCATGCGGTAGTACGCATGTACTTTCAATTATTATCAGATTACTGAATTTCTTGTTAACTTCACTTGTCGCATAATGTCACATTTCCACGGCTCCACACTTGTAGACCCCGAGATGTAGGGGTATGCCGGAGCCGTGGCGAAATTGACAAGGGCTAGTATATTTGGCTATTATAGACACAAACATGTCTCATCCCTATCTCTCTTGATTCTCTGCATAATCTCTCCTTTGGTTTCACCTCTCTCCTACTACTCCCTCACTCACATCGATATCTGACCCACACAGATCATGGGTCTCCCAAATCCATATATATATGTACACATCATATTTATATGCAGTCCTATCCGTTTTATCCAGGATTAGAAATTTTCAAATATAGTGGAAATACTAGAAGCCCTTGATCTTCTTTTTAAAAAAAACCCTCAAATGGGTATATATCATGCAATCCATCGTCCACTCGTCACACATTTATAGCGTCTAAACAGGCTTCATAATTGGCACCTTGTATCTCTGAAATACGCACAATCTCCTTCTCTGTTAGACCCGGTTGACATGACTCATACTTGCAAGTCCTAACATGCGCGCCCTGGAACGAAATTTTGACTGTCCGTGTCCTCTGCTTTTCCCTCTCATCCTTGATCTTCGCCCACCGGGCCTTGACTTCTGCGAGGTGTTTCTCTCGCTTTATTTCCCCCATACGCCATGCTGCAATCTGGTGGCCGATAGAATTGCTCGGCTCATGCACCCATCCCACACCCCAGTCGGGGAATTCCGCAAATGCTGTCTCATCTGAGACAGCAGTCTCCCACTCCCAGTGCTTCAGCCCCCTAATATCATCTTTCGAGCGGCATAGATTCAGGATACTTCGGGGAGCGAGGTAGTGTTGGCGAATATGGAAGTCCACTTGGTAGTGGGCGAAAAGAACGGTGGCTTCATCCACTGGCTTGCCCGATTCAGCCTCGGCCTTCTTGAGAATGGCATCAATCTTGCCGTAATAATGTTGCTGTTGGGAAGGGGTGATATCGTCCCACATTGTGGCGTTGTTATTTTGGTAAGCCCCTAAGTTTGTGTCAAAGGGGGATATATTTTCGTCTGGTACGCTTTTGCTGACGAAGAAAGGCGGGTATTCCGATGTGATGTACGAGCCTGCAGCAATGTCTGCATTCATCATGTATGGAATAATGTGCAGATGCCTGCATTGAGTGCATTCGAGGGCTTCCTGTAGAGCGGCATTTTGCGGTGACTTGGATTTATTAGCAAAGGGACCGCATAAAAACTCTGTGCCAGTGAAGTACTGTACAATATTTTCCTTGACAGCTTCTGTCCAGTTTTTCCTTGACGCACATTTGCGCTTGGTAACACGGTTCTTAGCTCCTGGTGTGGAAACCCTCATAGCGGCTGGTTGCAGAAGTACACACATGGTATGGTTGAAGTGATGGTTGGAATAAGGTATAGGTGAAGACTTTTGATTTGATTGAGGAATGGGAAGGGTGTGAGAGAATGGTGATGCAGTTTGGCGTGCACTTATATAATGTATGAAAGGCCTTTGTGTTAATGCCGTGGACAAAGGAAGAGAGAAAGCAATAGTGTCCATGATTCTAATTTAGATCAAGAACAAAAGATGCTTACGTTTAGACTCATTGATTCGAGTCAAACCAAGAAAATGGATCAGGTAAACAATGAATAATGAATACCTCACACAATGAGATGCTTCAATGTTGTATATCCTATTTTTGACACGTCCATGGGAGAGCTGTAGCTTCGATCTAATTATTAGAAGTGTTGAGATAGGACTAAATATAATCCCTTTGTTTATGACGTGTGGGCGTAAAGGTCATATGGAGAAGACAATTTAAGCTCGGAACGGCGTGACCTAAGATCGTGAATGAGCATCGTGACTCTAGGAGATCATCAGGTTGAACCCAGAATACTTGTGCAAACCAGGGGTTCCCTATGAGGATTCTGCAATTTAATTTGGATCCTATATATCTCTCGATGCCAGTAGCTATATGGACTTGCTACATTATTGCTCTTAAATAAGATAGTTTTATATAGGTGACTACTAGGGGCATAGTGAAAATAGTCGACTTGTGCTATTAGATGAGCCTAGATTTTTCGCCTTTTCGAAATGCCATAATTCCATCAAGACATTGTCCACCAATTTACAATGGGTGCTCAATGTCGATTTGTGTTCCTCTTCGTGTTGCTTCTTCTTCCCTTTCTCCTCCCCAAATCTGCAGATGCACCTTCTATCTCTAACATAGAAACCGTGTGCAATCAACAAAGCTACCATGCCAGAAGCTTCTCTTGCCTTCCCGGCGATCTGTCTGACTTTCTCATTCCTCTTCATTGTTGCTGTCCACAATGCTTCGATTATACAGAACCTCGGTGCCTTCCATTATCGTATCCTCCTCCCTGTGTACCAACAGATCCAGCGCATGCTCACCAACCGTGACCCCATCACCCCAAACCCACCAAACCACATGCCCGAGGCAAGGTACGAGCTAATCAACCTCAATCCGAACAATGAAGAAGAACAACCTTCTCCACGTCTCGCGACTTCATTCATGCCACCACCTGACCATCATCGATACGGCGAAACCCCTGCTCCCGACACAGTCAACCTGCCCCCAGAAATAGATAACGAAACCAGAATCGACAATCTCAACATGACCGCCAGATACGCAGGAGGCCCGTACCGTCCGCAACATCGGCCCACTTATGCGGATATCGCCGAGTTCTCCACCTACAGCCCACTCCCAAGTCCGCCAGGAGACGGAGTGTCCTCCGATGAGTATGACTCCGACTGGTCCAACTCCGCTGTCGACGAGGCAATCTTCGAGTCACGCATCCTAGGCGATGATATCCCCGTCTGGGAATTCGAAGTTGAGCGTCCCATTTATATCCTTGATCAGCGCGACCAGGGGGGCTGGCGGCTTGGGTGGATGAAGTTGTTGAGTGGACTGCGCAGGGTGTTTTTGCTGTTGTTGCCCCCGAGATGGTCCGACAACGAGAGTGAGAAGCATGAGACTTTGGGGGAAATAGGAGGGCATTCATGGGCTTGGCAGAATGTCTGAGCACCTGATGAGCTGCGCGATGTACTACCTATCTGCAAGGTTCCTACCTCGTTATCCCAGTTGATGTTTATGAAGGAAACGGTGCCTCAATATTGGACTTCTACCCTAGTAGTATCTTCATCCTACTGGTGGTCTTGTAGGTTGAGTTTAATCAAAGCAGCTGGTCGACTAGGTCACATCGGTATATGAGCCCCGTCACGCGGGGGAGAGCGCATTCCAGATGTCATTGGCGGGGCTTATCAACACTAAAGCGCCACGCAAGGGATTGAGCCATTTCTTCCTAGGATACCGGGGTATGAAGATCCAAGGCCTACAAAGCACGGTCTCATGGAGTCATTCGGCAATGGCGCACAAATTGAAATTTGGCTGGTCGTGCCGCTGATGCTTCCATCGGGTTTTAACATGAGTGCGTTTTGGGCACCATTTTACCATGCGAGTCATTCTGGGTATGCCTTCTGAGCGGGGGAAATATGTTGCAAATAGAATATTTCGATTCACACTCGACCGTCTAATCTGTTTTTTATCGTTACAATCGTCTATCGTCACGTTTAATTCAAAACTGCTGACATCAACGTCTCCAAAAATTATGCTCTAAACTCCAAAAACCCGGTATTATAGTACGATCTAAGGGATGATTACGGGGCGCAGTAGCCACCGTCGACGATGAGATCGCGCCGGTAGTGTAGGTGGAGGCATCGGAGGCAAAGTAGAGGTAGGCACCCTTCAGCTCGTGGGCTTGGCCCTCACGGCCCATGGGGATCTTGTCGAGCCAGATATTCTTGGTTTCCTCTGAAACAAAGCTGGAGATCCCAGTCGCAATGTAACCGGGTGATACGGTGTTGGCACGAGCGTAACGGACCCATTCAATAGAAAGGGACTTGCCTTAGGTGTTAACAGGGCGATGGAGCTGATGATGTCTGAGTGACGACTCACAAAGATGAATGACGGCAACCTTAGCGGCGTTGTAGGCAGATGAGCTTTTTTCCGTTGGCATCGGTGCCCTTCTCCTTCTGGCGGCGCCAGTGCACTGCGGCAGCCTTGGCACAGTAGAAGGTACCGTCGAGATTAATGGCGACGACCTCGCGGTAGTGGTCGAGGGGACCGTCGACCATGGGGCCCTGGGTCCAGGGAACACCGGCGTTTGCAATAAAGATGTCTAGACGGCCGTTGAAGTCCCTGACGACGTCGTTTACGGCCTACTCGACAGCATTTGCATCGGTGACCTGAACCTGATAAGCCTTGGCTGTGAAAGAAGTTAGAATGATGTGGAGCCAACCATATTGTGTATATCCAATACGCACTCTGAACACCGTACTTTTCGGCGATCTCGGTGGCCCTCTCGGCACGCTTAGTGTTGCTATTATACCACATGGCCACATTAGCACCAGCCTCGGCTAGACCCTGAGCAACGGCCAGATCGATACCGGCGCCAGCACCGGTAACAATGGCAGTCTTTCCCTTGAGTGAGAACATGCTCATGAGACTGGGGTGCTCAGGAGCAGTGGTATTGTTGTGGACAAAGAGTCCATTTTTGGTAATAGGGTTAGCAGTCATTGTAGCAACGGAAGATCAGAAAGTGAAAGGCAAGTTTGAGCGTGCGATCACCTAAATAGCTGAGGGACATCGGACTAGACCATAGCCTTTCCCCATGTATAGACCTTGGTGGAGAGCTCTTACATTGATGGCATTGGATGACGCTATGCGCCCCAGGATTATCGTTCAAAGGGAATGTGATCCATCATAATTGTGTACCCGGCAAATCTGTTCCAAAAAGGCAGATTTGGAATTGAAAGAGAGGTTATTCGAACTATAAAGAACAACTCTTCGCCAGCCTAATGCTGACTTGACCGCTCTTCTAGGAAATGGTACCGGGATCCCAGGAAACTTGACCCCAAGAGGACGACATCTATCCCAACCCCGACCCCAGAAGGGAGTGCAGATGCTCGAACTTTTCATAAGTGGGAATGACTGGAAATGGTAGATGTTCCATTATTCGTAGCATCCAACTGAACCCGAAAACCCCGCGCTCAAGGGGTAATTATCCTGGGCGATGCTTATCACTCTACGATCCAACGCAAACTCCGCATTTGTGTATTAACTGTACTACTCTATACTTATGTACCAACAAAGCCACTCAGCCAGAATCAAAATAAATTATTTATCCGGACAAGAATTGGGTTGGTCGAGGAGGCGCACTGATCTTGTTGATCGCCGGAGTATCGTGGAAGGCGGACCAGTGGAAAATCGTCATTCATGATTGAACCACTTTCTTGAGTTTGTTAGCCATCCATCTAGTCATTAGAAATATGCTCAGACGGGAACCCTAGATTCCACCGAGAAAAGATGACAAAGAAGACATGAAATGGATAGGGTACTTACAATATGGCGTCAAGTTCCTTTGAAGTATAGACCGGGGTCAATTAGGGTATTCAACACCCATTCCGACCACCCGAGACTGGTTCTCAGATATGCCAATTTTCAACTCGCACAATTATGTTTGGTGAAGGTGTCACTCTCGAAACATGATCGAAGGGGGTAGTGTGGCCGCCAGCATTCTTCGCACCCGGGTGGTGATGAATGAGCATTCCTCGGCTGGAATCAACGTTCCCATAACAAATGGTGATCCCCTGATGGAATGCTAGGAAATCTTGTTGTTTCTTATTCCTGTGAGACTTTGTTGTGTTTCATGAAGATGAAGTTGCTAGCTCTGTGAAGCTTCACCGTTGCCGTTTTGATACAGCGATAATTCGCAGCATCGCATGTTCAAACCCAATCCGCCACTCACGGATGGGGATTTCAGAAGAGCATCCCCGTCAATTGTCACTATACAGCCTCGGAATCAGCCCAGTGACGCGCCAGCGAAGCGACTATGCTGGGGCTGACCGCCGTCATCGCCATAGCCGCTTGCGGCGCGGCCATCTTTATTGCTGTCTCGGTGATCAGCATTATTGTCTGGGTCAGATATCGCAAAGAGCGCCATGCAATAAGACTATTGGGCTTCACGCAAAGGCAGGGACGGCGCAATCGGGGGTTACAATCTTTCCCGGAGGACACCTTGACTGAACTGAGCCGGGCGGAAGGGAGCATACTGAGGGCGCATGGTCACCTTCCGTATGGTAAGCCAACAGAATGGGGACAATTAGCATCGAGTGAGAGTCTGCATCGTCGGAAAAACGACTCAGAATCATCTTTTCCATTCACCGAGAAAGCACGATCTCTCCGTAATTCCCTTTCTCGATCTCGTTCCAAGCGCCTATCACGAGCATCTCACAAACGCATGAGCTCGTTGGCTACGTTGGGTGAACTGAGTGAATCAATTCATCTTCCTAGTCCGCCACCTAAAGCATCAAAATCAATATCGAAAGCAGACGTCCCACTTTCAGCTGTTGAGGGGATTTTGGAATTACCAGCCGAAAACACCCCAAGGCAAACACCAGAGCTTAACGAGAATGGTGCTGGGTTCCATCTAGGTATGAAGCCTGTTTCACCTGGGTGGCCCCTTCTAGTGCGAGAGCGGTCCAGTCAACTACCTGTTTCGGATGACCGAAACTCATCTGGCCCCTTTGATTCAACCATGACCTTTGAAGAGTCTCCTGCTCGTCTTCGTGGGGGAAGCATTGCTAGCCAAAGCGCCGGGATGATGCCTGGTCACTCTATACCCCCTCCTCCACCAACTGCATATCCCCCAGACAGACTTAGTTACGCTAGGAATGACTCTGTGATGAGACTTTCCTCCATGAGTCTGGATACGACCAATAGCTCGATATTGGATGATGGTAGAAATGGAAGTTCGGCTGATGCCGATCTGACCTCACCCACCTTCCCCTCAGGCACGTTTGTACCTTTCAGTGCCGCTGACGTTGGAGTCAAGGATGGTCGGAGGAGTTTCATTGCAACCAACACATCCATCCCGCCTATGCACAGCTTCCCTGTCCGTTCCTCCTCGACCACTGAAAATCGCCAAAAATCTGCATCCTTGTCACCTCGACGAAGTTTGACGACCCATCACTTAGGTACCTTCAGCCATCGTTGGAGCGGTGCTCCACGCCGATCTGACTCTATGTCTTCATCTAAACCCCCTTCAAGACATGCCTCCCAGCCTGGTCCTCCAGCAGGGCATTTGGGATCTCAAAATTCAGCCCCATCGGGCTGGCGATTATCGGGCTCTCACATACCCTCTGTACAAAATGCCAACCAATTCCAAAACAGTACGGGCTACATGGAGAATGACCCCTTCTACATTGGCTCGCCTGGGGGTGGGACTCTGTTCCACCAGGTTAGATCACCAGGTAAGGCAACCAACACCATCAACCCACGAAGCCCAATACGACGTGACAGTCTCTCTCTCAAGAGCACTCTTCCCTCTGCACTAAAGGGTGGGAATTCAAACCGCAAGGGTCACCGACGTCAAAACTGTGTTCGCATTTCTATCCATCCACCTATGACGTTTGGGTCATCGACGTTCTCTCCTACGGTCGAAGAGGAACCGGAAGATTTCGACAAGATGGAGGAGGTGGATCTACGTGAGGTTTCAATCAACATCCCATCAAAATCCTTGCCTTCGTTGCCACCAAGTACAACGTCCCCTCTGTCCTCTTCAAGACGCAGCAAGTACGGTAGTCGACATGGCAAGCCCGATCTAGGTCTAGGCTCTCTCGGGCCACTAGTCGAGGAGCCACAGCCCCCAATGTACGACGACAGTCCTTGCAAGAAGAGAAACCGCGCTCCATCTGCCATGCCTGCCAACAAGCTTCAATTCGAAAACAATCGCGCTCTCCCTGAATTATTTACATCCCTGCCTTTGCCTCATAATAGTCTCACGCACACTCCTTCTCCCGAAAGAGTACCACCTGCATGGAAACTCGCTGAAACTCCATTCACATCCCACGAGAACTCCCCTGGTAGCCCACGACGCTCAGCGGTAAAAGGGCCTCGCAGCCAGCCAGGTGTTACTGCAACTCGCAGCCGCTCGACTCGCGTCCCGCCAACCTCTGGTTATGCACTAGATAGTCCCTTGGCCTCGCCTACCCGCCTCCCTCTTGTCATGAGTATCACAGGAACAGAAGGTAGTGACTGGCGGAGATCGACAGAGTCAGTAAAACGGCCGAAAACTGATACTCCAAATCGCTCAATCCGCCGAGCTCGTGATTCAATGTCCAGCTTAGAAAACGGGCTAGGTCCCATTGGCGGCGCTTCTGCACTCTATGGTCCCCGCCGCTCCGCAATGGTCCAAGATCGCGTCACTATTTTTGAGGATTCCAACTGGGCCACCTCCCCTTCTAAAACTCCCGTGCTACTCCCAACTGGGTCATTCTGCACGCCTGGATCCTCTCCCACTCGTGGCAAGAACACCCGGCCCCGTTCCATGCCAAACAACCAACGATTACCGTCTCATATGTCGAGTCACCATGCACCACCAACTCCTGCTTCTCCCCGCCGAGGGATGACTACTCCAACGGGCAAGAAGCTCGGAGTTGGAATTGGAACTGCCACGCCTGCTAGCCTATACGACGGCGATGGGTTCCTACGGGAATAACTTTAATTTTGCTATGCCTTTTGTGGACTTTGAAAGCGACAGTTTTCTTTTGATTCATTTTGATTTCTTTTCATCGTGCATTGTATCTGATACTGATGTTGGCGCAAAAACCTGGTGTCCATTTCTTCTGTCTGTTTTTATTTGTTTCATTACTTCTTCTTTTGCTTCTCGCTTGGTGGTCCACCATTTTCTTCTGTTTCTGTGTTTGATGTGTGTTTTCCAAAGGTGATACTCATAAAACGGGAAATCTTCCATGAAATCGAATCCTCTACCTATGTTTCCTTGAACAAAAGCCCCCAGCAAGATAGTCCAATGGTAGTCTACCACGTAACCATTCAAGCATTTTAAACGCCAATCCTACACCGTGTCTTTGAAAGCATAATCCTAATCAATCCGTCTTCCTCCACTTCGTCTCATCCCCATCTCCATTCTCTTCAACTCCATTCTCCCCCTCTCGAGCCCTAACAGTCCCAGCTCCAGGACCAAGCGGGAAAGAAGGGGGCTCACCAGCAGCAATCCAGTTCCCATCCGCATCAAAGAACTGATCCATATTATCCGCAGTGATCCACCCAGAGCTTCCAGCAACGGGCGGGGGAAGATCACCATTTCCGAGCTGGAAAACTCCGTCGTGCTCCTCGGCCGAGATAAACTTAGGCCCATCCTCCTCATCCTCATCACCCTGCTCAACAGGATCGGGGTGTAAATTGGAGCACGCCGACACAGCATTGTAAAGCTGTTGCGTGGGAGTATCCGTCTCCGAGTCCACGGGCTCTTGTAGTGTGGCGTCGTCGGGGAGCACCACTGTCATTGTGATGCATTCCTCTTCATCGTCCTCGGAAGGCGCGCCCGGGATGGCGACCTGCATATACAGGCCTTGGACTTCGGCATCGGTGTCTGGGACGCGCAGCCGTTGAAGTGCGTGTAGTGAGATCGAGGGGTAGGGGATTGACACGCCTGTTGAGGCGGCGGGGGAGAAGAGGAAGAACTTGCTGTTGGGTGATGAATTTCGTTAGTCGGTGCCCTGGCTTTGGGGTGGGATGGGGAATTGATAGACTTACTCGGATGTCACCCAAGTATCCACGCCTGAGATTGCGATCTCCTTCTCGTCGCCGTCCTGCTGATCCTGGCTTGTAGCGCTGTTGTTCACGGCATCCTGGCCGCGCAGGGCATTCAGTGCTGGTGTGGTGAGGAGCTCGCGCTCAAGGATGACGATCTTGCAGCGCTGGCTGTGGTGGTACAGTACTGGGGGTCCGGAGTAGAAGGAGCTTGGGGTGCGCGACTGGTGTTCGGCCAGCGGCACGAACGAGGAGGTTTCAAGGGGGCTGCGAATAACCTCCATGTTGTAGTATATGTGGGATTACAAAGAAAAAAAGAAGGGTTGAATTGATATGACAAGAGTGCTGGAGTTGGGATGGAATGAAAATGAGCTTCCGGCGCGGGGTGGAGCTTTTCCGTGAGCTTGGGAGAGCCGCAGTTCTAAGAAATATATAGTCGTGCACTTTTCTTGTTCTATTGTAATACTGCGCGTGTAGAAACTTTAGAGCTAGTATTATTTACAAATCTTGAGTACTTTATATATTATCTCTGAACAATAATTTTTTGCAACAGAGTATAGTATAAACCATATGGACAGCTAGTCAATGACTGCGGACTTATTCACCCCATTCATCTAGCACAGCCTTGTAACATAATCTTAGCGCTGACAGTCAAATTCTCACTGGCCCGATGACGAAGGGAAAAGCCACAGACTCGGGAAAGTGTTGAGCTGCTTTGACAAGGCTTCAGAAGAGCCCGGCGCTGGGAAGTGCGCCCAAGACATGGTGTATCCTTTAGGGAAAATGTTCCAGAGATTGATGCAGCGTGCTACATTGAGAATTTGATTCCCAAGTACTCCTGTGATGTAAAGAGCAATGAGGGGCCAACTCTCTTGCAAGAACACCTTTCATCATTTCAAACCTAGACCACCGAACGCCCTATCCAACTCCTCCCCATCGTCATGCGGTACCATGGTCGGCAATTGCGAGGAGCCTTGTTCAGTGGAAGAGCTATCCAGCAGGCTTGGGTGGGCATCGCCCTGTGGGTCGGGAGAGATACTGGTCCGGCTAGGTTGAAGGAGCTTTTCCTCACGGTCAAGCCACCCAGGAGCCAGGCGTCTCTTTTCGGCCAGCTCGCGTTGTTTAATCGACTCTTTCCAGGCGGTGATCGCTTGTTCCGCGTTGCTGCGAGTCTTATTCAAATGTTGTTCGAGGGAGTGGCACGCGGCGAGCACGTCGTCTGGGTGAGCTGCATGCTCACCGCTCGAGGAGACAACATAGCGGGCCTTACCATCAGGGCTGTTTAGATCGACTGTCACTGAGGGGGGTAGAGATGAGGGGACAGATTTGTAAGTGTAGGGTAATGTGACGGAGGTGGGGAGGTTGATGAAAGGTGAGACGGTCAGTGGGACCTGGGCCAGGAGAGGATGTGGACCTAAACAATTTGTTAGTTATTTCATCATATAGGAGGAGAGAAATACTGACGATAGGAGTCGTACATGGTTGAGTCAAAGATGAGGTTCAAGTGCGGAGCGGAGTAACGGAGAGGGTGGACATCACGGGAGAGCCATAAAGCTCAACCACATATTATATATTGTACGCACTCCATGATCTACCAATGATCAGATAAAAAATTATGCTTGTAGCTATGCGTCTTTCCTTCTCAAGGTATGGCGTAGAATTGGTAAATGTAGCAAAATGCATACATATCAACAAAAATTTGATCACAAGTCCAAGAATTCAAGATTTCAACTCCCTCTCTTTAGGTCCCATCAAATATCAAAAGGCTTTGGATATTGACGCCAAACCCACCTGGCGCAACAGGTGCCGATCACGATGAACGGGGAACTCACCGACGACCATCATGCTGACATCAGCAATGTCAACCTCCTACAAAAGCTGTAGCACCGCGCAAAGTGTCTTTTCCTGTGGCAAGCACATCGTCCACCACTACTACCGATGCGCCTCTGGGGATCAAATCCCGTTCTATCTCGAAACTTTTCTCATCTGAATTGGATGTCAAAGATGTAGACTTCAGGACAGAAACGGTGGGTGGGGGCAGTTTGCCCGCTTCACGAATCAGTGCCAAGGGTACATCGACCTGCGAGGCCAACGCCGACGCATAGATAAACCCACCAGTCTCACAATATGCTATAGTGTTGATTTTGGCCCTGTCGCCGGTGAAGTGAGTTCGCAACAGAGAGTTGCATAGGGCCAGCCCATCCGGCTGCTGGGAGATGTTGAGCACGTGGCGAAAGTCTACGCCCGGACGTGGAAAGTCGGGTACCGGACGCACCACATTGGCAAGGCGCTGAAGATCTTCATCGAAGAACGGAAGCAAGCGGTCTTTGGCATGAAGACGAGACTGGGCCGGTGGGCTACGGGCTTCGGTTTTGGCGTATCATCATCACCTTCGTGATACCGTCGGCGAGCACGGCGCGTCTTTTTGCTAGCTGTGATATGAATCTCGCGGAGTCTGCTGTCTGGCACCAAATGCGAGAACGCTGCGACTGGTGCCTGGTCTCGCGTCCCTGGCGCCGTATACTACATTTAAAAAAATGTTCCTCCGGTAGCCAAAGTCGATCCCGCACCTGGCTCAGGAAGAGGGTCTTCAACGTTGGTCGATGCTTCTCTTTATAAGCAGGTCCCGAAGTAGACGATTCAGGTCGGCACCAGTAGCCGCGGCGTATTCTCGCTTGGTCGCATCGCTAATGCCGACTACGCGCGCTATAAGCCTTTGATAAGTGCATTTGAGGAACAAGGATATTTGGATGTCCGCGCAATAGTTCTTTCCGGCGCCGCTTGCGCCCGTGACGAGAATGATAAGCTTCTATTCCCTCGGCGCTTTCGGGAGCGGGCAGGCGTAAGCCAGCACATTATAGGGGTCCACGCTTTACTCAAGGCGAGCTAAGCGTGCTCGGTTCGGTCCAAAAGCCTTGGTCGCCAGCGCGGCGTATCCAGGGTCCAGCCCTAGGTCTGCGCCGTGAACTCCGCTACTCACGGGCAACAAGTCTCTAGCGACGTCGTACACACTACACGGCAGCTCGAGCGAATTCAGTTCCATCTCTGTTGTGGTCCCAGACAGTAGTTACTACGCAGGTAAAAAATGACGAGAATGGTGGGTTTGAGCTTCACGATAATGTGTTTTTGACTACGTGCAAACTAATTTGTAGATGGCGGCTTTGTAGATGGCGGCAGCTGACAGCTGTGCAAATCCACTTGTGGCTAAGTGCAGGTTGATACCAAATTAGGTAAATTGCTACCTCAAAAGCCTTTGTGTTCCCCCAATATCAGCAGGCACAAGACTAGTTATCTTGGTACCTATAGGTTGATCACCAAGTTACTCCCCCCAACATTTACTTCTTCCAATTCAGTTCCATGGTACAAAAATGCTCTAATAATGGGATCAAATGTTGATTGAAGTCTGATATTCTCTATTTTTCTGCCATGAAGGCATTATGAGCGCGATATACGAGATATCATAATGAGCCCTTTTCTATCTGAGTACTTCGCCGAGGCCAGATCTTTCGGAACAAGATGCTCATCTCCATTTGCAATGAGAGCTTCAACAAGAGTCGACTTTCCGGCGTGAATAAACCCAAGACGCTGGTACAATTCTACCGTAACATTGTTACCCGCCTTGACAATGAGCCGCACTTGAATTTGACGAGGAAATGACCGGTATGATCGAAGATAATTGATAGCCTCCAGGCAAAGTTTGCTTCCAAGCCCATGGCCACGATACTCGGAAAGGGTAAACAAGCTTAGCATCTGCCATCGCTCTTCCTCTTCATCGGATTTCTGAGGTGGCTGGCCAGCTTCCGTGGGTAACTCGAAATCAGCCCTGGATGAAGGTCCTCGCAGAGTGACCTGGCTGATCCATTCGATACCATCGGGAGATGACGGATCATGACTAAGTGGTGTTGCGGCACAAATGAAGAGTTCTCGATCGGGAAATGTGAGACGATCTATCCAGTCGGCATCGGTGAACGCCGATTCGATTTCATAAGTAGATGAGAAGGAATCGGGTGAAGTTTTCAATGCTTTTAAGCGTAGGTCTCGATATTTTTGAGCAGAGGCCTCGACCTCATCTGTCTTTGAGACCCGGAAGAAGGAGTAGGTATAGTTGATCGCCATGGATAGGAAAGGTAGGTAGGTAGTGTAGTGGATCAGAGAATGGCACCCATTGATTATTTATCTACATCTTTATGACTCAAAGTAAGCTACGGCTAACTTGAAATTGGCCGATATTGCGTACCGGGACCTAATCCACCTTTCTAGTCATGACTTGTTTCTGATTGGCCAATATTGCCTTCTGGAAAAATCCTATTTGTACCACAGACGAATTGGGTTAATAAAGCTAAAACCGACTTCTACTCATGCAACTAAGCTGGAAATGTGTTCGAGAAATTTACATTCTATAAGACTGTGATGTTGAGAGAGTATTATCGTATTACATCTGTTCCTAAGACATCTTCGTCTTACCTAGTTGACAGGCTCTATCCTGCAAACACTAGAACCCCTTATATTTTACAGAAATCAACTTCAAATACAACACGCTAGTTACATCCCGTGTGACTGTTCGCTAGATCACCCCAGTTGTCCTATCAACGAACGGCGTCGTCAATGCGACCGTTCGGTCTAGACCTATCGGTCACCCACTTCTGGCTTTGCTCCTAAGATCATTTCATTAATTTGCCCTACCACGCCCCATCGGGCTCTAAACCTCTAGGCAAATTTACTGAAGAGGGTCTACTATATTGCGCTGTAACAAAACAAACTGAAAATTCATGGTCAATAAAGCAGCGAAGATAGATAAGTCAAATACTTCTTCTTTCCAAAAGCGCACGAACCCGAAGGCCTTTTTGAGTGTATAAAGTCCAGTCTTTTTCGCTATTATTGAATAAGGTTGGTGGCCTACCACACGCTCCTAGAAGCCTACTAGAGTGCTAGAGCTAAGGCTAACACGGTATTTTTCTTATCCAATTATATTCTTTTAGACAGAAAGCAAACACTTAGGAAGTCCTATTCCTACCCTTCTTATCATATTTCGACCTACAATGATATCACCGTAAAAAGGATTATATATTGGCACACTCCTTCAAAATAAGGGCTTTATAAACCTTCTGCTGTCTGACCTCAAGCAGAGTAAAGCACTATATTAAGTATCCAATCATGAGTTCAACCTTCAGTCACTCTTTAACCTCCTTGATCCGCACCAACTAGTCGTACTTGATACCATCGGTCCTTCCTTTTGCGAGGCTAAACCGGAAGCCTTTCCTTTTGAATGGATGTGTAGAACTCTTTAAGTACCGCTTCAACTTGTTGCTCCCAGGCTCTCACTGTTCCGGTGAATGGTGTGTTAACCAAAGGTCCAGCATCAACATTGGCATTGGCATCGGTATCTTTGTCAAACGAGCTGCGGGTGAGCTCTGAAGGGAAGGTTGCAGAGCGTGCCGATGCAGGGGCAGAGTGCGCTTCATCTAATCAGAAGACAAACGCAAGGTTGGCTGCAGGGTTTAAACAAAACAAAACGCAAGATGCAGTCTGATACAGAAAGCTCGTTATTTGATAAATATCATCTCAGTAAGCTTCCACGACATATCGACGCCACTACAGGCTCCCAGAGCTTCATCCTATTGAGCATCAACCAAAAAGTCTGTTCCCTGTAAGTTTCTGCTCGATAATACTTTATATATTATCTATAGGGTCGTTAGACCTCCGCAATTCTGCTAGCGCGAGTGAAAATGTCTCAGCGATCTCTCGCGCCATATCCGACTTGGTACCCAGTAGCCACAGCCCCTTAATACAATCCTCAGCCTGATCCATATTCCGCTCCAAACGATGGTTGTTGTGCCCGACTATAGTCTCGGCATACTGAAAGGACTCATCTAATTCACCCAGAAATACCATGCAAGATTTGGTAAGCGCTTTGATCAAAACTATCCTCCATGGCTCGGTCAGGAGCATGCCCTCATTAACAACATGGTGAAACTCCGGCACCTGCGGCACACCCATGCTATTACCAACCATGGTAGGCATCGTTCCGACTCTTGCCAGATCCGATAGCTCCCTAGCACTGTGCATCCTCATTCTCCTCGCCGCTTGGCTAGTGATACGAATTTGAGTTGCACGTTCCATACCCAGGGAATTCTCGTCAATTAACTCTAGCAGATCGGCAAGCATCAGGACAGCAAGATGCCAGTGCGCAGAAATACAGAGAAACCAGCTCTGTATGCGTTGCGGAACAGTACGGTAGTTCTGCATCAGTTCACCAAAGAAGGCGCCGTGCGTTCTGTTCCAGTATTCATATAATAACATCGTCATGTGGAGAATGTCTTCGATCTGGTCTTCAGGGGCACCCTTGCGAACGGCATTTTGTATGTATGACAGGTGACGGAAGAGAAGAACCTTGACCGGCGCTGACTTAATGATGTCTTCAGCGGCAGCCTTATAGGAACAGGGCCAGTGCGTTTGACGCGTCTCATCGAGGTTTCCTTGCAAAAAAAGATCGAGATTCCACCGTGTGCTTTCAGCAGATTTGTCGATATTTCCGGCTTGCTGAATCTCATTTTGCTCTTCATGCGCACAGTCCTGATCGGGTACCACAACGGGTCGCTCGTTTATGGACGAGGAGAGGGTGTCACACATGATAGCCGCCCAGTAAAGCAGACCAATCGTCCCTCGATCTTCAGCACTCATGGCCTCAATGCCGTGCTTACCCTTCTCGTGACTGCCATGCAGATTGCCAAGGCCTTTTTTGAGCGCGTCGCAGCGATACTTTAGTGCGTGCATTTTTCGAGCTGCCCTCTCAATGTATATTGGCGGCCCTCCTTTTTCTATTATATCGTTTACCTTTGATATCACCGAGTCTGTTGCAAACATGTGGCCTTGTTCACGCACCCTTTGTCTAGGAGACCGGTTGCTAGAGTTCCATGGCCGCTGTATCAAGCCGAAGATCAACTCGGCACATGCTACTCTATATGACTCCAAATCGGAGACTTGCTGGATCGCGCGGTGTGCCTGATCCCACAAGTGATGCTGGAGGATGCCATCAAACTCATCGGCGATGTCTCTGTCGATTTCGTCCCGGTCATCATTGAGAGGCCTGGCCAGATATTTCTCACGGTGCCGACGACTGCCCTGTGCCCACTGCGTAGCAAACGCCATCATTGCGAGGTGCAGAGCCCTGGACGCGGCCCGATCCTCGGCGGGTGTTAGTGACAGTAACTTGGAAGACTGTGCGACACGATCGAGCCTGATCGTGCGCTGGTATGTCATGCTGGACTGCGAGGGGCCCCATTCGGGTACAGCATGAGAGGTATTTCGTGACCCCTGTTGGTAGGGACAAGTCATTTCGCTTAGCCAGCATGATAGGTTATGCTCTAGCACGTCATGGTAGATTTGGAGCAGGATCGCTGAAGTCAGGTTGCAGTTAGATGTGTTGATCATTTGTTGGTCGATGGAAAATGGGGAGAGGGACTGTTGTGAGCTGTTCCAGTGGGAGGATTGCTGGTTGAGAGATGGCCAGGAAGAGTCAGTTTGCTGCAGGGGGTTTGTGGATGGGAGGGATCCGAGGCTACTGTACATCTGAGATGTCTGAGAGGTCTGGGGAGCCAGCCACATCTGATGGTACATCGTATCAAGTTCGAGGTCTAAGGGTGGCTGGGTACAGGTGTCCGAGGAACTAGAGAAGTATGGGGGCATGAGATCAGACACAGATCCCGTAGACGTGGATGCATCAGGCATCACTGCCTGGGGACTCTCCTGCGAGTTCTCGGTATCGTTGGGCATGGAACTGAGCAGCATTGAATTAGAATCAAACGACGACCCAGACAATGACTTTGAGCCCCAAGTCATAAGCTCCTGTGTGAAATTTTGTTGATCGTGCCTTGGTCCAGATCCAGGGTCAAGGTGGAACCCATTGGCTTTCCGTGGAAAGAGGATATCTTGACTTCCACTCTCTTCATGAGGTTGTAGGCGCGGCAATCTCGATGTCGGCTGAATCTGTGATCGGACCCATTCCATCGTACAGCGTTTATTTGTTCTGGCACAGTAGGAGCATGATGATCGCTGACCATCGACGTTGTCAAATGTTCGTCTTGTCAGATCTAGGGATAGTGCATCGCATGCTCGCTTGGATTTTCTGCACTGGTCGCAGGAGCCATTCTGACGCCTGGGTCTGGATCCTTGTGCAAGCGTCCCTCGTTTCTGTATAGGCATACTGTTGAATGGTCTTTTTTTTTTGCCCCGTGATATGAAAGAGATGTTGTCAAAAAGCGGGGAACCAGTTGGCCCCGAAGATCTTTAGAGTTTAGGGCTTTTTTTAGTTGGAACCTCCCGCATCGAATTTCCTTTAGCCCGACATAAACTTATGTACTCCATAACTAGTTATTTTTACGGGGAATCTATTCATAGGCTACGGGGATCAATGGGGCGGGGAATTATTCTCTACATGCTAACTAGTTAACTAACAATAGAATATGGAAGCCCGACAAACAAGACACCACGCATAAAAGTATCAAGGCATCAAGGCATCCACTCTAACAATTCATAGAGCAAGAGCTTTGTATATCTCAGCCTCAAGTCTTCCCCATAACCCAATCACCTTAGTGTCTGCAAATGGTAGTATCTGTGTACACACAATCCCCGCAATGCCCTTCTCCCTATCCGCCCACCACCACAAATTTGGCAGCCCAGCCCAGTGCCCCGTGCTTTTAGATCGCCCTGTCGGACCACCATTGCTCAGCATGAAAGTCAGGCCCCAACCCTGTGGTGGGTTCCCAGGAACTGGATATAGCTCAGGAATTGGGTTGGTCAGATCTGGCTTGGCATCCGGGATGCTTTGACGGCTGTAGTCGGGGAACCGAGGGATCTGGTTAGAGAACATTTCGTCGACAGTCTCCTTGCGAAGCAACCTGCTGCCCGTTCTAGGACATGTTCCATCATTCAATAGCACAGCGAGGACCTCTGCGGAGGGAAGTCAGTGTATGGAGGCTTGACAGGATCTCGGAGCTACTCGTGACTCACTGCAATATTCCTGCGGCTTGGCAAACATACCTGCGCCGCCGCTGTTGAACACTCTGGCGACTTCGGCGTCGTTATCCAAATCAACGACTAGAGGCGCTCGAAGAATATGGTCTCGGGGCCTCAGGCTGCCATCTGGGTTTCGCTGATTCATGTACGCCAGTCTCTGGCGCATGTCATGGCTCGGGATCATGGACATGTCGTTGATTCCAAGGGGCAGGAAGACGTTTTTCTGTAGGTAGTCGTTGAGAGTTAGGCTAGTTGCGCGTTCCAGCGCGATTCCCGCCCAGTCGATACCAAGCTATACTCATTAGCGATACATTTCATGGGTTTGAGTATATGGTACTTACGCCATATTCCCAGCCTTCACCGGGCTGGAAGAGCAGAGGCGTCTTCATATCTTCAATCCGCCCAGAGAACTCATCCACGCCAACCGGGTACGACCATTGTCTCAATCTCTCATTGAAAAAGGTATAGCCGAACCCGGCAGTATGGGTTAATAGCATACGCAGGGTAATTGCATGCTTCTTCTCCTCAAGACTACCATCGGGCTGCAAGACCTTGAGACTCTTCAACTCAGGGCAAAGACCCTCTGTCTGCTCTCCATCGTCCAGCTTCAGAATGCCCTGTTCAACCAATTGCATGCAGGCGACACCAACCAGCACTTTAGTGCAAGATGCCATCCAGAAGATGTTATCCAAGGTCATGGGATCATTGGAACCTGCTCCTCGGTTACCCGCAGAGTGGGCGAATAGTTCGTTGCCATCTTTGCCAACGACCACGACCGTAGTTCCAGGAATACCGGCCTTTTGGTCTTCGCAGGCTTTGTCTATGATATCGCAGAGATGCGAGTGCACTTGGGCATTTAGAGACATGTTGATTCTTGTATATAAAAAGGGAGACGTATGTTGTGACAAAATATCAGACCACCCAAAATGCAGGAGACTCCAAGCGTGACTCTAATAGTTTCAAACAACCCGTAGAGGATACCTCCCGTTGCCCCGAGGGGTCCCCCCCCCAGCGGTTCCGTCCCCAGCGACGGAACCGGGTGCGGGGAAGCTTCCATCCTCTCGGCCCCGGATCCGCAAATAGTAGTCCAATGACAGCTGCATATTTTGTGATGAAATATGCATAGGAGTGCATCATCTTAATGTGACGTGTTGTACAGCAGGCGGGGGGTCGTCACGATGATGCAGACGTGAGGTGCTTTGATTCTTTTGGAAGATAAATCAGTTATAACTATAGAAAAATACGGCGTGGAAATGCACCGGACACGAGAATGTTGCCAGTGGGACTTCAAGCATCAGACTGCAATCATAATCAATCAACCCCAGGACTGAATTTCTGGGCGAAACGCCACATTGTCGTTGCCTCAAAGGTCTACCGCACGTGTTGCATCAAGGCGGGGTACCCTGCGGTTACCTGTATCATGGGCACTCGGTATGCGGATACTGTTAGCAGCGCATGCTAACATCAGCAGTAAGACGTGCACGAATGAATCTATAAGTAGAGGGGTGCCCGAGAACGTATGACCAACAATCTCCATCTCTATTTACCATTGCAACACTTGATCATTTCAATCTATCGAAATGGGTAGCATAGAAGAGACAGTATTCAGGCCGAAGAAGTATAACACTGAGCTCACCGACTACTCGACAGTTCATGCCGATAAAACTGGGCCATATGCCGAAAATCTCGAGGTCGATGCTTTGGTCGTCGGTGCCGGTTTTGGTAAGTCCGCATTCGAGAGTGAATTCACCAGCTAACGGAATAGCCGGTATCTTTATGCTCAAGAGCCTTCGCGATCGCGGCTTGAAGACGGTTATTTTCGAGGCCGGCAACGACACGGGTGGCACCTGGCGATGGAACTGCTACCCCGGCGCCGGAGTCGATTCCGAAGTCCCGGAGTACGAGTTCCCCTGGCCCGAGGTATACAACACGTGGAACTGGCCCAACAACTACCCGGACTACAAAAATCTGCGTGATTACTTTGACCACGTCGATAAAGTAGTTGGCGTCAAGAAGGACTGCGCTTTCAACACCGTTGTGGTTGGAGCCCAGTTTGATACGATCGAGGGCAAATGGAATATCAAAACTGCAGATAGTCGTACGACCAAGGCCAAGTATCTTGTCCTTGGAACCGGTTTTGTAAGTAATCACATCCATCAACCAAAGACCAATAACTTACCAAGGAACCGGCCAGGCCGCCAAGCGCTATATTCCTCCATGGACCGGCATGGATAAATTCAAGGGTGTCGTGCACCACTCATCCTTCTGGCCAGAGGAAGAAATCGAAGTGAAAAACAAGCGCTGTGCTATCATCGGTACCGGTGCCTCGGGTGTGCAAATTACGCAGGCATGGGGCCCAAAGGCGGGCGACCTCAAAGTCTTTCAACGGACTCCCAACCTCGCTGTACCCATGCGTAAGCGCAATCTCACTGTTGAGGAGCAGGAGCGCATCAAACCATACTACCCAGAGCTGTTCCGGTACCGCGAAACCACCTTTGCCGGCTTCCTGTATGATTGGTGCGAGCGCAACACCTTTGACGACACACCCGAGGAGCGGGATACCTTCTACGAGAGTGTCTGGAACGAAGGTGGCTTCCGCTATTGGGTTGCTGTGTACAAAGATAGCTTAATCAACCCCGAAGCCAACAAAGAGACGTACAATTTCTGGGCGAAGAAGACCCGTGCTCGTATCGGTGACCCCAAAGCAAGGGAGTTACTTGCGCCCCGGGAGATGCCACACTATTTCGGAATCAAGCGGCCGTGTCTTGAAAAGACCTATTATGAGCAGTTCAATCGGGAATCAGTGCACCTAGTTAACATCAAGGATAACCCGATCAAGGAGTTTACCGAGACCGGTATCACCCTCGAGGACGGAACCCACCATGAACTTGATGTCATTGCTGTTGCAACTGGATTTGTGAGTTCTATCTAATACACCAGCAAGATAGCACAAGCGCTGATACTCACAGGATGTCGTGACCGGCGTCATGACCCAGCTCGGTCTGAAGAGCATCGACGGCGCCGAGCTCGAGAAGGAGTGGATACCAGGCGCAAAGACCTACCTCGGTACCACCGTGAGCGGCTACCCCAATATGTTCCACATCTACGGCGCACATGGCCCGACGCTCTTGAGCAATGGCCCCACGTCGGTCGCGGTGCAGGGCCGTTGGATTTCCGATGCCATTGCCAAGATCGAGGCCAATAACATCAAGTATATCAATCCCAAGATTGAGGCCGCTGATAATTGGAAGAATCATGTTGTGAATCTCAATAACAGGACCCTATTCCCCACGACGCAGTCCACGTACATGGGTGGCAGCATCCCTGGCAAGGTCTTTGAGCCAGTGTGCTACTCTGGTGGTATCCCCGCTTATGCAAGCGAGATTCGACAAGCCCTAGATAACTGGAAGGAGGGATTCGACGTCGTCAAGGCTTGACTGGTTTTCTGATGTTGAGTAAGAGTGAGCGTTCACCAATGCGTTAGGCACTTTCTAAGCTAGTAGTGAATACGATATAGTTGAATGATATTCGTATTCAAATATGATCTTGAACTAATGATAACACCGAAAAATGAAAGAAAACAAAAGGAATTTACCAACCCTGCTCTTGCCATATCGTCTCCGCGATTTCCTCCAGTTGTTGTGAGATCTCCAGACCCTTCTCTCCTGGGGGAGATGCCTGGCGACAGAATAGACTTTTTTTTGGTGATATAGGTGACCTGGGGTGGATGGGTCACGGTATCTATAGGTAACCTCTTGCTCGCCCTTTTTGTTGACTGTATTGGACGGATCTGCATGCTGCTCCGCGGATTCATCGTTATTGTACGCATATTTATCAAGCCATTTGCTGCCCTGCCTCTCTATTCCTTCTGTCCGGAAAATGAAATGGAGGCCAAACCCCCATACCTTACGCCAGAAATGCGGCATGAGCCATGACTTTTCGTCCGGTTAACTCCTTCAACTACAGGGAAGTGCAAAACCAGCTTCGCCGTTTCATACTCTTCTCTTAATTCCAGGCCCTCTTTATCTCACCAGAAAAACCCAACCTTTTGGTAACATTAACGTGAAGCTTTTGCGGCCCAAGATAAAAGTCCCTGGTTTATCGTATGGCTTTGGCTGTTGTGCCCTCATTCAGATAAGGTTAATTGCCAAACTTATTAATAGCGAATTGTCAAATGATCAGCTGGCTTCGAGCACCAATAGATAAGCGTCCTCACACAGCCTCACCCGTGTGTAGACTTCCGCAGAGCCCGCAAAGCCCAAAGCCCAACCCGGCCCCAACCCACAAATGGGCCGGGTTTTGGGCCCGGTCCTCAGGCCCATCGGTGGGCTATAGGCCTAGGGTAGAAGCCCATTCGGCTTTGATGGGGGCGCGATGGGCTCCAAAGTATACAAACATGCCAATTCTTGGCGGGTACATAAGTAACGCAGATTTTCCTAGTATTTTTGAGCATTTCAATTACTGTCTAAGCCCCAATTTGACCGAGTTCTTATGGTGATTAAGTTGGTTGACTGAATTGACCAAATGATAGATTGATTGATGGGATTGATTGATAATATATTAAGTGAGCTTAAACTATCATCTAGAGGCCTTAGGCCACCGAGGTTCCTAGTACTTCAACAGAAAGATGCACCTACCTCTGCCTATATTGAAATATACATCTCTGCATGTTGATACTCTATCAAAAGTTGGACCCCCGTATTAGGCTAGATCAGGACCATCGAGCCGAATTATTCCGAGGTCAGCTTACAGACTAGAGCACGCGTAAAAAAAGGCATTAAACAGCAGGTTTATGAGCGCTAAGACTGTAATTATGCATAGAAATGGGCTTCAATGGGGGCCTCATGGGCCCCCACTAATGGGCTGTGGGTTGGTTGGGCTTCGCGGAAGTCTACCCGTGTGCCTGCCCCTCTTTCCCCTCAAGCTGAAGCATTTCCTGTTTATCCATAATTCCCACTGCCCTCCCTCCCGTCTATCTTACGACAAATCGAACTTGATCCAGACAGCAAATCTTCCAAAAAGTATCGAAACCCAACCGACAACGTGAAAACAGTAGCTCCTCTACTGATCCAATGAATCGACCTGAGCAACGAGACCCAGATTCAACGGACTCCTACACGGTAGCATGGATCTGTGCCCTAGAAGAAGAGTACTTCTGTGCATGCCGTATGCTTGACGAAGAATTCATCGGGCCGGAGATAAGCGAAGATAACGACGATAACACATACGTCTACGGTCGTATTGCGAAGCATCATGTGGTGATTGGTTGTCTTCCAGCCGGTCGGTATGGCACCAATTCAGCTGCCCGTGTTGCTCGAGATATGGTCCGGACCTTTCCACGCCTACGGTTCGCATTAATGGTGGGCATCGGAGGCGGCGCACCAACTACCCGAAATGACATCCGATTAGGGGACGTCGTCGTGAGCCAACCAAAAGATGGATTCGGCGGAGTGATACAATATGATCTGGGCAAGTTAAAAGATGGTCGGTTTCAGAAGACGGGTCAACTAAACGCGCCGCCTGAGAAACTTCTAGGAGTTATTCCTGAGATACGCAGACTGTATAGCGATAAAAAGAAGCCAGACAGACTAGCGGAACATCTCCAGCGTCTCGATGATATGGAAGATTATCAACAACCAGCCGTTGATCGGCTTTATGCCACAGACTATCCACATGTAGATGGAGACAATTGCGACGAATGTGATTCTCATTCGGCAGTGGAACGCCCAGAGCGCCGGAACCACCGCACACTCCATGTTCACTACGGAAATATCGCGTCAGGAAACTCTGTACTCAAGGATGCCATTGTACGGGATACATATGCGAAAGACCCAGAGCTGAACATTCTGTGCTTTGAGATGGAAGCTGCAGGTCTCATGAACAATATACCATGCCTGATAATTCGTGGAATCTGTGATTATTGTGACTCGCATAAGAATGACGTCTGGCACAAATATGCTGCGCTCGCTGCTGCTACGTATGCACGAGAGCTACTCCTGGTTCTACGGCCGCAACGTGTGGATGCCATGCCCCCCTGGGCCGAGCGAGTAGCTCAAGAACTTCAACAAGGTCAGAGCCCTCCATTTTGATTTTATAGGCTTATGGGATTCTTTTGTGCCCCATTAGAATATAAAATGTATATTCTAGTGTAACTTTCAATTTTATCCAGAATTTCACTCGCGACAATGTACTGACAGTGTCTAGTTAGTCAGGAGTTGATTAGTCTCAACAGCACCCAAAAGTAGTGTGCAATTCGGTTGGCTATAGTCAAGTCCTCTATCGCTAACTTTGAATAGAACGGTTCTGACGACGGTAGAATGTTTGGACCAGAAGATTGATTGGGGGAAGTTATCGACTGTCCAAGAGGCAGCAGTTGACTCCTTTGAGAACCAAAATGAGGATGGATGTCTTCCAGGCACTAGAAAAGTGCTTCTCAACGAGATTACAGAATGGGCGATGTCGCCGCACAAGAATTGTATTTTTTGGTTAAAGGGAATGGCTGGCACAGGAAAATCCACAATATCTCGGACTGTGGCAGCGTCGCTCAAGAAAACCAATCATCTAGGCGCCAGCTTCTTCTTTAAGAGGGGTGAAGGGGACCAAGGGAGCGCGAAGAAGTTTTTCCCGACACTTATAAGGCAACTAACGCTGAGGATTTCTGAGCTGAGGCCTGGCGTACAAAAGGCACTCCACGATGACCCCGACGTTGCCTCAAAATCGCTCAAGGAACAGTTCGAGAAACTACTCCTTCAACCGTTACTCAACCTTGACCAAGTCGGCCGACAACTTCAACCTCAAACCGCTGTGTTTGTGATCGACGCTTTAGACGAATGTGAACATGAGCAAGATATCCGAACCATAATTCGATTACTGCCTCTTCTACAGAAGGTAAAAGCGGTTCGCCTTCGGGTCTTCTTGACTAGCAGGCCTGAAGTCCCAATCAGACTCGGCTTTTCAGAGATCATGGATCATGAATATCAGAACCTAGTTCTTCATGAGATACCCGAAGAAGTGACAGAACACGACATACATCTATTCCTACAGGACCGCTTTGCGAAGATCAAACACGACAGAAATGTTCCCCAAGACTGGCCAGGCGATGATGTTATCCAAGAATTGGTCACGATGTCTGTTCCACTGTTTATTTCGGCTGCCACTGTGTGCCGTTATATCGAAAATTCAAAATGGGAACCCAAATTACGCCTCGCAGAGCTTCTAACGGACCAAGCTAAATACGTATCGAGAATGGATAAGACATACCTGCCAATTTTAACGCGACTCCTAGAGGATCAAGAGAGTGATGAATCGGAGCAGCAGCAGCTCTTACAAGAGTTCCAGGACATAGTCGGTGTTATCATCCTTCTTGCTGTTCCGCTTTCTATAAGTGCACTGTCGCTATTTCTTAGGATAGGAGCAGACCGGATCAGCAATCGATTGGATTCGTTCCGATCGGTTTTAAGCATACCCGACGACCGAGATCGGCCTGTTAGGATTCTACATCTATCATTTCGAGATTTTTTAGTCCAGCCTAGGACCCAGTTTTCTGTGGATGAGCCAAGAAAGCATAAAGACATTGCTCAGTCGTGTCTCAAAACCATGCGGAGTCGTCTACAGAAAGATATCTGCAATTTAGCAAGCCTAGGAACGCATAGGCGAGACATCGACCCTCAATATATTCGCCAGTATCTTCCACCAGAATTACAATATTCTTGTCGCTACTGGATACACCATCTCGACCAAAGTCAGGCTTCATCTTCCGAGATAGAAGATGTGCGAATATTTCTCCAGAAGCATTTTCTGCACTGGGTGGAAGCGATGAGCCTGCTGGGCCTTATATCGGAGGCGGTGGGTATGCTTGATCTCCTCCGTACGACTCTACCGGTAAGTGAAATAGGTAGATAGCCATTTTTGATTTAGACTAATAGATATAGGGCGACGATAATTCCGTATTGGCAGATTTTCTGCATGACGGAAAGCGCTTTCTTCTTAAAAATCACCAGATAGCCGATGAAGCACCGCTTCAGATTTATTGCGCAGGACTGGTATTTGCACCCCAATGGGCAATAATCCGTAGGGAGTTCAAATCAGACCTTCCTAGTTGGATATGCCAGTTCCCACGAGTTCAAGAAAGCTGGAGCGCAGAATTGCAGACTCTCGAGGGCCATACGGCCTCAGTTAACTCATTGGCCTTCTCGCCCGACGGCCGGCTATTGGCATCCAGCTCTTACGATAGCACAGTGCGGCTCTGGGATACAGCGACAGGTGCTATGCAGCAGACTCTTAAGGGCCATACGGGCTGGATTAGCTCGGTGGCCTTCTCGCCCGACGGCCGGCTACTGGCGTCCGGCTGCGATGATTGCACAGTGCGGCTCTGGGACACAGCGACGGGTGCCCTGCAGCAGACTCTTAGGAGCCATACGGGCTCGGTTAGCTCGGTGGCCTTCTCACCTGACGGCCGGCTACTGGCGTCCGGCTCTTACGATAACATAGTGCGGCTATGGGACACAGCGACGGGCGCCCTACAGCAGACTCTCGACGGCCATACGGGTTCGGTTAGCTCGGTGGTCTTCTCGTCCGACGGCCGGCTACTAGCGTCCGGCTCTTACGATAACACAGTGCGGCTCTGGGACACATTAACGGGCGCCCTACAGCAGACTCTCGACGGCCATACCGGTTCAGTTCGGTCGGTGGTCTTCTCGTCCGACGGCCGGCTACTAGCGTCCGGCTCTTACGATAACACAGTGCGGTTCTGGGACACAGCGACGGGCGCCCTACAGCAGACTCTCAAGGGCCATACGGGCTGGATTATCTCGGTGGCCTTCTCGGCCGACGGCCGGCTGCTGGCGTCCGGCTCCGACGATTACACAGTGCGGCTCTGGGACACAGCGACGGGCACCCTGCAGCAGACTCTTAGGAGCCATAGGGGCTCGGTTACCTCGGTGGCCTTCTCGCCTGACGGCCGGCTACTGGCGTCCGGTTCTTACGATAACACAGTGCGGCTCTGGGACACAGCGACGGGCGCCCTACAGCAGATTCTCGACGGTCATACGGGCTCGGTTAACTCGGTGGTCTTCTCGCCCGACGGCCGGCTACTGGCCTCCGGCTCTTACGATAACATAGTGCGGCTCTGGGACATAGTAACGGGCGCCCTACAGCAGACTCTCGACGGCCATACGGGATTAGTTAGCTCAGTGGTCTTCTCGTCCGACGGCCAGCTGCTGGCTTCCGGCTCTTATGATAACACAGTGGGGCTCTGGGATACGGCGACGGGCGCCCTACAGCAGACTTTCGAGGGCCATACGGGCTCAGTTAGCTCGGTGACCTTCTCTCCTAGCGGCCGGCTACTAGCGTCCGGCTCTTACGATTACACAGTGCGGCTCTGGGATATACCGATAGGCGCCCTACAGCAGACTCTTAAGGGCCATACGGGCTTAGTTACCTCAGTGACCTTCTCTCCTAGCGGCCGGCTACTAGCGTCCGGCTCTTACGATAACACAGTGCGGCTCTGGGACACAGCGACGGGCACCCTACAGCAGACTCTTAGGAGCCATACGGGCTCGGTTACCTCGGTAGTCTTCTCGCCTAACGGCCGGCTGCTGGCGTCTGGCTCTCATGATAGCACAGTGCGGCTCTGGGACACAGCGATGGGCACCCTAAAGCAGACTCTCGAGGGCCATACGGACTGGATTAGCTCGGTGGCCTTCTCGCCCGACTGCCGGCTGCTAGCGTCTAGCTCCGACGATTACACAGTGCGGCTCTGGGATACGGCGACGGGAACCCTGCAAGAAACTTTAGAAACCCAGAGAATTATCAAAGAACTCGAATTTTCTCAAGATGGTACATATCTAATCACCAATCTAGGCATCCCCCATTTTCCGTCCGAGAAGGTAAATCATGCTTGGAGTTCAACCGATAGAAATCTGTTGATCTTCATTGAGCAAGGACAGTGGATAAACCTGAACGGCAAAAATGTACTATGGCTTCCTCCTGACTTTCGGCCTAGCTGTTCCGCGATTAATGGGAATTCAGTCGCCTTGGGACACGCATCAGGTCGGGTTTCTTTCCTAAGATTTTGTCCATAGCAGGCGTTAATGGTTTCCGTTTTCATTCCTTCTATTTTCTAATCTCTTTGTAAAAGAAGGGCCTGAGAGAAAAACAGAATTTATATCACCCTATAGTACTAATAGGACGTGCCATTATGTGGAGATCCCATACAGCCTATTGTGTTGTGGTTCGCCACATTCCTAGATGGCTGATTCAGTGACTACTACACCTGGAAGGTTATAACGCCAACAGAAGAGTACATAGCATACCCCAAGCAGCCATTTTCCAGGCTAGAGTCTTAGCTGTGGAGCGCAGAATTAACAAAAGAGTGCAAATTGGTGAAGCTGATTTTGCACTTCTCTGTATTGTAGTTCAAGTCTTCCCTTCGATTGTGCATTTTGGCGAATTCCGGTTCCCCTTCTCCACGGTCATTACCAAGCCGGTGATAGCAAATGTTAAACTGGAGCTGAATTCCACCGGACTCCGGCCACCTAGAATCTGTGGGTCTGTCTGATATTCCACCGGACCATTTAGTTCCCCACACCTCCGGTCTCATTCGTGCTTCGGTATGACCATCCGGCACAGCATTAAATAGCTCGATCGATAGCAGAATTCTATGCAGTCAAATTCAAATTACAGAAGATTATCCTGTTACAATTCAATAACCTCCTGGCGAAGAAAATCAACTCTACGGCATGGGATCAGCTACAACCAACAGCTCATCTGAGAATGGAGCTCCTGCCAACCAGCGACCTGCCGCCGAGGCCATTGCTTACCAAGGCGAGCGTCTGCCCAACGTTCCAGACGACTTAGTGGTACCCGGAATCCTAAATCTGGACTTTGAGGAAAAGCTTTGGGTGCCCCAGGCTCCAGACGTCTGGTTCCGACCTATTCTTTTCAATGTTTCGCAGGGTTACTTTGTGAACCTGCTCCGCGTGCGTCGCTCGGGCATTCTGTCGCGCCACCGTCATTCCGGTCCAGTCCACGCCACAGTTTTGAAGGGTAAATGGCATTACCTCGAACACGATTGGTGGGCTACAGAGGGAAGCCACGCTTTTGAGCCCCCGGGCGACATTCACACCCTTGAGGTGCCAGACGGTGTCGAGGAGATGGTTACATTATTCCACGTGACGGGCGCGTACATATATGTCGATCCCCAGGGCAACCCTGTTGGTGTGGAAGATGTTTTCTCCAAATTGGCTAGCGCAAAGGCACATTATGAAAAGGTTGGACTTGGTTCAAATTACGTCGATCAGTTTATTCGTTGAATGATTCCCGTTATTTATCTCGGGTCACATTGTCACAAATGAAGGTGTTTAGATCGAAGTAAAGTTTTCCAAACCATCTTGCGAATCCGGTCTTCGTCGTAGTTAAATTCGTAGTAGGAAAAGGTGAGGAAAAGGTGACTACAAGGCATGAGTGCAGAAGTCGTGTCAGGGCTTGGTCCAATTCCACACCCAGCTCTGGCCGGGAAGTGACAAGTTCACATCGTTTAGACTCTCGGGAAAAGTGTCGACTGACGGGATCTGCGATTTATTAGGCGCCTCATCGTTGAAACGCTGTAAGCTTTCAGCTGAGGGTCTCCGGTCTCCCCAGATTCCATCATCCGTCGGCCTATAGTTGCCTACATGTGTCATGGGATCCGAACATTCCAAAAGAACTGGGATCAGAAACAGTTAGTTAAGTCAACTTCTAGTGTTTGCAATTCCTGCAGTTTGTTCAGCTAGAAGGGTAAATGGAAGATATAACATACCCTGTTGTACGGAGTCAAGCGCTTGATCGACGCCAGCATAGAGAGGCAACAGAGAAGCCTGGTAGGCACCAAAGTCCGGGTTTGCTGTTGTCTCAATTTCAGAGGGAAGTTGGAGTATGCCTCCAGCGTTCGGATGTTGCGGAGGATAACCTGTATTATCCTGACCTTGAGACAACTGCGCCGAGTTATCTCTCTCGTTCTCCAGGCGGCCCACTCCATCAAAAACGTGACCCTCTTGTGCGATGCTGGCTGCCAAGTCCCTTTCGGGGTTGAGGCTGTACACATGGGTCATATCAAATGGTGCGCCGTCTAGAAATGCTCGCATTTCTCGCTGAAAGATAAGATGGAAAAGTCCTTCGAGAACTTTTACTGTCTGTGATGGAACGATAGATGACTTAGCAAGGTTTTTCTGTAGCGAGATGGAATTTGCAACCCCTTTCTTTGCATCTTGCGATTGTGCAGAACCTGGATCAGATAATGCCACCATACCAAGAGTCACCCCAGCAGTGAAATTTTGCATTGCAATGTATGCCACTGCATGAGTATTTTTGGCGGCAAGAAGAACTGGTGCATATCGTGGCAAGATGCCGCACGTGCGGCGAGCACAATGTTTGCATTGATCAAAACTAGTTAGTTGATTCTCTGGCCTGCAAGGGTTGGGCCCCATAATTAGCTGACCAGTGTATCGCAGGAAAGGACGATGCAGGATAATTTGAATATTATCATACGCCAACTGGAGTACTAAAGCCTGTAACTCGAAAAGTTGGTACACGTCAAGCTCAGTACTCGACAGGTTGTTCGTGTGCACTTCGGCATTGTTCTTCAGCTTCAGCTCCGCTGGGAGCCTTTCAAACCAATCTACCAGCTTGGTGTTGATAACTGCAGCTTGGCGTCTCACATCTCCTGATTTTGGGGAGTCAAGGTTATATATGCTGCCAATTATCGAAGAGGCAATCGTGTACAGCTCAAATTTGTAGCGTTGATATGTCCCCAATGTCACGCGTGCTGGGTGGGTTGTTGCCGAGTACTCCAATGAGTTCAAGAACGGATGAACGGCCTGTGTATCCTCCATATCTCGTGGCATGCTAACTGAGCAATGAGCGTCAACTATAGATGACGGTCGTCCATAGGTAATTGAAGCGAACCTGTTAGATCGTAAGCATTGTTTTCAATTGGGAATACCCTTTCACCGGGACAAGGGAATAGAGACCTGTCGAGCACATATAACGCCCACCAAGTTCGCTTGCGGGCTTCAAGAACAGCCTCCGGTGCAGGGCCCCACAGAAACTCTTTGTGTAAGCCTTGCGCCTGCGCACTGCCAATTCCTGCGCCAAGAACGGGCAACGCCATATTGGGGTTGCCATTGTAAAGGTCAAATGTACTCAACAAGATGCAACATTGAACAAACTCTAACCCTCCTGCGTCCATAATCTCAAAGAAGTGTGCTCGAACCTGGGTCATCATATTGCTTTGCAATAGAGATCTTTCTTGCTCAGTGAGGCCAATCTGTGATCCCTGTTCTTCCGAAGTATACCTTGCACCTAGGGCAAGAACCATCAAAAGCAGCACTGCCACACCATTTTGTCGAGGTGTGACTATTTGTTTGCCTATGATGTCCTCATACTGCTTTTCCAAAGACGATCGATGAAAAATCATCATAAACCAGTGCACTGATTTCCAATATGATTGCAGCAGGAAGTCACATATTTGTCGGGAAGGAAGAACTAATCCGTTAAAGTGGGAAGTAAGAGGAGCGCCTCTCTCATTTACTTGATCAGGGCCTCGAGTAGGGCGATATCCACCCCCAGGGAGAGCGGAGGTATTGTTGGTTTCTGTCGGTGATACCATAGATGCCGTGTTATGCATTCGAAAAAGCTGTTCATCGGCTCAACTTCACGTCCATATTAAGCCTTTAGTAGGATGTTGTAGATTACCTCATCTGTCAGCTCAACTGCTGATACTGGCGCATATCTATGCGGCCAGGGAAGAGATTCAGAGCCGCCATCTCGGTAACTGCTCGGACTGTGAGACGTCTGGGGGCTGTTGATGGGTCGCCCGGGTCTCTCAGAAAGCGGAGGACTTGTTGATGGGGCAGGTAGATGAGAGCGCGGTTGGTTGGAACTACGGCGCCTTTCGGTCCTAATTTTCTGTGTTTGTTTTGACTTCCTAAGGCAGATAGGCAAATTAGAACCTCAGACCCTGCAACATTTCAAAATTGGATAACCCCTACCGTAATGGCGCTGGTGTTGTCAAGCAATCAAAGCCAGAGCGCACGCACGGTGAGCACGGCTTAGTAATATCACACTGAATGTAAACTTGTTAGAAGGTGAATGCCTGCGATGTTTGGGAATTTTGTTACCTTCAACTTCTGTCTACGGCATCGATCGCACGCATGACGGCGGGTCCCCAGTTGCTTGAGGTGCCGGTGCGTGGCACCCGGTGACGATGATTCCTGCATCTTGCAGAACTATCCCGAGCTCTAGATTGAAATATGTGTATCACAATGCTCACTAGCGGCTCTAGAGTATTGTTTGCTTAGTTTCACGAAGGGCCGCCCTCGAGTCCACCGGAGCATGTCCGAGTCCACTGGTGGCGTCTGTATTAGTAACATCTCCGTTTCCAGAGAACCATATCACGTGATGATACTCTACACAGGCACAAGAGGTAAAAAAAGGACCCCCTTTGAAAGACTGATCGTCGGTCATATAGACAGTGTGGGGCCCTTTTCGAAGTGGCTAGTTAAATCTGTAATCATCGATGCCTGAGATACTTGGGATATTTCAAAAGCATTACGCATAACTTAATTTGAGGGAAGAGCCAGATCTGAGGAATAACTTGATTTCCGCAGGAGATGTCATCAGAAAGAAGGAGCCTTGGAAGAGGCTGAGATGGATCACAAATTGATATGATGTAACTCCATCCATCCATCCATCCATGAATCTCCATAACAAGGATGACTAACGAACCGGAATCTTCAAGGCGATGCCGAGTCCGCGTGGGACTCTCCAAAGATGCAACCAGTTCCTTTCAAGTGGGCAAGTCGTGACAAATTGACTATATAACTCTCCGAGCATTACAAATCATACCGAGTCAGTCTAAGAAACCGCATTGCTTCGAAGGGATAAATAGCAGACTCTACTCTCCTAATTTGTGCAATACTTTCACATATCTCACTCCAATTGAGAACGAGGAGCACATTCAGAATGTCTTTTAATAAAGTCGCCGTTTTTCCTGCATCTGGCGGTATCGGGGGCAGCACTGTCAAGCATCTTCTACCTCGACTTCCGTCAAAAGATCTTATCTTCATCGCTCGTCGTCCTGAGAGGTTGACTGACGCGTCGTCTGCCGGTGCGACTATTCGGCGGGCAGATTATGACGATGACAACAGCCTTGCAAATGCTTTTGAGGATGTGGATACTCTGTTCCTGATTTCATATGCTTCGGTTGAGCATGAATATAGATCTGAGGTAAAATCTAGAAGCAATCCCATGTTAGACTTTTCACCTCCGTGCTAACGTTTGGTGTGTGTAGCGTCATCGATTTGCCATTGACGCGGCAATCCGGAGCGGAGTGAAGCATATCTTCTACGGCTCTCTGGGTTATGGCGGTAAGCCTGAGAACAAAGAATCTGTGGCCCATGTTATGCAAGCTCATCTGGATACGGAGAAGTATCTAGAGCAGCTGTCTCATAACTCTCCGGGCTTTGGATACACGGTGGTCCGCGAGGGCCTGTACACCGAGTCTTACCCACTTTACACAGCATTCTTTGACCCCAAAAACCCGGTTAGTGAGATCAAGATCCCACACGACGGATCAGGGCCCGGTATTGCCTGGGTCAAGCGTGAAGAACTGGGCGAGGGCACGGCTGAGCTACTGAAACGATTTGTCAACGACCCGAAAGGCTTCCCGTATCTTCAGAGGACCGTTTTGCTCTCCGGAAGTCAGGTGTTGTCTCTAAAGGAGTCAGTGGACATCTTGGGCAAGGTAGCCAACCTACCTGTCAAGATCCACAAGGTTTCTGAAGATGAATTTGCTGCACAGCCTCAGGTCAAGCCAAATTTCATCTATCATGGAGTCGATCACTCCAAGGTGTGGACCACAACATTTGAAGCCTTCCGTCGAGGAGAGGCAGCATACGTATCACCTCTCCTTGGTGAACTATTGGGGCGTGAACCCGAAGATTTTCGGACAACAGTGAACAAATCATAGGTCGTCTTGTCGAGTATCTTGTTGGTAGCCTGTTCGAGCAAATCATGGAGGAATTTCTAAAATAGCTTGAATTTCTAAAATAGCCTTACTTTAAATGAAGCCTCGCGTTATACAGTCTTCGGCCATGTACGTTACGTCATTATGCAGAGGGCACATTCTCCACTCTAGGGCTCTCTTTGTATCTACATTAGTCATTCTGATAAGAGGCATCGATAATTTTCGAGCTGCAGAATGTTTCAATGTCTGCTTTCCTATGATAAATTCGCCTGCCGGTTATAAACCCACTCCGCAAACAGCTGAGTCAAACATGGGCCTAACCTCCATTGCTAAGCTTCCGGTCCGTTCCGTTCCGGTCCGTTCGTAGTTCGTGCATAGGATCTGGGACCGGAGGATGAACCGAGTCAACTTGGAGTGGTGCGAATTTAGAGACTCTTGATTTCAAATTCTTGACGTCAATCCCGGAAATTCCTAGGAAAGATTTTCTCCTAAACATAAGTAGTCAGTGCGTGTTTTTCTTTACACGGCCCTTTGGCAAGCACTCCAAAAGTCTCTAGGTTTGGTGCTTGCGAGTAATCCTTATCTGAAGTTTCCCTCAGAGGCATTATGAGATATATATAGATTACGATGACTTGATCAGCCGCTACGCGTATTTCAAACAATAAGGGTGAGCTGCAAAATGGGGGTATTCAAAAAAAGGTTCCCTGGTTGACCATAGTGGCAACAAAGATCAAGTAGCTAGCATACCACCATCTACGATCAAACTTGAGCCTGTAACAAAGTCGCTTGCTCTACTAGCCAGAAAAATAGCGGCCCCCCTTAAATCTTCAGGGGTTCCCCAGCGACCTGTGGGTGTTCCTTTTAGGATATAATTGTTGTAGGCCGTATCGTTCTGTAGCTGTTTCGTCAGGGGGGTACTAATGTATCTGTTTCAATTAGAAACTGCATCTGATAATCATGATAGAGAGGTGTCGGATATACTTACCCTGGACAGATGCAGTTTACTTGAATATTGTGAGGAGCAAACTCATTGCTAAACGCTTTAGTCATCTGGATCACTCCCCCTTTAGAGCTTGCATAAGCAGAAACATTGTACATTCCACGGAATGAAGTAACTGATCCGATGTTGATTATTTTTCCGGGGAGGCCCAAATTAATCAATCTCTTGCCAAACTCCTGGGCTACTACATAAGTAGCCTTGAGGTTGATAGACAGGATCTAGCCTTATGTCAGCGTTGACTTCGACTGAAGTAAAAAACCTCTCCCGTCCATACCAGATCAAGATCCTCATCGGTAACTTCTATTACTGGACGTCTTCGGTTAACCCCGGCGCAATTCAAGAGAATACACGGTTGGATACCCGCGGTCCAGATAGCTTGAAATGTAGCACGAATGGCAGAGGTATCTACAAGGTCGCACTCAAATACCCAGAAATTCCGTCCAATTTTTGTCAGATGTTTTGAGAGTGATGCTGTATTTGGATCATTTGGCAGTTGAATCGAAACAATATCAGCGCCGGCCTCTCCGAGAGATTTACACATCTCTAGACCAATGCCGCCTGTGGCACCTGTGCAGATTACAGTTTTGTCCTGCAAAGAGAAAAGTTGATTGGTAGGCAAATGTTCCGCCATTGTTGTTATACTCTAGGAGCTGCTTAGAGAATAAAAATCGGATGATTGGTTTTGTTTGAGAGGGGGTGACGGAGCGAATGGAAGTCAAGATAGACAGCATTTCTTTTATGTGCTGAATATGCCAGTTGAGCTTGACTGCAAAAGGTCACCAGTCTTTGCTATACGCCCTGCCGCTAATGAAATATCAACATACCCCGAGGTTCAGGACTCTATGATTCCCGAAGGATATGTCCGGTGGATGTCCACCGGAACGTATCCGGAAATTCTCACCTCCAGAATGCAGGGCTCGGAGGATTGAGCTCAAAACGTGTGAAAAGAAAGTATAACTATTTTCAATATTCAATATAAAACTTCTCAGGCATTTTAATATTTTAATTGAACGAAGCTTTACCAGCAATGAAGGTGTCCATTGACAATGACAGGCGTTACAGGCGGCAGGATGTAATTCGGCAGAGCAATTGTGACCAAGTTTATTACCGAAGGTGCCCGGGTTCTAGCTGGATATTATGGAGCCTAGAAGAGGCCCATGATGACCCCTCGAGAAACATAATTTATTGACAGAAATCTGACTGTAAAAAGTATGATCAAATTCAGTACTGTCAAACTCTCTGACTAGCAGTAAAACCGGATAAACCCGCGAACTTGGATAGACAAAATCACTAGTCAATACTGCATTTTTTTGGTGGGTTATCTAGATCTGACGTCCGACGAGATTCTGGGTAAATTACCCTGTATCTGATCGGGTGGTTTCCTTCTGTATATGACCAAGTATTTGGACTCGGTATTTGACACCTCCCAGCTTAATGAAGCATTTCATCTGATAGCTTCAAGAGCTGTTGATCTCTCTCAATTGCTTCATTTCTGGCATTTTCGTCGATTAGCCTCTGTTTTGGTTGATCAGGTCTAATATCGGTCATCCCTATCATTTCTGTAAGATCTGCTGCTTTGTGGCACCTCTTTTAACATCAATTGTTCCGAGCTAACTGGCAAAGCCAGAGCGTATACACAGATAACACGGCTTTTCAACACCGCACTAATATGAAACATATGAGTAAGACTAAACTTGCAGGAGTCTTCTGTTGAATTATGTACCTGCTTTCGTCTACGCCAATGATCGCGGGCATGTCGGCGACTACCTAGTGTTTGAACCCAGCAAGTCTGGGGCGAGAAATCTCCAAGTGGCGATGGAATCTTTCGAAAACATACTCTTGAAAAAATACTCTTTAGACCCAATACATATGTTTAATGATTCCTAAGGCACCTCTGTAATTTCTATCCTATTTATAACACTTAAATTGTGGAAGGCTATTTCTGCGAGCTATGCAATCACTTCCGACGACGTCCAGCGAAACCCCAGTGGATCTGGTTGGCTGACTTCATATCAACATCGAGCTCATCCGCAAAGGTCCAGACCAGCCCGGGGTTCTTCTGAAACATCCGTCCAACTAAAACCATATCAAGGCCATCCCTCAAGAGGTCATTAGCCTGGGGACCAGAAGTAATGGCTCCGACGGTTCCCACAAGAAGACGGTCGCCCAATTTATTCTTCACTTGGAGAGCGGCCGGGGCTTGATATCCTGGTCCGCCAATGATCTTTTGTCTCGGGTCGTTACCTCCGCTAGAAACATCGAGGACATCCACTCCGCGGCTCGCCAAAATTTCAGCAAGTTGAATGGTTGAAGTGACGTCCCAGCTGGGCTCATTTTCTAGGTGCTCTAACCACTCCGTGCCACTAACACGGAAGAAAAGAGGCATCTTCCCGGGCATGTTTTGTCGAGACACGTCAACGATCTGGAGCGCGAACCGAATTCGGTTCTGGAAGCTCCCGCCATATTCATCAGTTCGCTTATTAGAGACTGGGGAAAGGAACTCGTGGATAAGATATCCGTGTGCGCCGTGAATCTCAATAGCCTATGAATGATTTCGGTTAGCTGTGAGTGCACATTTAATGAATCCAGTGAACATACATCAAACCCGGCCCGAACTGCTCTTTTAACAGCTTCGCCCCAGGACAGTATGAAGGATTGAATCTCACTGAGAGACATTTCCCGAGGAATGATGTTTTTGTCCTTATAGGCGATAGCGCTCGGGGCAACCACATCATTAGGCCAGCCGTAACGCTGTTAAAATAAATAAGTAATCTGTAAATGTCAAATTAGGGTGTCTTCATACCGGTGTAAAACCCTCATTTTCGAAACCGTTGACCTTAGGTTAATGATTAGTACATGGTGTGCGTCTCGTAGCGTCTAGATATAGCCTACCGATTTCATAGGAGCCCCTGGGCCACGAGTCATGGACAGCCAAGGTGCAACGGTGCTTGCTTTGCGTCCAGCATGCGCGAGTTGAATACCGGTGAGCTGGCCCTGGCTATGAGCAAATTCCACGATCCTCTTTAATGGCTCGATCTGAGAATCCTTCCAGAGGCCGGAGTCCTCCGGTGTAATTCGACCATTAGGAATTACCGCAGTGGCTTCTACGAAGGAGAGACCAGGTCCACGTGAGATAATGCCACCCAGATGAGCAAAATGCCAGTCGTTAAGGTGTCCATCTGCGGCCGAATATTGGCAGAGGGGAGAGAGCTTTCGTTATCAGTTATTGCTAAAGCAGTGAAACCGCAAGGTCTACTCACCAAAATGCGGTTATGAAGCTCAAGACCTCTGATCTTCAATGGAGCAAAGAGCTTGGGTACATTCGGGTGATTCGGCGCTGGTGAGACAACTGTGCCGGCGGGCGGGTCTTGCTTTGGGGTAAAATATGATACCTGATGAAAGTCAAATCTGTGCCAAGACCTTAATAAATATTGACTCAGGTGGTGGCACTTACACCGCTGGCTGGTTCGTTGGCTATTTCAACGATGGCACTTTCGTCGGCGTTTGCGTAGTGGGAAGGCATCTTGAACGATTGCAAAAACTTGTTTGGTCTCCTGTTTCTGTTACAAGATTTGCAGATTTCTAGATTTATATAGTCCCTTTTCTTTTATGTATTTCTAAGCCAGGAGGACCACATTCCAAAGTTCAGAACTTTCCACCAAAATCTCTCCGAGAAACTGGGTTTCTTTTGTCTCCACGTTTGCCTCATACAAAGAAGCTTAACCTGTCACGAAGATCCTCATTGGGTGTTGAGGCGAGGCTGACAAAAGTATGCAAACAGTGGGTGGTATGGACTCCAAGTCCACCGGACTCGGACCTGGAAAATTGAAACCACTTGGGAAGCCATCTTCCTTGGCTACTTCTGCTGGCGTCCCAGGCAGTCGGAGAGACATATTATTTTTCAACGATTATACCGGCCACATTCGTAACAAAACGTTAGTCGCTGTTGAGCGACGATTCACATTATCGATCGAGTTGAAAAGATGTGAGGCTCTCTCTCTACTTAAAGTAGCACCGGCGCACCACCGTGTACATTTCCAGACCTCCCTCATAGCCTATGGAACTCTGGTGGTCTCTAAATATCATTGGCGAGGAGAGAGCAAATCCTAAAAAGGCATTTCGATATGGTTCGTCCGTGCAGACCGATGAAAACTTACCAACCTTTGACGTGTTTAGTGATGCCCTTGAACCCCCTTAGATGGTCATTTAGGAAATGGCACCTATAAGAAGGCTCGGTGCATACTAAGTCCATAAACTGCGTGTTGAATTTGATTAAACCTCGACAGGAGTCGCGATTCTCCAGGTCTGGTCCAGTCCTAGAACCGCCAAGATCAGGTTCCGGGTCTAGGTTCTTAGAACCGCGATTCTACTATAGGGTAGTTAGAACCGACCTTGGAACCTGCAGGTTCCTCAAACAGTGCAAATCATGGAAACCCTTGGAGTTAGTATATCTTATGCAAGTTATACAGTTTTGGCCAGTGAGTATTCATCTTACATCTCTAGTTAAAAAGAAGAATTAGATGCGAAGAGAATTAGATAGATTTATAATGTAAAATGGTGGGATCTTGAGATTCTCTGTTCTATGGCTTTTGATATTCATACATGCTTTCATCCCTTCGTATACGCTTCAAACCCCGCCAAGATGTCCGCCCTCGGCATGTAAATTGCAGTGGAGAGTGTCCAATAAAAGTATTAAAGGCACAACAGGTTTTTGGGACCATCATGGCCGAATTTTCTGGCAGGGAGGTGGTTGCCACTCTATAGTTATCATGTTATATTGTATGAAAATTCTTATATCTTAGAGGTCTGTAGAGTACCGTGAGTCCGCCTCGCAAACTATCACTTATTTTGAGACCGAGAGGCCGGCACAGAACACTTTGAATACTGATTGAGATACTAAAAAAGCATATATTGAGACCTAGCAAGAGCAGGCATAGGAATATCTCAACCATACCAGTCAGGTCACAGAAGAAGCAAGTAGAAAATGACAAAAGAATAGACTTCAAGGTATCTCGAAGACTACTCGGCCTTGCCTTTCCCATGGGAAGGGTGACGATTCTCATCCGAGGAAGGGTGGCGATTCTCATCCGAGACAGGAACTGGAACTTCGACAAGCCGCCTGGGCATCAAGGAAGGGCCAAGAGTGACACCTACAAAGTCCAGATGGGCAACCATGGTCCATAGAGACCAGGCTTCCCACGACATTCCCATAATAAGGAAAATAGACTGATCGGTTTCATAAGCGTCCGAGATCTCCACTTTCATACTGAGCGGTAGATCTTGGATCGCATTTTTGAAGCTTTCTAGTACGTCGCTATGACCCCGTGTTTGACTGTGACCGTGCAAGGTCAGTTTGACAAGTACATGTTTCTCATTCACATGTGGTGAAGGGCGTGGGATGCGCGAGGAAGGAGTGTGGTCATTGAACACGAGTCTGATTGGCCGGGTACCACTGAGAGTTTCAAACACAGCATTTGGAGCATTCCGTGGTTTCTGTCGCTGTATTTCCTGAAACAAGGCGGCTGTGGACACACTTGATTGACCTTTAAAGTGCTGAACTGCATGGAATAGTCGCATAGTAAACGATGCTTTCTGGCCCCGAAGGCTTGTTCCCTCATTAGGACCACAGGCCGCCATAACTTGGGTCACTCTTGAGGCCTGTGTTCTTGTTGCGGCGCCAGAGTAGCAACAATCAACTACCCCGAGGACATCGACGTGTCGCACAGCATCTCTTTCGGAAAAAAAGTCTGCACGGAGATCGGACCATGCAATAAGTTTACCGTCCTGGATAAAATGCAGTCCCCCATCGACGATAGCTCCATGTCCGACGTAGTAGAACACGAATAAGGAATGTTGTTTGGAATTACAGCAGTCAACAATCATTTTGCGGATCTTGTCTGAAAGATTCCAATATGGGGTGAGGTCCGTTGCTTTCAGAATGTGATCGGTATACTGGATGTTGAAGGTTTCCATGACTTTGCCCATAGTGATGATATCTTGCTCTGCACCGGTAGTATCATTTTCCCAGCGAATGAGGATGGCCACTTTCCGGGCGTGAACATTACCACGGGATGCTGCTACCTTTTTCAGGTCTGCTTTTAAGACAGGGAGGTGATGAACCCGAGGTGCCTTCGAAGGAAATGAAACAGGCACTGATTGAAGCGGAACAGGGGCGGAATGGTGAGATGTAGCGGGCGATACTGGATCAGATGGTTCAGACATTGTACTAAACGATGTTAGTCCTTAGAAAAAGAAAGAAAAGTATGGATCACTTGATAGTTGGTACTCACGATGTGAATTGTGGGGACGAAATGATGTCGAAGTGATAACAGTCTGAGGAGAAAGTGAGGTAAAGATGGGTTTCAGGTGAGAAGAAACTGAAGTGCAAGCAGACGTTCGAAGAGGAGAGACTCGAAAAGTGCGTTGTAGAAAAGAGATGCTTGTAGCATCAAAGAAATCTTTGTATCATCGGTCTTGAACCATAAGAGGAGCGGTTGCTCACATAGAGCCCCGACGCCAATTTGGGCTTCGGACCCGTACCTTCCACCTTTGGGACTATTCCTTCCGCTGTTGGTAATATCATGGGTCCTATAGTCAATGCACTTTTTTCTACGTATGCCTCTTGGAGGCGGATCGGATGGGTCAACCGCCCATTGCTTGGAACAGGCGCACATGATTATCTTCTTTCTCAACAAGAATGTTAATGACACAGGCTTAGCCATCGCGCAGTTTCAAACTATTCGCCTGTTTGGTGGCCTTGTCGGCCTCACTATCTCTTCATCCATTTTCAACAATGTTTTCCCGAAGACAATTACTCATACTACAGTTCAGTTGACGGGGGTCTTGGCACCTCTGAAAGATGCCTCCAACGCCGTCAACTTCGATGGGCTAGGAAAATCAGGGACTAGAATGGTCACAAATCGCTGAAATGAGAACCTGCAACCTTTCCGCTGTTTTATATGTTTCAAATAACAGAACTTGACCACGTTGACATCGAGATGACGTGTCAAATCCCTACTAGCCACCACCCATCAGGTTTTGCGGTTCTCCGCCAGATTGAAGCAGCAACAACCTGGAGATGGGCAAATTGTCCACAACAGAGTGCTAAATCCTTTCCTTATATTTTGGACAATACGGAGACATCCCCTGAAAGGAGGCAGATTGGGGCACTAACGTGGAGTTTGAAGATGTTCGTGCTGACCAGTTGGTTGACAGGGATGTGGGTCGAGAGACCATTCAAGATCATCATGGTAGGATTTACATTGATGGTATGACTAAGGCTAAAGGTAGTCCAATGCACACGATAACCCCCCTAACTCTGGTATAAGTACTATTGACAACCGCTGAGTATGCTGGGGGGGCTGTGACAAATACACATTATGATATAATACCTCCCGTGAGACGAATAACCTCAAGGAACGGTATCCGGGAACTCCTTGAAATTAACGAAATGCTCTGCCCCCATCTTCAATGACCGACCACGCTTTTTACTGCCCGCATTAATAACAATAGGTCGTAGTCCAAAGGCCTTTGTAATCTGTACAGCTTGGATTCGTGGCAGTCCTTTGCCTCTTAGAATACACAAAATATAAAAGTCTTTGAACATCATTTGTATTATATTACCCCCTTTTGTTGGAAAGAGAAGTGTAAATGTTGATTACCTGGACAACATTTTCGCAAGGCTGACCATCCATGGGGGATTTCGAAAGTTCTCACACTTTCGGAATGATCTGTTGAGAACCTTGTGATCTTGTCCATTAAACCAAGGGGCCTATTTGGGACTAATCCAGTTGCATTAGTCACCAGAGTGATATATTGATTAGCAAGCTGGAAACGTTGGGCGATTACAAAGTCAAGCTCCTCCATGGAAAGATGCTGTAGTGCCGACATACAGAATATGTGGTCGACCCTTTGTGTTCTTTCGGCCAGGTATACTTCCATCCTCTTATGAACGAGCTCGGTATACAAATTGGTTTGGTGGCAGATATCCAATGATTTCTTGGATATCTCGACTCCCACCATTTCCGTAATTTTGTTCGCCGGATGCAATTTCAGACGGTAGCCGACAGTGCCAGTCCCACACCCAAGATCAAGTGCGGTGCCTTGATAATATCCCGTCGTAATATTACTGGCAGCGTCGGTCGCTGAAACCGGGCCAGCATGAGATTGAACCAGGGAGTCATAGAAGTTTGCCACTTCAATAAAATCATATTGCGATTGCATTAAGCGCAGGAAAGGCTGCTGGTGCTGTTACAAGTCGACTCGTTGAGATCAATACAAGTATCCATGTCAACGCTAGACCAAGTCTTAGGTGTCTATCTGCAGTGCTTCCGTGTTATATTTTATGTGATGACTGGGCTGAGTGCACTGGGTTTGGCGACTTCAATATTCCTGGATGAGATAAGCCTCAGTGGCAGGGAACTTGGGAACCAGCGCTTTGAAGACTAGGCTATAATCTCAGTAATAAGTTTTAGTGCTACGATATCTGGGCAACATGGTTCATATAAGCTGTTCCCGCACGCAATAATCCCGCACCTAATCAGTTGCAGTGTCTTTTCCATGGAAGAAATTGGCTCTCTTGTATCCGGAGAGGTATATTTACGAAAGTTTTGACTGGAATTAATCGTACTAGATGGACTCACGAGAAAATAAAGCGGTCTCCAACGGGTCCCCAGGTGTCAAACCGAAAAGGGTATGTATGCTGCGGAGCGTCTTGATGCGGGAGCATATATCATCGTACATATTCTTTTCATGAGAGTTCACATCGAAGAACATTTTAAAAGCAATAGTGCAGCTATGAAGGATTTTCCCATGCAGATCATTAATCCTACATACCTCAAATGTAGCGGTCTAGGGAAATCGGGGCTAGCAATAAATGCTAATCGCAACTGATGAAAAGTTGATGTTGAGGCTAAAATGAACCTGTATAAGAGTAAATACTAGGTCTGTTCAGATGAAACTGAGAATGTGGAAATATCAAAACATTGAAATTAGAAATCGAATAAATCTGATAGCGTGGGGTAAAAAGGGACCTCGGGACCCTTGGCACTTTAGGCACCACGTTATCACGTCAACATGAGGCTGAACTTGATACAAATCTCTCGCATCTAGAGACCGACACCAAAAAGGAAAGCAAAATAAGAAATCTCAGATCCAGTTACAATCAAAGTTGTTGTGAGACCCACCGATCTTACGGCCCAGCCGCTTATCCAATTTGTTTCTCTTTTTCCCAACTTCACCTTTCCCCCCAAACACCCATCTTCCCCGGGTTCGGTTTCTTCACTCCCTTTCAAAACTTTGGCTTGATCAGGGTTCTATCAATCGCATACTCTTATTCGTTGTGGGAGCTCTGTCCCGCACTGAACTTGCCCCCCCGCCACACCTCCGCGCTTCTCTCCTCCATTCCCCCCTTCCCCCTCCCCCTTACTCCGAACTCAGAATTCAGACTACATTTCAGTCTCAGCCAAAATGGATCGGGCTATAGCGCGCGCCGTGACCGAGAAGCAGCCGGTCCCGGAGATCGACTTCACATTGCACACGATGGAGGACAACACACAGGTGTCGACAATGGAGAGAGTGGTCAAAGGTAATGCAGTGGTCTCGGTCGCTTTCGCAAGATGTGATCTGATTGCTAACGGTTTTTCGTGACAGAGGTCCAAGCGCCCGCTCTCAGCTATCCTCCGGATGATATGTTTTGGTCGCCTGAGGATCCCTCCAAGCCCAATCTTCAGTACCTCAAGCAACACCTCTATCGTGAAGGTCGTCTTTCAGAAGAACAGGCTCTATGGATCATCCACGCCGGTACACAGGTTTTGAAAGCCGAGCCAAATTTGCTCGAGATGGATGCGCCCATCACAGTGTGTGGCGATGTTCACGGCCAGTACTACGATTTGATGAAGCTGTTCGAGGTCGGCGGTGACCCTTCGGAGACGAGATATCTGTTTTTGGGTGACTATGTGGACCGTGGTTATTTCAGTATTGAGGTGGGTCATCCAAGTCTCCCTAAATCTAGACCTACCCTGACCATTTGTCTCCGCAGTGCGTCCTCTATCTCTGGGCATTGAAGATCTGGTATCCCGATTCACTTTGGTTGCTGCGGGGTAATCACGAATGTCGCCATTTGACAGACTACTTCACCTTCAAGTTGGAGTGCAAGCACAAATATAGTGAACGGCTCTACGAGGCATGCCTGGAATCCTTCTGTGCGCTGCCGCTGGCGGCGGTTATGAACAAGCAGTTCCTCTGCATTCACGGTGGTCTCAGCCCCGAGCTGCATACCCTCGAAGACATCAAGGCTGTATGTATCTGCCCTATCCGCATTTTTAATGATGATATTAGCAGAATGCTTACCGGCATAGATTGATCGCTTCCGCGAACCCCCAACCCACGGCCTCATGTGCGACATCCTTTGGGCTGACCCTCTGGAGGAATTTGGTCAAGAAAAGACAGGCGATTTCTTCATTCACAACAGTGTCCGTGGTTGCTCCTACTTTTTCTCTTATCCTGCGGCATGCGCGTTTTTGGAGAAGAACAATTTGCTCTCCATCATCAGAGCTCATGAGGCCCAGGATGCCGGATATCGCATGTACAGAAAGACGCGAACCACCGGCTTCCCCAGTGTTATGACTATTTTCAGTGCGCCCAACTACCTGGATGTTTACAACAACAAGGCGGCTGTCCTCAAATATGAGAACAATGTGATGAACATCCGCCAATTCAACTGCACCCCGCACCCATATTGGCTGCCCAACTTCATGGATGTTTTCACTTGGTCTTTGCCGTTCGTTGGTGAGAAGATCACAGATATGCTCATCGCTATTCTCAACACCTGCTCGAAGGAAGAGTTGGAGGACGAGCCTCCCACACCTGTGTCTCCTATTGAACAGAAGGATAAAGATCCAGTCTCGTCTCCCTCGATGGACCCCGAATCCACCGAGTTCAAGAGACGTGCTATCAAAAACAAAATTCTTGCCATTGGTCGCCTCTCTCGTGTCTTCCAGGTTCTCCGCGAGCAGTCCGAGAGTGTCACTGAGCTGAAGACGGCGGCTGGCGGTCGTCTTCCTGCTGGAACCCTCATGCTAGGTGCGGAAGGTATCAAACAGGCTATTCACAACTTCGAGGACGCCCGGAAGGTTGATATCCAGAACGAGCACGTGCCTCCTAGCCACGAAGAAGTTATCGCAAAGAGCGAGGAGAGTCGTCGTGTGGCTCTGGAGCGGGCTGAGCATGAAGCTGCCAACGATGCTGGACTCGCCACGGTTGCTCGACGGATCAGCATGTAAGTGTTCACTTGAGAGATCTTGCCACCATTCCATTTCACATACTAATTAAAATCATCAGGTCTGCTGGCTCAGGTCGCCCCCGTTCTCGACAGAGGGATCCTCCTAAGGATGCCTGATCAAACTATGATGTGGCCGAGTTGATATTATGACACGATCTATGCATTTCTTCTTCCTGTCCTCCAGCGCACACGCCTTTTGTCCCGACACGATCGATACGATACCCTATCTATCTGCTTGATCCTAACCCTCGCCTGGCGATTTAACCTGTGAATCCACAACTCTAGCGATAAATAGGACTGTTCAGTTAAAATGTGTGCTTTTTCACCCCACGTTTCGTAGCCAAGTCTGCAACTATAGTACTGAAAGGGCTTCATTTACTTTAATTATTGACATAATGATCTCCCTAATTTCAACCAAGTTATCTGGTGGCTAAGTAAAGTATGAGACTACCTGGTTATGAAGCCCGTGACGGACGCCAAGGCCCGTTCCCGCATCCACTTCCGCTCAACCAAGTTCATCCCAAGTGCCATCGCGAGAACTGCCCTACAAAGCTCGCTTCACTGCGCCCCAATGGCTCCAAGATTGCGCAGCGCGCTCGCAAAGAGCCTGTCGCGTCCACTGGATATCAGCGCTGTCTTTTACTGCCCCTCGTGCGCGATCTGGCGACGAACCTTGTCCGCGCGCGCCTACACCAGTCGCAGCATCGACAAACCCGACACATCTCGACGAGTCGCCAGAGCTCAAAACACAATCGCAGCATCGGCTCCCCGGACATTTACCACATCCTCTATTATTACTGCGAGGAGCGTGCCGCCACGGTTCAAAGAGCTGCACGCCGCACTCGAAGGAGTGAAGGATGCCGCCTTGGAAGAGGTGAACCTCAGTCGGCTGCAATTTGCACTGCGGGGATTGGAGTCTGAAACGCCTCTTATTAGAGTAGCTGGTGAGTTTCTGGTTATACGACCGGACTATTGCTTCCGGCACTGGGTCTTCCTCAAAAAAAGCATGGCACTAATCTATCTTCGAATTGGACTCTAGTTCTTGGATTGAATGATGCCACCTCTGCACGAAAGCTTGTTCGACTACTACTTGCCGACCCATTGGCACCCCGGGAAGGTTGGGAAGACATCCTCGACTCATACGATGCCGATTCATCCCGAGGACTGCTGATCAGGTATGGACAAGTCTTCTGTCTGCGGTGTTGACCCTCCTCAACTAGTACTAATTTGAAGGATTAATTCTATAGATATGGCGAAATCTCACAATCCATCCCCAATGACCTGCTACCGACCATATCAGTGCCATCGCCCATCCTGAGGAAAGGAAACTTGGAGATCCTAGTCAGCACTCTAGGCTCTGAGCCTGACAACCACGCCACTACGTTACACGCCGACACCTTCCTCGTCCCAACAGTTACCATCCAGACCTCGCACTCCGGTCGGCATAATTTTGTTCGGTATCCTGTGCACCGCACGATCGTATGCGGACGTGGAGTGGATGGCCTGCTATCGTACAGCACAATGATAGGTCGGGCAGACCTGAAAAACGAGGCCTCTTCAGTGCGCGGGGCCATTGAACTTGCAGTGGCAGACCAGAAGTCCACAAACGAGCGACTGTCCCTGGTAGATGTCGAGCGTGCCAGCACAGCACTGGATAAATTCCGTGAATCTGTCCACAATGCCTCCGACTACGAACGTGGGTGGAATGGCAGTGGCGTCCAACCTCTCATCGATTGGCTTGCAACTTTCTCGGATGCATCCAGTGGAAATGCACTGAATCCGGCATTGGTCCCTCTAGTGGAGTCTCTTGTTGACGCAGCCGACGCTAGTGTAATCGCCAGAGATGCCAAGGCGCTCCATGATCAAACTTCCGGCGTGGCCTCCGAAGAGGTTCGGTCCAACTTGGACCGGGGCGTGACTAGCTGGGCCGAGCGTGCTCACTCTGAGCTTCGCAGTTCCCTCGATGCAGGGCTGGCCAGTCCTCGCTGGCGTGGTCTTGCATGGTGGAAACTCTTCTGGCGCGTTGACGATGTGAGCATGATTACATCCGAGATCTTGGAACGGAACTTCCTTCGCCGGGCGGAGCAGGAGGTCATCTGGACCGTGGGCAAACACCAGCAGGCCGGCCTGTTGGAAGAGCCTCCATCTTCCATCCCTGACACTGCAAAGGACTCTGCCATGCCTCCCTGGCCAACCCAGATTCCCGACCTTCGCACCAAGCTCCTGACTAGCACAGTGCCATCCCTTCAAGCCCTCGCCCAGAGTCTGGTCCTTTTCACCGTATCCACCACTACCTTGACGTCTGCTCTTTCCGCCCTAACCTATGTGGCTATCCCATCGGCCGGCGTGTACGAGTCATGTACGCTTGCCGCCGTGGGTTTGATCTACTCTATGCGTCGTCAGCAGAAGAGGTGGGATGTCGCTCGTACTTTCTGGGAGGAGGAGGTCCGTGAGGAAGGTCGCACCTCGCTGCTAGAAACCGAAGTTGCTCTTCGCAGTATTGTACGGGATGGCGGCAAGACTGTCGAGGAGCTATCTGACACCCGTGCCCGAAAGTCCGTTGCAAGAGCGAGAAAGGCTTTGGAAGACGTGAAGGTGTAATCTGCGCTGTAAAACATCGAACAATGTACTGTATGTGTATTGCCTTTTTAGGATAGAGCCCTAGAGCTGCAATCTCTATGATATTCGTTAAGAATCGTGGTAGTGCCATCTACCACGTTCCGAGGTTAACATCCCGTTTAGGAAACACATATGTGCATCAGACCCGTAAATCTCCACTCTCGTGTAATAGTTTTGAACGGAAGTGGAATGTGGCTTTCTCCAAGTACAATGGTTGTAGACCAAGGCCTAATTATAGCCCAAGGGATGTTCAAGATATATCTTGTCATATACTGTACATAAGCCGAACATAAGTTGCTCCATAGTAGATCTTAATACATGATAGCTAATGCAGGCCTTTTCTATTTTACAGATATTTAAATGCCGAGCTACGTCATACTAAAAAGCTTCGCGAGGACAATGTGAGATCTGGGACATGGGGGGACAGAGTGTTGAATCAGGTCAGGGAGAATAATACATCTTAAACGGCATGGTCTAAGCTCGTTTAAGCATGGTCCGTACTACAGTTGATATATATCTTGACTCCGATAGGATGAAATATACAATCTCTTATAGATGTATCATTTTATATACACCTGTTTCATATTGGGCACACACAATACTCTTTTCCGAGTAATTGCAAATTCCCCCTATCGAACCCCAAATAGGGGCGATATAATTTAGTCGTTTCAGGTTGCGCCCTCTAAGCCAATCTCCATGCCCAACGTGGGTCACCAAGACGGGTCTAGTGGTTTAGCCCAGGAACGCGCCGTTCGTTCAAGCGTCTCAGATATCGACAACGGGAAGTCCTCCACAGAATCTTCATCTTCTTCCCCCTCTCTCTCTCCCTCGTGTTCTGGCGCGCTGGAATTACACGTAAATTAAAACCCCCCCACCCAGGATGGGTGCTCATTTCAATTTCGGATGAACACCCAATCGTAATACGAAGGGAGATAGAGGCTCAGACTACTGTTCGACTGGTAATGAGTCCCCAGCCTGCTTAATTTCTAAAATGTGAAGGGATTGGCCGGCTCATTAAACTCAGGCCCCTCTCCAAGCACTAAGGGGGGATTGGCGCCTCATTATTGAGGACCTCCCATTTTTTCTTACCTTTTCCGCCTTGAAGTACTTGATCCCCGTGGGCTGCTCCTTAATCTGTTCCCTCTCCTGTGTCCTCACTCTTTTGCCCTATCTCAGGGTCTGTCGCTCATTACTTTTGTCGCTCATTTATTGCCTCGGTTCTTTTCTATACTTAAAAATTCAAGTGAGTTATTCTTTTGGTGGCTGTTTTTAATTGAAGATAGGGTTGAGGCTAATCAATGGCGCATCTTCAGGGATATCCAGCCATCTTTGTTTACTGACGTCAGGAGAACGCGTTTGATCGGTAAGTCGCATATTTACCCTACTCTCCATATCCCTACGGGGGAAGTGGTGTGCCAGCCCGACAAGCAAGGGGTCATTCCTCTACCCTTGGATCGGAAGGGAGCATCGATATAAGATTGCTTGGACGATCGATTGGACTCCACGGGGTCTTTTTTCGATCGATGCACCCGTGATGTCTTGACTTTACATCCTAACATCCTGCTCAGTATCTACACTCTCTCGCGCTCCTTTCACGCCTAACCGGTTGATTCGGTACTCCTGGCGAGTCTGTCATTTACAATTCCCTGAGATCATTCATTCTTTTTTATCCGAGCCCGTCGACACGGCTCAACCGCCAACATGCAGGACATTCGACTGACAGCCATTGCGATGGCCTGTCTTGCGCTATTCCCAAGCCATGCAGCTGCTTTCTGGCGTCTTCCTTGCCGTGGAAGATCGGGTCTCGCCCGGATTGACCCCATTGTAGAGCCGGGCAAGGCCTCGGGTCACGCTCACGCGGTCCATGGAGCTGGAGGTAAGCGCGCATTGTCCTAAACTTGTCCTATGGATGTGCTGATTTATGGTTAGGCTTTGGCATGAGCTCCAGCCAGAGCGAGCTGCTCGAATCTGATTGCACCTCGTGCGCAGTGACTGAAGACAAGTCTGCTTACTGGGCTCCCGCTTTGTACTTCATGCACACCAACGGCAGTGCCCAGGTCGTTGATGAGGTTGGTGGCATGCTTGCGTAAGTCTGACTTCGGCTCTCGCGGTGAGACACTACTAACACTCAACCAGCTACTACCTTCTGTATGGAGAGAATATCAAGGCTTTCCCAGATGACTTCCGCATGCTGGCAGGTGACCCCTTCCAGCGCAACTTCACCTGGCCCGTTCCCGACCCTCCCAAGTCCGAGTGGTCTGGTGCCCAGGCCTCACAGGCTGCTTTGCGCCAGAAGGCCCTTGGTTTCAACTGCCTGAACTATTTGAAGGCCCCAGAGGACTCCCTCAAACGCCACCACCTTCCCGACAAGGATTTCCTTGATGAGCATTGCACCGATGGAATCCGATTTGAGTTGATGTTCCCATCTTGCTGGAATGGCAAGGATGCCGACTCCCACGACCACAAATCCCATGTCGCATACCCATCTCTTGTTATGGATGGTACCTGCCCCGAAGGTTTCGAAACTCGCTTGGTATCGCTCTTCTACGAGACTATTTGGGACACATACGCCTTCAAGGGCGTCGATGGATATTTCGCGCTCGCCAACGGTGATCCCACCGGATACGGATACCATGGTGATTTCATGCACGGTTGGGAGGATGGCGTCCTACAGGAGGCCATTGAAACTTGCACCAGCGAGACAGGCATCATTGATGAGTGCGAAGTTTTCACCATTCAGACCGAAGACGAACAGCGTCAGTGTGAGTTCTCCATTCCATCCGAGCTCAAGCACGAAAACTGTCACATGCACGACGACGGATTGCCCGGCGGCATGTCTGTCGAGTGGGGCCCCGAACGTGCTGCGATGAAGGCCAATCCGATTAAGCTTCCCACCATTTCCGTTGCTGGTGTTTCGATTGATCCCAACACTTTGCTCGACAAGTTCCACGCGACCAGCACTGCGGAACCTACTGCCGAAGCTACTACTTCTTTCACTTCCACTTCGACTCCCTCGCCAACCCCGACCCCTGTCACCTCCACTGTTATCGATCCTATCACAGAAGAGATCATCTATCTCCAACGTGATGTTGTCGTCCTCTGTGATGGCAATGGCGAGACGTACTCGACTAGCACTGGCCCCATCCGGACTGTCTCTTCTACCATTACAACCATTATGGAAACTGCTACAGCCGTTTCCTACGTGAAGAAAGACACTGTTCCGGAAGTTGTGGAACCGGTGCAGGATGCTGGCCACGCCCGCAGACATCTTCACCACCGCCACGGTCACGGACACAACTAGGTTTGTGCTTGAAACCCAATCTGCAAAGTACGCGCGCGTCGTTCTCCTTTCTGTCACCTTGGCCGAGAGGATATACCCCATGCTTCTACCTCGAGTTGAACGTTGAATTTGCTGGATTGTACCCCCCGGGACCTTTGATTCATGTACATTTATTTTGTTCTTGTTGAACATCCTCTAATCGGGGAGGGTGTGCATTGACCATATTATCGTTCTCGTGATAAATTTTGAAATAGTCCTGGCTGGTACACAATTTGACCGCATTGGTCGATAAGAATTGAGTCTATGTATATCGTTGGCCGAGTTTTGTAAATGTGCCGCGAAGACTCCCGTCTATCTGGTGAAGTAACCTTGCGAGTTTTGATTTTGGAAGTGGGGAATGACCTTGGATGACTCAGTATAATTCGATTGCCATTTGATTCCACATGTTTCGCGATTAGCCTAAAACAGCCGGTGCCCCATTTTCAGAGTCCCCTGCGGCGTCCCGATCGGGGGAAAACAACTCCTTTACCCCACACCGGCCCGTGTATATTAAGGTCTACCTGTCTAAAAACGACTTCGCTTTCCATTTCAACTTCTGAATTAATCTTGCACAATGTCTGACACTCTTCCTGAAATGCAGTACCGGTTCCTCGGTAGAACCGGACTGAAAGTGTCGGTGATCTCGCTGGGTAGCTGGCTCACATATGGCGGACACGTCGGCAATGGTGTGAACCATCTCTATCGATAGAATTGGCCGAAGCTAATAGATTGCAGAAACTGCCCTTGAATGCATGAAGGTTGCCTACGATGCCGGTGTCAACTTCTTCGATACCGCCGAGCAATACTCAGAAGGACAGTCGGAGATCGTGCTCGGAGAGGCAATCAAGAAATTCGGCTGGAAGCAAAACGACCTCGTCATTTCCACCAAGGTAAGAAGCCCGATTTTCCTTCCGTGTTTCTTGCCCCCATTAACCCATCTCTCAGATCTACTGGGGCAGTGCCAACAGCGCCAACCCAAGCAGACCACTCAACAATAACGGGCTCTCGCGCAAGCACATCATCGAGGGCATGAACTTGTCCCTGCAACGGCTTGCACTGCCATATGTAGATATTGTTTACGCACACCGTCCAGACCGCGACACACCCATGGAAGAGATCGTCCGTGCCTTCAACTACCTCATTGACAACGGCAAGGCCTTCTACTGGGGCACTTCGGAGTGGTCTGCCAGTGAGATTTCAGACGCCTGGCGCATCGCCGACAGACTCGGCCTTGTCGGCCCTGTTGTCGAGCAGCCGCAGTATAACCTCCTCGCGCGCGAGAAAGTGGAGAAGGAGTACCGCTGGCTATATGAGTCGCACGGGCTCGGTCTGACGGTGTTTTCGCCGTTGAAGGGCGGTGTCTTGACGGGCAAGTATAACCATGCGGCTGCTCCCCCACCTGGGTCACGACTGGCCGAGTCGGAGAATGCATACGTGAAGGGTCTGCGGAAGACTGTTGGTAATGATACCTGGCAGCGCCAGCTGGATCAGGTTGCAGCGTTGGAGCCTGTTGCTAAGGAACTTGGAGTTTCGATAGCGCAGTTGGCGCTCGCGTGGATTTTGAAGAATCCGAATATCTCGTCTATGATTACGGGCGCATCGAGGCCGCAGCAGGTCATTGATAACATCCAGGCTTTGGCGGTCGTGGAGAAGTTGACGGATGAGATTGTTGAAAAGATCGAGATCGCTGTTGGGAACAAGCCTGCTGTCGAGTCCAGACGGTTTTAGATTTTTTTTTTTTTTCCTGTTAACATATACTATCTCCACAGTTTCCGTTTGTACAATGTAAAAGCCGTCAAAACCAGACAGGTAGACATTTTACTTGGTAAAGAGGTGTAGCACTAAATCAAACTTGATAATATTGTTGATTTCAAGTAGCTAAAGGGGGGAGGTTTTTTTTTTTTTGAATTAAATCTGTCTTTGTATCCATGTATGTAGTTTGACCCTGGATATAGACATCGTTTCGTGGTTTGTACCGACGAGAGAAATGAAGACTGGATCTCCTTCATGAAGTATCCATTGACAATTGGGTGTATTGGGGTTTGTCCAAGGTTGATCCATGCCTGATGAACCAGGCGGACATGCGAGGTCGCTACCTCAACTTTTTCCTCCATTTACCATCCAACGGTGACCGAGTAGCTACCATCAGAGTGGCTGTGAGCCTCGAATTGAGACTCACCAACACAGTCACCGTACTCGTAAGGAGCACCCAGTGCTCCTGTGTATCCCTTGGAGATAGGAGCGCCGAAGATAACCGAGTGCTTGGGCACATCAGAGCAAACGTGCTCCTCCTTCTTGTCGTTCCAGCCGTACAACTCAACGAAGCCCAACTGGGAGCTTTGAATACCCTTCGATTCAGCGGGAAGAGTGTACGAGCCGATTTGAGTGCTGTTTCCCTTGACAACGTCAACGAGAGTTCCGACCCACTTAGTTCCCTCGGTGTTCTTGATGTGGAGCTGATATTGGTGCTCGTAAGAGCTGACGATCTCAACAGCACAACTCACGCCGGAACCGCCGTCGGCGCCGTCGTGGCAGTTGGGGTCGTCGGAGGTTGTGCCCGCATTGAAGCTGGAGAAGACTCCGTGGATGACGGGAAGGCCGTGGTCGTTGTAAGTGGGCTGCAGACCGGTGTAGCCGACGTTGTCTTGGTTGACGAAGCCGAATTGCTGGGCAAAGTAGAAGCCGCTCTCGTGGGGAGACCCGGTGATGTCCATGGGGAAGTAAATCTCACTCAAGCCCTCGTCGGGGACATTTTCAACGGACCAGCCGATGCCGACCATGCCACCACCCTGGGCTGCGGCGGACTGGAGGAATGGGAGGGCAAAGAGGAGGGATTGAGAGAACTTCATGTTGATGGTTTGAGAGGATTGGGTGTGTGGAATAACATCTTCAATCGGGTTGTTCAACGCCCTTTATATAGACCTATGGCACCTACGAGTTGATAAAGACGAAACACTGAAGCGTTTATTTTAAATGACGATCTGCAACCTTTTTTATCTTACCGATGCCGTCCGTTCCTGGGGTACTACACAATATACGTTCATGTGCTTGATTGATGAGTACGGTGGAGTTGCAATTTAATAAAATAGGCGCTTCTTGTTTTCTCCCCCTTTTGGCAACCCTTATAGCGCCCGTAATAAATCCCATCAGGCCGAGGCAGCTCACACCTATCCAAACTCGAATTCAGCCCAAAGTCTACACAATAAGGTAGATTGTATGGAAATGTAGACACCCACATCCATCTGCCGAAAGGAAAGGCTTTGAGGAATCCACTGTGTGGGGTAAGTGGGCCTGACTTGATCGTTCACAGGGGAAACCCCTTGGAATTGTCAAGGTTCTTCGAGATCTGATCTAAATCCCGTATAACGTACCGTGGCAAATGTCCAGATCTACATCTCACGACTCCTTCCCCCTGTAATCCCAATCTCGTTGCTGGAGTCACAGAATATGCGAAGTAAATCAGAATTGTGCTTTAGTGAATCACGTAGACATCGGTCATTCGTATGATTCCAATATATCCACAAAACAAAAAGCATACATATATATTGTACAATTTGAAAAGTGGAATGTCCCTGAATATCACTAGTTTCAGTTCGCCCTTGTGCAACGAATTTTTTAACGACCCGTCTTGTTCCTTCCAAGGTTGGTATGCGATTCGCTGATCCCCACACTTTATGTATCTAAAATGCCGATCGAGCGTTTTATATAATCTCTAGCTTGATCTGGTGTCATTTAGATTAACTACTTAGATTAAAACGTAAGTTTCGTTGAGTGATGGAACCCTGCGATACCCCATACTGTGTGCCTGCGTAGACCTGTTGTTTTGGAAGGATTGAACTGATTCGGTTTTTAGATGCTGGTAGATGACCAGTTCTAAGGAAGCAGAGGCTCTACGATGTTAGGTCTTGTTTCAAGTCATACTGTGTGGATGTGAAAAATAAACATAACAAGTCAGGGCGCCGAAGGAAATGTCACCGTTGGATACTACGCTATATCCAGAGATAGGTGTAAATGGCCAAGTAGTATGTGATGCTACTGTCTTATTATTGAGAGCTTAGCGGCCGCTAAGGCGCTAAAGGTTGGCATTGGCTGGAGTCCCAATCAGCATAGTGCGTGTTGGAGATAACACGGTCTCTAGATACCAGATCACAATGAGTAACCCAAGAACCCTATGGAGGGCCCTATGGAATATCCTGATAAACTAGTTAAACAGCATCCACCAGGAAGAGCATAGGTCTCTTCAGGAATCTCATAGGAATCTCCGCTCGAAGTCCATGAATCCAAGGCAATAGTACTATTATATATATTTTTTTGTCCAGGCTCAGGCACCTATTACAGTAGAAGGAAGAAAGAAAAAACTCGGTTTTACATCCGCAGACTTCTTTAAACATTCCCTGATTCATGTCACCAATGATGGTTCCTCTCTAAGATATATAGTGAACATTCCTGAAACTTCAACTTTCGTTCAACAGCTTGACACACTGTTCCGCGACTGGACCTTCTCAATTGATTTCAACTATCATCATTGACATAGTCATGAAACACATCTGCATAAAACATCTGCCCTACATCGCGGTGACTCCGAATCTTCGTCCGCAATTGTGATTCGCCCCAAGTATCATACCTGCCCCTCAAAAAGGCAGAATCAACACTCGCGCCCTCCGTCGCCTCTAGTGCCATCTTTTGCATCGCAAAATGATTTTTTAAAGTTCCAACCGCCTCCTCCTTGGTCAGACTACCCCGAACACCCTGAAAAAAGGGCACACTATACCTCTCCGACAGACCTGACAACACACGATGCGTCGTCGCCTTACACACACCATGAGTAACCACCTCGAAAGCCTGTCCGATATTCACAACGAACGTATCGTCAATGACAGGAACGTCAATCCATTCACCTGTCTTGTTGAGAACCTGTAAACCTTTCACGGTCGGTGGCGACGCTTGGAGAAGAAATGTCCACCATCCAGAGGAATCTTTGTGGGGACCCACACCTTGAATGTTGGGGTCTGAACTAAGGTCTGAGGCCGGATAATGGACTAGCTTGAGACGGTGCTGTTCTGAGAGGAATGAGAACAGGGTCTCAGGGTCCAGGGAGAGTGCTTCGGCTACCAAGCGCAAGAATCGCTCACTGAGGTTTGTTAATTCGTGAATATATTTCCTAATGACGCTTCGAAGAGACGGGTCTTGCAACGGCCACTGTTGATTATCAGCATAACTTCGAAGCTAGACTGATGAGCTGGAATATTCGGTAAAATTTATGTACCTGGTTTGGCCCTTTTAATCTTTCATAAAGAGGAAGGCCCACACGCCACAAGTCTGGCAGCTCGGTTGCAAACTCGAACTGCTCGCGTTTATCTGCGACCCCGGCCGTTGTTTCTGAGCCTACTTGGCTGTATCCCAAAAAATGGGGGGAGTTGTGCAGAGCGACTTCTTCTTTTTCGGCCGGATCAAGGGCAAAGAGGGTGGGTAGGGCATGTTTGAGGTCCGAGATTACATCTTGTGGAACATCGTGGTTCGTGATATACAGGAACCCAATGCAGGTGAGGGCGTAGTGGAGTTCTTGGAGAAGCTTGGGCCGGGTTATGGGAGACTTGGCGAGGGATAGGTCGATGACCGGGATATATTTGAAGTTGGATGTCATTTTTGGGTTCAAACCAGAGCCGGTGGCAGGAAATGGCTTTTAACAAGGCAACTTATATAGAGCTATGGCGTAATATACCAATTTACTCTACCCCACGATTCTGCGGGGTAAATCGGGAAGAAATTAAAGTCGACTCGTATTTGTCTTATCTAAACACACTTTCCACCATCCACCACCATCTCAGTGCCGTTGATGAAACGAGCCTCGTCACTGGCAAGGTACAGGCACATGTTGGCGATATCATCCACGTCGGTGAGGCGGCCCAGTGGCACGTTTCCGATGAACTTTTCTCGGTTCTCGGGGGTATCTTCCATACCGGTGAACATGGAGAATAGTCCAGTACCAGAAAGAAGAGGAGCGACAGTGTTGAATCGGATATTGTGGGGACCGTACTCCGCGGCGAGACCTTTGGTGGCCTGTATAGATTGTTAGCAATCCATTATTCATTGTCCAAATATTCCAAGATTCAGCACTCACATTGGTGACTGCCCCCTTGGTGGCATTATACCAGACCAACCCAGGCCGTGGTCGACTCGCTCCGGTGGAAGAGATGTTGATCACTGAGCCACCCTGGCCCTGCTCGATGAAACGCGGCACTAGGGCCTTTGTAGCGAGATAGATGCTCTTCACGTTGACCTTGAACACGCGCTCCCACTCTTCCTCTGTAACCTCTGCCGTCGGCTGATGGAAATTAGTGATGCCTCAACCTTGGAAGCAATGAAGCTCACCTTGTTGCGATAGGTAGTGCCCGCATTGTTCACTAATATATCCACTCGCCCGAACTTGGAGAATGCTAAATCCAAGACAGTATTCCAGTCCGATTCTTGTGTGACATCTTGACGCTGGAAGACGAGGTTTGAAGGATTCTGCGCGGCAACTTTCTCGCCGCCCTCAACGTTGATATCGGTCACGACCACTTTAGCACCCTCTTCGCCGAATCGTCGAGCGATAGCTGCACCAAATCCAGAACCTCCTCCTAAGAGGAAAAAAAAAGACGGGTATTAGCATCTATAAAGTGTGGAATAACAGTCTTAGTCTTACCGGTGATGATGGCAACCTTGCCTTGGAGTCTTGAACCTTGAGACATCACGAAGTTTCAGAGAATTATTGTGATTAGAATAATAGAAAAGAGCCTGTCCTTTTTAAAGGTGTTCCAAACAGCCGAGGGGTAGCTCGGAGGGAAATCCGCTACCTTCCCCGCATGTATAACTAGACAAAATATCGTGAATATTCCTTGGCCATTCCCCGATGATCAACTAACCCCCTTACAGTAGGCAATCAAGAGGAATTTTTTTTTTTTTTTTTTTTTCAACTTTCAAATGAAAAAGTAGTATCCTATGATGCATTTCCTTCCCTTTGGCTTTCTAATTCTTCCTGCTATTGCGGGTTCAACGGCCGATACGAATGCCTGTTATGGTTCCAACGTGATCTTAGCACCTTCAGCGGACCATCGTCCTGTGCCATGGGGTACCCCGAGTGTCCATTTTTCGTTAAATGGCACACCAACTACGTGCTGTGACTCTATAGACGAGATCCGCACCGCACTCGATGATATCGATGATGAGATGCTCGGTCTCCTAAATCGGCGGTTTGTACTCCGTGTTCCCGTACCCTCTCTGATTTGCCCGGGATGTTCCATCAAAAAAGCGGGCCTAACATCCTAATGACATTGGCATTAACCTGAACATCTTGACTGCAGAGCTGCGTATGTCCGGGAGGCCACCCGGTTCAAATCCACACGAGAGTCTGTGAATGTTCCCGCGCGCAATGAGGCCGTCCTCAAGCGGGCCGAGCAGCAGGCGCTGGATATTGGGGTGCCAGTGACGATTGCCCGGGCGGCCATGGGCGCCATTCTGAATTCCAGCGTGCCTTTTGAACGGTGCATTGTAAGTAAGCTTGGTGTCTTTATTAGATCTGAAGCTGATCCTCCAGTTTGATGCCTATAATCAGAGTCATGCTGAACACAAATGGCCCCCACTGTAAGGTTGGGGGGGTCAGTTCCCAAGAAGGAAGCTGGTTGTCATCATGTGTTTAGGTTAGGCTAGAATCCATCCGTCCAGAATTGGTTAATATTGATGATCCTCTTAAAAACTTGAACATACTCTCTTCGGCCCCTAACGGCCCCTAACGTGTGGACGGTTGACGCTAAAGTCGAGCTAAGAGCTTTTAAGCGTCAAACCCCCCGAGATGCAGGGGTGTAAAAATGTTTAGTTTAACTCAATTGTTGAGAACGATTTTAATATAGCAAAATGACCAAGACCAGAGAGAAGCCATTGGCCAAGACCAGATGCGTTTTGCCGTTAGCGCCCCTCCAAATCCAAAGTATTGGACTTATTTCCCTTTATAACATCCACTACGGTTAAATGGCGATAAGCCTGCCAAATGTCCATGTCTGAACATTATTTTATCTTCGAGTCTCGCGCCCGATGGAGAGACGCACGGAGGGTGCACTGTTGTCGGACACGTCAGAGACACAACCCGAACCCCGAAAACGAGTCCGTCGATGGCATCACCGAGGATTTACAGGGTGCTCCACCTGTCGCAGCCGCCATGTTCGCTGCGACGAGGCATCTCCCGCCTGTAACAACTGCGTTCGTCTTGGACGCGAATGCGATGGCGCTCAAGGGCGGATGACCTTCAAGGTCTACGGCCCTTCCCAGACACCGACCGATTCACCGCCAACGAAAAGACGGAACAATGGTACATCTAGCCCAGAATCAAGCGACGCTTCGGCGGTCTCCCCAGCAGGGGAGATGGAAGATGTTGACAGCAAGCAAACCCGCAAGGCTATTACCGCCCCCACAAGGCAGCCGCAACCAACAACCACGTTCCGCTTCCAGGACCCTATGACGTCGATCAGTATCGCGAAATCGATCCAGCGCGTTGAGGAGCGTTATCTCACTCATTTTGTCGATCAGGTATCAATCTTGCTGATCATCTACAACGCCGCCCACAATGCCAACCCCTACCGCACACATTTCCCGGATTTCGCCCGGTCGTCTCCCACAATGGTCAATGCAATGCAGGCATTGGGCGCATTACACCTCGCGAATACCTCGGTGGGGTCGCAGCGAAATAAGCATTTCCAGCAGGCAATGGGCAAATACGGCGTGGTGGTGAAGGGCTTCCGCGCGCGATACTCAGATCCCAGCCAGCAGCTTGGATTAACGGATTTTGCGACATGTCTATTACTTTCCTTATTCGAGGTTCGTTTCCCCTTTGTCTTGCAGACCTGCCATGCATGATCAATTAACATTTCCTGCAGATGATGGATTCCCAACACCACAATTGGGCAGTACATCTCAAAGGAGCTCGTGAAATATACAACCTCCTCTTCTATCCGCAACCCGGAGACTCGACACGTGAAGTACAGCGCGTTGCCGAGACGAACCACCCGCTCCGTCCATTCCTCGTCTCCCTACTCTCATATCTCGATGTAGCGGGTGCCTGCGCAACTCCCGGCGGTACCATAGTCGAAGGTGACTATTGGAAGACCATGGGTGGAGGGTGGGAATACAATCTTGGGACACCAAGCTTATTGTCGACGATCCCCGACAACCCGCGTCTGGGCGAGCTGCGGCAGGCATGGTCAAGCCTGATGGAAGTGCAAGCTTCTATCAGTAGGTTTGCATCGGACAAGAAAACGTGGATGACAAGCGAGCAATCAGACGCGATGTATAAAGACATCTTCAACCAGCTAGTTTTATGGCGTGCCATGGCTCCGCCCTGTCTACAGCTGCTTGCCGATCTGGATGATGAGAGCCTTGCTCAGTATCCGTGTCCTGACGTTCTTGAGTATGCGGGGTGCATTGAAGCATACGAGAAGGCGACATTCATTCATCTGCTTCAGGTCGCGGGAGCTGGGCGTGTTGGCTGGATCACCGATTGGACATATATGGGCATCCTTGTCAGTCGGATTCTTCTGCTAGTTTTCAAACTGTCAAAAGATGTCGGCCAATTGGCTGTTCTGTGGCCCCTTTTCATTGCCGGGCAGGAAAGTCGGAGTGAGTGTGAGCAAAAATACGTTCGCCAGACTATTGAAGGGTTGAAGCGGTTTGGTTTCAGGGTATGTCGCAGAACACACTTCATCAAGACCAGTCCGAATGCTAACATCTCACAATTTAGAACGTTGACAAAGCACTCGAGGTCCTAGAAGGGATCTGGCTCAGGCGACGCTCCTTTCCTGGAGGTTGGATCCAAACCTTGGAGGAAGTTCAGACGAATATCCTTCTTCCCTGATGGGAAGTTGGGTCGAGTCGATATCTCCAATATTCACTCTCCGCTTCTTTATCCGTCCATCTCTCTCTCTCTCTCTCTCTCTCTCTCTCTCTCTCTCTCTCTCTCTCTCTCCGGCGCCGATTGCCTCGCGATATCATCGTCAAACCTATATTGCTTGCTTTTTTCACTGATACCCCATGTCTTCAACTTGAGTCTTTCATAGCTACGAACTTGGTCTGATAGCTTTCCTGCACCGCAGCGTTTATATGAAACAACGTATATAGACCATATCATCATGGGCCATGACTTCACTCATGTCACATCATCCCAGTCCCTTGTCACATCTAGATGTATAGTGCGAACCCCTTACCCGTCCAATATCTCATTCCATGTCGTCGGTAATCTGTGAAGCCTGATGACATGGTGTCCACGTGTACATTGGTGTATCAGGGGTGTCGTCCGTCGCAAGGAGTATTGAGAATTCGAGAGGGGGGTGGGCTCACGGGTGGTATATTTCCTATCTGAACAGAAAGAGCAAGTTGAGCTATGGCATCATTCAGGGTAAGCTAGTGCTAATTTAGTCTTAGTCTCAAGAGAAGTTCTAGAACCAATGGTTCTGCCACGAGCTCAAAGGGCACAAAATCCAGGTTTTTCTGTAAAACAGCAAATTTTTATTTTATATAACCCGGACGTTGTTATACTACCTAGGTACTCATGACTTCTACTTTTCAACTATAATCCTAAAACATATGCGGATCGGACAGCTCCGACTTGATATTTTTGAACCGGACCCCCGAAGCTTTGCCGAAACTTACATTTCATTTTTAAAGAACTTCCAGGGCATATCAAGGAAAATCGAAAGACTTTATATAATATAATCAGTCATAGTGTTAAATCCACCTAAGCGCCGTAGGAGCGGGTCTAATCTCGGTGGAGCATCTGAGAACGTTTTGACTGCGGGACTAACCTTAGAAAGTTTACCAAAAAACCTTGACCTGGGAAATTTCTGACCTCACAAAAATATCAAGATAAACAGAATAAACAAAAGGACAGACATTTGGGTTCCTTCTTCTCTATGTCAAGTCCAGATATGACCTCAAAACACCCTGACGCCGGTCCCACCGACCTCCTCACCAATGAAGGTGGTAATCGAGCTGAGCGCAAGGACCAGGATGATGCCGCCTTACTGGTAAGTGCAGGCTCTGTAAATCTCAAAACTAACACTAACATCGGAGTGCTCTAGCGGACAATGGGCTATAAGCCGGTATGTTGAACCGTATAGATCAAGGGATCAGCAACTGACTCACAGAACAGGTTCTTCATCGGACTTACAATTTGTTCGAGAATTTTGCGACCACATTCGGTATGTTTTTCGCTGTTGGCCACTTTATAGGCGCATACTGACTCTGGCCTAGCTGCTCTTTACTTTGTTGGTGGTGTTCGCGTTACTTTCAGTACTGGTATCGCCGCCGGTGGAAACCTAGCCTATTGGACTAGTTACCTAATAACCATGGTGTTCACCTTCATCACTGCTGCTGTTATTGCCGAAGTTTGTTCGGCTTCTCCGTCCGCCGGGTCGATCTATTTATGGGCCGCCGAAGCTGGTGGGCCTAGATTTGGCCGGCTCCTTGGCTTTATCGTCGCTTGGTGGAGTACGACGGCTTGGACGACCTTCTGTGCAAGTATGTTCCACATCTATCCTGAAGGTTTATATGATATTAATTTTATGATAGGCAATACCCAGGCTGCGACGAACTATATGCTTTCGGTGTGCCTCTTTTTTTTTGGATTCCCAGAGGGATTTGAACTAATATCACTCTTTTAGGAAATAACTGTATTTAACCTCGACTTCCCCTCAGACACAAGCAGTGTCAAATTCCGCTCGGTCCAGTGGATCTGCACTGAGGTTTTGCTTGCTCTGGCTGCGCTGTTGAACTTTTTGCCTCGTATGTACAAACATCCCACTTTGATCCACCATGTCTAACAGCATTTTAGCTCGATACTTCAGATATGTCTTCTGGTGGTCCTCCGCAATCGTGATGCTCGACTTTGTACTGAACCTTATCTGGCTGCCCATTGGCACCGCTCAAACCTGGGGATTCCGTACCACCCACGAGGCCTTCATGACCACGTACAACGGTACCGGAGCCCCGGCTGGCTGGAACTGGTGTCTTTCGTATCTTGCTACCGCTGGTATTCTGATTGGATTCGATGCCTCGGGTCACGTTGCGGAAGAAACCAAGAATGCCTCCGTCACAGCTGCTCGTGGTATCTTCTGGAGTACCGTTGCCAGTGGGTTCGGTGGTTTGGCTACGATTATTCTCTTCTTGTTCTGCGCGGTTCGTCTCCTTTGGTCTCTGCAAACCCCAAGTTTTGACTTTCTGACCTAGTTTTCTTTAGCCTGATACCGACACACTAATGAGCTTCGGCTCCCCCCAACCCTTTGTGCCTCTTTATGCTGTTGTTCTAGGCAAGCGTGCCCATATCTTCATGAACATCATTTGCATTTTCGCTTTATGGCTGGTGAGCTATCTGTTTGTGTGCATGAATATCTCATAGCTAACTTGATCGTCCAGAACACCGCAATTGCCATCATCGCTGCCTCTCGCCTTGTCTTTGCCGTTGCCCGTGATGGTGTGCTCCCCTTCTCAGGTTGGGTCTCTCGTGTAAAGAACGGCCAGCCACGGAACGCAGTTATTGTTGTCTGGGCTGTCGCCGCCCTGGTCACTTGCACCCTTCTTCCGTCCGCCACGGCTTTTACTTCTCTCGTCTCGGCAGCCGGTGTCCCCAGCGCTGCTGCTTACGGTCTGATCTGTTTAGGTCGACTGGTATGCACCCCAAAACGGTTCCCAAAGCCGCAGTGGAGTCTCGGTCGCTGGAGTAAGCCGTTCCAGTTTATTGGTGTCTTCTGGAACGGCTGGGTTGTTGCTGTCCTGTTCTCGCCCTACGTGTTCCCAGTCACTGGCGAGAACTTGAATTGTACGTTAACCCTTTCCCATATGTTTCTATCTCGCTAACCTTTTGGATAGATGCCCCCATTATCATGGCTGGAGTCACCATCTTGGCATTGGTCTCCTACTTCATGATGCCTGAGAGTGCCTGGCTTCCTCGAGAACGCATCAGTCACTTCATTGATAGCAAGGGCGCTACTGAGACTGTGGAAGAAGTTGACTCGAATGACCACGGTGAATCGAGCACTCAATGATGTGGAGGAATGCGAAAGTGTAACTAGCCAGTTCCTAATTCTGGGTGTAGACTGCAGTAGATTGATTTCGGGCTTAGATCATATATTATGCTAGCTAACTCTAGCTAACTTTGAATTGCTGTACTATCAAAAAGGGCCATGAAAATATATATGACCGTATAGTAATCTGTTGTGCCCCAAGTTGTGTAATGTGGAGCATCAAGGGCTTATCTTCTCCAACCTCCCCGCGTTTATGAATATTGCGGGGGGAGCTATAGGATATAGATTATAGGAGAGGTAATAAGAACTCGAGGCATCTGAACATCAGTCTATATAAATAACCGGAGGGGTTTCATCGCAAGGTAGGAATAGTAGGCGTTTCCCCTCTTTGCTTGGACACGATCTGCCGAGAATCGGTGCTTTGACTCAACTTCAGTTTCCCCTCCTTTCTCTTCCTTCTTTCTGTCTTTATGCTTGCTCTTGAGTCTCTTCAGTCTCTTGTTGTGAAAGCTCCAGCGTTGCATCTATCTGTCTGCCTTTCAGTCTGGACTGGATGTGGTACCCCGGTCCATCTACCCCTTCCTGGGCCCAATAGGCATTCTATGAGACAAAAAGACCCGGCACAACGCGCAGCTTGCAGGATCGCTCGCAATGAGTGCTTCAGTATCCCTGCGGTCAGCCCTACGGCCATGTTTTGGGGCGTCCATTCCTCGCGCGGGGAAATCTTTCCATCCGGTGACGTCGGGTAAGTTTCTCCAAATCGAAGCGTTGGGGGCCCAACTTGAGTTGATTTCTAACCACTTTCCTCTAATTAGCCTCGCAAATTCGGCAAGCTGCATCTTTCACATCGCAAAATAAACGTCTGTCCGTTTGCCAGCCGCGATGGCCCTCCATTTCCAAACGAACCGCTACATCCTCGTCTGAGTCCCCTGCCCCCGAGCCCGTGTCTAGCACTCCCTACTCAGCGTTGACTGTTGGAGTCCCTCTGGAAATCTTCCCCGGGGAACGCCGTGTGGCAATCACCCCACAGAATGTTGCCCTTCTATTGAAAAAGGGAGTTTCCCGCGTGCTCATCGAACACGGTGCAGGCGAGAGGGCCCAGCTACTGGACCATGCCTACGAAAAGGCCGGTGCGACAATGGTCGACCGGGACGCAATCTGGTCTCAGAGTGATATCGTGTTGAAGGTCCGCAGTCCTCAGTCGGAGGGATCATTCAATGAAATCCAGGCTTTACGCAAAGGCTCGACCGTTATATCTTTCATCTATCCCCTGCAGAACAAGCCCCTCGTCGAGGCACTCGCGGCTCGTGGTGTGACCTCCTTTGCGATGGATCGCATTCCGCGAATTTCCCGTGCGCAGACCTTCGACGCCCTTAGCTCCATGGCCAACATTGCAGGTTACAAGGCAGTCCTGGAAGCTTCCAATCACTTTGGTCGCTTTTTGACTGGTCAGGTTACTGCAGCTGGAAAAATTCCTCCAAGTAAAGTTCTCGTTATTGGTGCTGGTGTAGCTGGATTGAGCGCAATCGCCTCTGCCCGCCGCATGGGTGCTATTGTTCGTGGCTTTGATACCCGCCCTGCTGTGCGCGAGCAAGTCCAATCTTTAGGCGCCGAGTTCGTCGAGGTTGATTTCCAGGAGGATGGCTCTGGTCAGGGCGGATACGCCAAAGAAATGTCCAAGGAATTTATCGAGGCTGAAATGAAATTGTTCATGGAGCAAGCGAAAGAGGTTGATATCATTATCACCACAGCCCTGATCCCAGGCAGACCTGCACCGAAGCTCATTACTAAGGAAATGATTGCTGCAATGAAACCCGGCTCTGTTATTGTTGATCTTGCCGCTGAGGCAGGTGGAAACTGCGAAGCTACTGTTCCCGGGGAGCTGAGCAACTACAAGGATGTTACTATCATCGGCTACACGGATCTTCCTTCGCGACTCCCTACCCAGTCTTCAACGCTGTACTCGAACAATATCACCAAGTACCTTCTCTCCATGGCCCCCCAGGACAAGTCCTACGGGATTGACTTTAAAGATGAAGTTGTGCGCGGTTCCATCGTGACTCTAAATGGTGAAATAATCCCGCCTGCTGCTCCACCCGCTCCACCCCCAGCCCCAAAGCCAGAGGCCCAAGCTATCGCTGCAAAGGAAGAAGTCGCCTTGACGCCGTGGCAAAAGACAACACGCGACGTGACAGCGGTCACAGGTGCAATGGGCACAACGTTAGCCCTAGGAAAGGCAGCTGGTCCAATCTTTATGGGCAACATGATGACCTTCGGACTTGCTGGTCTGGTCGGTTATCGTGCGGTGTGGGGTGTAGCACCTGCGCTTCACTCGCCTCTCATGAGCGTCACCAACGCCATTTCGGGCATGGTCGGCATTGGTGGACTGTTCATCATGGGAGGAGGCTATGTGCCGACTACTATCCCAGAATACCTCGGTGCTGCCTCCGTGCTTTTGGCTTTCGTGAATATTTCCGGCGGCTTTGTGGTCACGAAGCGCATGCTGGATATGTTCAAGCGTCCAACCGACCCTCCCGAGTATCCATGGCTGTACGCTGTCCCCGCGTTGGTGTTTGGTGGTGGCTTCATCGCGGCTGCCAGCACTGGTATGTCTGGTCTTGTCCAAGCTGGATATCTCGTCAGCACAATGCTGTGCATGGGCTCGATCTCTAGTCTGGCGTCGCAGGTGACTGCCCGACGCGGCAACATTTTCGGTATCCTGGGAGTAGTCTCCGGCATTCTGGCCTCACTGGCTGCGGTGGGCTTCTCACCTGAGACGCTGACGCAGTTCACGGCTGTTGCTGGAGCAGGTGCCTTGATCGGAGGCTTGATTGGCCGTCGCATCACACCAACAGGTCTTCCCCAGACGGTCGCTGCTCTTCACTCGGTGGTGGGACTGGCTGCTGTTCTGACCAGTGCTGGAAGTGTGATGGCCGATATTGGTGACATCACAACTCTACACCTGACGACAGCATACTTGGGTGTTCTGATCGGTGGCATCACCTTTACTGGCTCGATCGTCGCTTTCCTGAAACTGGCTGGGCGCATGTCTTCCAAGCCAACGATTCTGCCCGGCCGACACCTTATCAATTCGACACTATTGGGCAGTAACATTGCAACCATGGGAGCGTTCATTACAATGGCCCCAGGAAGCCCTGCAATAGCAGCTACCTGCCTAGGAGCAAGCACCGTCCTTAGCTTCCTGAAGGGATACACCACGACAGCAGCCATCGGCGGTGCCGACATGCCCGTTGTCATCACAGTGTTGAACGCTTATTCCGGATTCGCCCTCGTGGCTGAAGGCCTGATGCTCGACAATCCACTCCTCACCAGTGTCGGATCCTTGATCGGTGTCAGCGGTTCCATTCTCTCATACATTATGTGCATCAACATGAACCGGTCGCTGACCAATGTTCTGTTCGGTGGAATCGGAACTCCGGCTGCACAAACCCAGAAGAAGATCGAGGGCGAGGTCACACAAACCAGCATCGATGACACCGTGGAAGCTCTATCCGGCGCCGAGAATGTCATCATTGTGGTTGGCTATGGTATGGCGGTTGCCAAGGCCCAGTATGCTCTTTCGGAGATTGTTAGCTTGCTGCGTGCCCGTGGTGTCAACGTTCGCTTCGCTATTCACCCTGTCGCTGGCCGAATGCCCGGTCAATGCAACGTCCTGCTTGCGGAGGCGTCCGTTCCATATGACAGTAAGTCACTGATACTCCTAGACTGATAATCCATTCGCTAACCATCGACGCAGTTGTCTTGGAGATGGACGAGATCAACGATGACTTCTCTGATACAGATGTCACCCTCGTCATTGGTGCCAATGATACCGTTAACCCTATTGCTATGGAGCCAGACTCGGCCATCTCTGGCATGCCTGTCCTGCATGCGTGGAAGAGTAAGGAGGTTATCGTTATGAAGCGGGGGATGTCCAGCGGATATGGTATGATATTTTCTCCGTCACTCCTGATGGATTCATCTAACATGTTTCACAGCGGATGTTCCAAACCCCATGTTCTTTATGCCCGGTACTCGAATGCTATTCGGCGATGCCAAGACCTCTTGCGATGGTAAGTATCACTTGCATAAATATCTAAAAAAGAAAATGGAGCTAATTCATTTCCAACAGCCATCAAAGCTGCCCTGGAGGCACGGAAGTAGGCTTCGGCTAGAACCCATGGCTCTTTTATGATTGCATGTTATGTTCGAATTATGCCTTTACTGCGAAATCATATGCTCTAGTAGGCTGTCTCATTGGTCTATTAATAGCTCATGCGGGATGAATTGCTCTTGTATCGGTTTACTCTTCAGTAGATCAAGTTATTCCATGCACTTGCAATCATATTTTTTAAAAAAGAAAAGGCTCTCCCGATCTAAGAAATGCCCAATTCGGTATATGGAAAGATCATCGTGGCGGAGTCCCCGAACCCCTAGCGGAGACAATAACAGGTGATGACGGTTGTGGACTATGGTGGGAGCTGAACCAACCTCCCGATCGATCGAGGTGGGTCAAACGAAATTTTCACATTTCACTCTATATTGCTCTGTATTGTTCCATAGAGTACAGAGTACGGAGTATAGCACATCCTAGGAGTTGACGAAATTCGCCCTCGTCGCTGTACCAAGGAATCCACCTTGCAAGCCCAGCCCGATTCCAGCCGGGTCTATGCAGGAACTCATCGAGTACCCCTTGCTAAGCAAGGCATGTAACTTTCCACAAACATATGATATCACTTGCGCTCTACCATAATTTGAGACCAGGAAATCTATCTTCATGTATATTGCCAGGAGGATACGCGGTTAACCAGATGTAAGATGCCTACTAGTAAGCTTGGATGGAACACGATCAATCTGCTCGTGTATAAATAGATACAAAGATGAAACTGCGTCACCAAAAGATGTCTTGATAGCGATTTAGCAATGTAATTCAGATGCAAATCGCATAACCAGAACCAGAACGAAAACGAATACGTTTCCCAAAATCAGATACCATGCGCCAACTATTGAAGTAGACATTAGCCATCCCCGAATGTGACTCGATGCAGCCTCGGGTCGAGTCGTGGACCGTAATATATTAGCTGATGAGAAACAGAGGTGACGAGGAAACGATAAAAAAAGAATATTCGCCAAAAGAAATCAGTAACCAAAAACACCAAATCCCCAAACACCAGAATAAGAAGTAAACCGGAACCGAGAGATCCCACCCCCCCCCCCCCCCCCCCCCCCCCCATAAAAAACATTACTAGATCAACATATTTGAAGTATCCAAAAAAAAAAAAAAAAGACAACTCCATCTCTAAGCCTTGGTATGCGACTTCTTCCCAAGCTTCAACCCCATGAATCCCCTCCCACTCGGCATAACACTATTATGCCGTAAGTGGCGACGCTTACTCGACTTCCGCACGAGAGGGGGGTCAGCATTGAGAGGCGGTGTGGGCTGTGTAGCGACGGAGATCTGCGAGGAAGAGGGACCATTGACATCGACCGCGGAGCGCAGACTACTCAGTGAATGAACGCTGGAGGCGGAGTGTTTCCTTGTCATGCGACGCATCATAAGTGGCGAGCGACTTGCGAGCATATTCGATACGCTGTAGGATGAGGGCACGCGCTTTGACGAGGCGGATGAGACCGAGGCCGGGCTGCATGCTCGGGTGAGGTCGCCGTATTTGTTTGTTTTGTTAAAGGTTGCGTCCTCTGCTGAGAAGGGAGTTGATGGGCGGGAGATGTAGGTGTGGACGCTATTCCCGCTTGTGCTACGCATTGAGGGAGGTCGGCGGGCACGGAGGTTTAGTGGTGGTGGGATTGGTTTGTCGGAGGCTGGGGCTCGGGGGCGGGGTTGGTACTCTTGTGTAGGGAGTGTGCGTGGTGGTGCTGGGAAATAGAGGACTGAGGGGATTTCGGAGACTCGGTTGATGGTTGCACTGGTTGCGAACTGTGTATCGTCTTCTAGGGCGGGGGTTGGGGCTGGCTTGGGCGCCTGCTTCATAGTGCTTCTTTTCTCGGATACTCGCGGTGACTTGGTTGCTGGGTCTGACGAGCGTGGCAATGTGAGTCGGCTGTCGGTCCTGACAAGCACAGAGCGGTTGCGGCTGCTGTCCCGGGAGCGGGAATGGCTGAGGCGAGATTTGGAGGCCTTTGATCGTGAGCCCAGAGCGTTGATCAGGACCAGTGTAGGACGTGTTCGAGGCTCCACCATAGTCACTTTCTTTGCCACCTGGATGTCTGCCTCCTCTACTGAAAAGACCGATGAGGGTGAAGTAGAGCGAGACCTTGGGGTGGTCGGCCTCGATGGTTTGGGCCAAACATATATCGATGGCTGTAAAAAGGTGCTGGAAGCGAGCTGTGGTGGAGAATCTGACGGCGGCAGTTCGAGAAACATCTGCTCTTCCGGATCAAATACGTACGTATCTTCGTCAAAGGTCGCATTACTGTTCCTCTTGATGGTAGCAGAAGAGACAGGCCGGGGCCGTTTGACTATTGGCGGAGCCCGAATATGTTGCTCTCGGTCAGAATCAGGGTCCAGAGAATTATCGTCCGCGCTGAGATCTGAATCATAGATTCCGGCTCGTGAGCCTACGGGCGAGGAAAGTAGATCTTGGGCGCCTGTATCAGATTCCGATACAGCCTCCTCGTCTGACTCGTATCGATCTTGGAGGCTATGCCTGCTCAAGCGATGAAGACTCAGCGATGGAGTCGGTTCGTACATGTTGCCGGCAGTCATATGGTAATCGATATAGAACAGAGTGATTGTTCCAAAATGTAGGTAGTTCCGGAACAAAAGGTAGAGGAACACCTTAAACCAGCCCTCGAATAAGAATACCAGGGTAAAAAAGGAGACCCAAGGGTATAATAGCAGTTATTCTAGTTCAAAGCTGCAAAGGAGGCCTGCAGATCCAGGGCGACCGAAAGACTTGAGGGGATCAAAGGCAATGAAGTCAATATATTAAGAAGGAAAAGAGGCATCCAGGGACTTTTTCCATGCCATGTCCTTGTACACGTGTGGAAAATAAAAGGGTTCAATAATCCTGAATTTACTCTGCTATTTACTAAATTTGTTTGGCGCGTGAACCTTGAGGGTGATTGGTGTCTCACCCTTGCATGGAGAAAAAAGAATACTGGCAAACCAGGATCAGTTTCAGCAGGGGGATAACGCGCAGGTATCGTGGCGGCAAGACTAGATTGAAACGAAGAAAATAGATTAAAAAGTCAAAAAAAAGACACAAAAAAAGAGAGAAAAGATATTTACGGAATATTCAGGCCCGATCTGATAGATCATGAGCTATTGTTGGTCAATGCCCATGCGCCTAATACTCCGTCAGATCTGTCTCAGTTGATTGGACACGTATATCAGGCCTTTATGCGCCGAACCAAAAAGAGTCAGATAACAGTGCGATTTCCAGACATCTCTCCCTGGAAGCATCATTCCCTACTATGTGCATAAATCCAAAGCTCCCTGGGGAAAACAGCCACTGAAAAGTTAGCCCGGGATCAGTGGGGCTCATGTATATAGTTCAAACACGCTACGAACTCCCTTGGCGAACGAATTTTTCTCTAGGTACCAGAATGTGATGGTCCTTGCTGAGATGTCAGGGGTCCTAAGTATCAACCTTGACCAGGGGGGTTGGGGGGGGGGCGTGGTATATCCTTCAGGGGCCACCGAGTAAAAAGGATTAGAATGTTGACGCTTTGCAACGAGAAAAGTGAATGTTAACCTCTTACACTCCTTACACACCACGGCGATTTTTGTCATATCTATCATATCTATCATATCTGGGATATACTCTACTTTTATGCCAAGTATTCAATATTAACTGTTTTGTTGCAGACACCTGCACGTTAAGCTCTTGACATTTGCTTCAACTTAATTATATTAACTACGGAGTAGGTGGGTCTCTACGCTAGAACTATTCGCCATAACTCCGTCGACACACGTCCAATGAGTTTAAAATCCGACAGGAAGTTCATGTGTCGATCTTCACTACTAACGACACGGCCACTACTGCATGCCATTGATTTTGTTTCTATGCTCCGGCAGAGGCCCTGCATGTCCAGTCTCGAAATAAACCATACGCATGGCATCCAAGCAAGGCGCTTGTTACTTTTCGACGAGAGGCAGCAAAGAATCCATTTTCCTCTGAATTGTACCCAGCCTCATTATAGCAATGGCTGGGCTGGGTGGTGGGAGACATCTATGGGAGCGCTGCACCGCTCTGTCGAAAAGCCGGGAGGCTGGATATAACCTGCCTTGCTCCTCACCTTGCGAGTTCAATTCCTTTTGGTTGACCCTGGAGGCTGAGGATCTGCTCGTTTCCTCGGGCGCTTTGCCAATGATCGTCTTGCTAATTGTGTCATAACGTCCGGGGAATATGTGATGCGTCAGTTTCGTGGCGTTGCTTGTGCCTCGTCGCACAGATCATGATGCGTGCATATGCTCCACCTGGCGGCTCTTGTTCCTGAGTTTCTGACGCACAGTCTCCAGTGTGATAGTGCACATTGTGCTCCGGAGGTCAGTTTACAAGTTTTATGTTGCCATATCAACAGGCTGAAGATTGGGTTGGTTTCCAATTATTTGGGCGAAATGGATAGATCTGGGTGATGGATAGCCTCGAGAGACAGTCTGGCTGTATTATATCTTGAGATACAGACTGTGTCTGCAGGATGCATCCCGGACCCCGGCTGTCCACGGTGTTGAAGGTGCTGACAGCAGAGATATTCAAAGCAAACATTCCTTGCCAACCAGATGCAAACCAGCTATATGCTATCTGCTATCTGACCTATCGTCTCTTCTCCAATCAAGACTATTGTTCAGGAACGGACATGATTACATTTATCTTGATAGAATAAACTAACGTCTATCAATAAATACTTTAATAACAAGGGCGAAAGGTAACAATCCAATGGCCTGCCACCAAACGGAGGGTGATAACGACAAACATGAACAGAAGAAGAAAACATTATAAAATACAACCATGACAAGACGGTCGGGGTAATCCAACAGCTATCCCCCCTTCCGGCAAGTCTTTCGACAAAAGTTTCGGCGCATGCATTCCGACAACTCCGAGGCACATACCCCATGCCCGGGTAATGGACCTGGCATCATGAGGTCATTCATTAAACAAATATAGGGACGCATCACCCAAGAGCAGCCACTCTGCCCTTCTGCTGCGTTTGGCCAGCATTGGATGAGCTTTAGATTCAATGGGCTCATCCGAAGATGATTCAACAATCAAACTCGGGGACAATATAATTCTTCCAAACCACACGCTGAAAACATTCAGACGCGATTGTGCTTCAGTTGATCATTTAGGCCTTGCGAGAACGGGTCACAGGGCCGTTGGAGCGGCCAGTGGACTTGGCGCTGTTCTGGGTACCGGCCGGGGAAGGAAGTTCGAAGTTTTTCATGTCGATCAACGATTTTTGGCCAGTGTTGCGGCGGGGGCGGCCGGTCTTGGCGGTCTTGTTATAGGTGGCAATGTAGAAGGAGATGAACAGGACCAAGTAGGAGCTGATGATGCCGATACCAGCCATGGCAGCGAATTCCTCACCGGCGCACTTGCCCATGTTGGGGAGCCACGGGAAGTAGGCAGAGGTGAAGTAGGTGTACGAGGCGAAGTAGATGAAGCCTTGAAACTGTCAGCATTCCATTCTTTGCGGGTTTCAAAAGGGCCAGAACCACTTACCAACGTCAATGACGAACTGGAGGATCTGCAGCATGGTGATGTACTTCTTCCACCAAATGCGAACGCCGCGAGCGCTCTGGAAGTAGTACCAGTACATCACGACATGGACCAGTAGGTTGATGGTGATGGGCACCCACTGCACGGCAGTCACACCGATAAGCTGAGTGTAGCAAAGGAGGGCGGTGGCACCGTGGTGGTAGGTGTGAAGGAAGGTCAACGGCTTCTTCTTGAGGACCAGGAAGATAGTATCAATGAACTCGACGTATTTGTTGAGGTAGTTGAGCTGTTCGAGGTTGTGTGAGTTTTTCTTCTTCTACTTGTTCAAGCGCTCCGCAACTTACGTAGTACAGAATAATCAAAGGGCGAGTCCAACCACCGTCCTGGTCGCAGATGGTGTAGAAGACTCCATGTCTCCAGAGAGTGGGGAGAAGCTGCTCGATGAACAAGGCCAGCAGGATACCGCTAACGGTGGTCAAAAGGAGGTTGTGGATCATGAACAAGGTGTTAAGCTTGAACGCGGGCAACTTCTTCATGACCTCACGGCCACCGAAGATGATGATGTAGTAGGTGACAAGCATCATTGTAGTCTCCTTCAAGGTGGACAGAGGGGTCACACCCTCAGTGAAGTTGAATTCGCTGGCGGGATATCCCATGACCTTCTCGTAGGCCTGGTCGAAGAGGGGCCACAAGTGCACACCAAAGGGTCGATCGAGGGTCGGGACCGAGGCATATTTAAGGATTTCAGACGCCATTATGACAAGATTTGGTGTTCAACCAAATTCGGTGTGGAATTGACGAAGATAGCCCTGGGAAGGCAAGCTGTTCTTTTCTTGACGGGCAGTAATGCAACTGCAGTAAGCCCCCAAACACAAGAAAAGCCAAACAAGTAAAGGAAAGGAATGAAAGAAAAAAAGAGCTAAAGAGATAAAAGTGGAAAAGGGGGAAGAGAAGAGAGGGAAAAGCTGGAGAAATGAGAGAACAATTACTTTTTGCGTCCGGCGTGTCCGTTGAGGACCCAAAAGGGTTTAGCGTGCCATAAAAAGGGGAAGATCAGGTTCCGATCACATCTACTGGAGTATATTGTCCGCACATGTGAAACATTGAGCTCTTGTAACTATGAAATGTACTTTGATTCTTTGATGTAAGAACACACATCACAAAATATGAAAGTTATTTTGTTGAATGCTAGGTTGTCCTCGGTGTGAAGCTATCACATGCTAGTCTAATGGCCGTCGCGCATTACACAAAGAAATATATGGAATTGCCGAGGACTTAACCGACCTATGTATTTTCAATAATTGACCTTTCGCTCTCGATGGCCAATTCATGAGATTCCAGTTCGCGCTTTGAGATCCAGATTCAAAGCGTTGCATTGAAAATGTATCGAGTCACTTCCTATTAGGGTTACAACCGGTCATTGGAGCGTGCAATTGGCAGTAGCCGAGCACAAAGGTCGGGAATTTTATACCCTGTTTATGCCAGCTTGCATCAATCCCCACAGTATAGATAGGATATCCATGGATAGAGCATATCCGGAGAGAAAGGCATATAAACTTTCTTTCATCTTCCCAACTTGTCTATTTCGGTAAAAGTGACAGTAAAAGTGGCAGTATTATCTATCTAATTCGAAGTCATTGAGATCCTAAAATATTGCCACCTATATAACCTTCGAATCACCTCAATTCCTGTTCGCATCCAAGGTCTAAGGTCGGAAGCTACCACTCATGTACTGTCCTATTCTGCCTAGCTTTTAGGCTCTGTAGAGTGACATTTTTACAATCGACAAATTGCATTGGGGCTAATTGCTCGAATAAGCCTTTGACCTAGTTGCGCAAAAATTGGATCTAAACCATATACTTGAACATCCAATCATCATTCATAGTTTATATTCTAAAATTTGGGATTACAAACTTTCCGAATGCTTGATCTTATCATATAAGATAGATGGATATAGATACAACCAAATCCAAGACAATATTGAACTCGACTGTCATGACCTTAAGACTCGGCCAATGACACGCATCTTGAAAAGGACGGCCATTCAGCCAATCAGCGGCCGCCTTTAGAGATCAAGACAGCTGGGAACGGGGCTAATCGGATGATGACTCAGCACCCGTGTCGCTGCCTCAGGCGTCAACACCACACCACCCGCAAAATCCTAGAGGCACTTCTCACCTCCCCTTCCCGTCTCCATCCACACCTCTCCCCTCACCATTGTTACTGTCCGGTCCACCGTGGTCCCCTTCCGAAAATGTCGTCTCTATCTATCTTCCGCGTTGCGACCCGCGCCGTTCGCCCTACCGGCTTCTTTAGAGCTCCCCAATTGACCCGGTCCCGGATGCAGTCCCCGGTCACTCTGGCTGCCGCCCGCGCCCACAACTTCGGTACCACCTCCATGCTCCGCTCCGGCCACGAGGATGAGACATACGAAGAGTTCTCTGCCAGGTACGCCCCCAATCGCAAGCCATTGAAGTCGGAGGAGAGGGATAAAAGCGCCCTGCACCTCCACGTTAGGCGCTTCCCGGAACGAACATCGGCGATCGTCTAGACATGATAGGAGCATTTTGGGCTGACTATGTATCCCAATGGTAGATTCGAGAAGGAATTTGATGGTGTGCAGGACGTTTTCGAGCTTCAGGTATGACTTATCTCGACTTCACCCGAGACATTGATCGGCATGCGATACATGGCATCAGCCACACCCGTCACTCAACATGCGGCTCCTATATCCGCACGAATTCGACAAATAACTAATGCATATCTTTGCAAACAGCGCAACCTGAACAACTGCTTCGCTTACGATCTCGTTCCCTCCGTCGAGGTCCTCACTGCCGCCCTCAAGGCCGCCCGCCGTGTCAACGACTTCCCTACCGCCGTCCGTGTCTTCGAGGGTATGATTCCACAACACCCATCTTGGATTATTAGTATCGTTCGTCGTCGAACCCAAGCTAACGTCAACTCGTGATTAGGTGTCAAGGCCAAGGTCGAGAACGCTGACCAGTACAAGCAATATCTCGAGTCTCTCGAGGGTCTGCGCGTCGAGCTGGGTGTCGCTCTCCGGGAGGAGCTCTACCCCCAGGAGGCGTAAATTCCCATCGTCAATTCCACTTTTACGTCAATTTTCTCTTAAACACACAGTACCCCCTCGCACGTTGTTTATCCAGCACTGTTTGACTGGCTGAGGATTAGGTCAGGTAGAAGAGAAAACTGTATACATACTTTAGAGATCTCTTGTGTTGTTAGTACTGCTGTTGTCTGGAAAAAGGTCCTGTGTGCCTTGGTTGGTTGGTGCTTAATCTATCTTGATTCCATCTTGTTCAGTCATCCTGCATTGTTGTATTATCAACCGCTCAAGTCAGTCCTCAGTCCTTGATCCTCAACCCTCAATCCTCTATTTCCTACACTTATATTACGGATAATATTGCTTCATAAATGGTAGAATAGCCAGACGGGTCTGAGTCTCGGATTTCATTCTTAAATAGCCAATATATCACACAACATGATGACTTTGACAAGCAGGCCAAGAGGCATCAGACCATAAACAAACAGAGCCTCCAACAATGACCATGCGCAATCGATATAAGTACAATGTAGACAAGGCCCCCCAGTAGCTCTCCAAGAGACAGCAACACGGCCAAAAACGTATTTTGTAACAAGCAATTAAAGCAAAGATAGGGAGGAAAAAAGGGAACACAAAATCATCAATACACACAGGTATGTGTCCGCTCAAACGCCGGGTACCAAGCCACTGATTTCCAGTAATATATGCAAGGTGATGCAAGGAATCGAGTCATAAGGCATTCTCCAGAATGACAAGAGACGAGAGAACATATCAAACGGGATAGATGATAATTAGTGTGTTCCAACATACTTGAAGTAAGTAGGTCGGCAATCCTCCTTGGAAAGGAAGTCTGCGCCTTGGAAGAACTGGCCAGCTTTGCAGCCGGAGCACTTGGGAGAATTGGGGCAGTTGAGATACGGGATGTGGTTGTACCCGATATCGCGGAACCTAGTGAAAATAGATGTGAGTGAGAGTTATTGAATGAGAGGAAAGAGTATGTAACCTACCAGTGGACGTTGGCGGCATCGGCGAAAAGACCAATGCCGAGGGAGTGGACAGGAGCATCACCCCAGCGTTCATAAAAGAATCCACCGGCGCGATCCAGGTGCTGGAAGTACGCCTCGTACTTTTCGCCGCGGAAGAAGTCGAGATCACCGATTTCGAAGTTAGACCAGAAGTGGCAGGTGGAGTATCCATTAGCGCCTTTGGTGTGTTCAGGACGAGCCACGTCATCCGTAATCCATTCCCACATGTTATTATCGCTGAGGTACGAGGGGTTGGCGGCGAGGAATCGCTGAGTCTCGGGCCAAAGGGACGGGATACTCTGTGGTGCGTCATAGAGGTTGATGGTGAAGCCGTAGGTCTTGTTGCCATCCTCCATGTATCGGAACACATCGTAGTCGACGTCGCAGAAGAACTTAACATTGGGCTCGATACGCCAGTAGTACCGGTAGCCTGCGAGGGCGGGGTGCTTGTAGAACATGCCGCTGTTCCAGCGACACATCTGGTGGTAGGAGACCTTAGAGCTATACTGGATGTCTTGTTCCTCCAACATCTTTGCGGACTCGTGGAAGAGGTCCATATTGATCCAGCTTGGGACGTCCCAGTGTTCCTTGGGCACAAGTTCTGCATCTGATGTTAGCTATGGTTGCTCTCGTTCTAACCGGTCTATAATCCGTACCGTATTGGCACTTGGCCTTGGTCATTGCCTGAGTCTTCTGTTTGAAATCCTCTGTGAAGGGGACATCATTGAAGAAGATATATGGATAGTTGAACTTGCTGTTCCAGGTTCGCTCTAGGTCACTCATTGTCGAGAGCAGTTGGTCCAGTTCCTCATTGCGGACGAGGGTAATGAGCGCAGCATTCGTGCGGGCTGACTTTTCACTATTGGGGGAGTAATCGTGCTCATCGGCTCGCCATAGATTTCCTGAAGGTTCTCCAGTAGCTATAAGACTCGTTAGTATGGCACTTAGAGTGCGGTGCTTGTAATAAGAGGTGCTGCAAGAAACCGGGGTCACGCACGATCTACAAGAGGATCCTTTTTCATGCCATGAGCCAACTTAGACCCTGGTTCAGAGGAGCTCTGGTGTAATTGGAAGACAAGAAATAGACAGAGAAGGATGCAAGCTGCACCCAGCATGCGAATCGGTCGCGCAACAGCCATGATGGTGGTTATTTGCTTAAAGGGGGGAGATGGTCGGAGAGTGAGAGAGGCGCGGATTAAGGGTGGCCATCATTCCTTATCCGGACTAGCGCCATTCAAGCAAAACATCCGGGCCTCTCTTCACTTTATGCTTCTTCACTTTATAACGCCTAGAGACATCTCGATGTGATTTATTTTTGATCCTGGATCCGAGCTTAGGTCTGAATATGGCTCTCGCGGCTGATTTGAGTACGCTTGCCGATGCCTTGATCACTTCCGTCACCAAGATATCACCGGACCAGAAGGTAATATATGGATTGAATTTTCATCATTCTCATATCGTCGTGTGTGGTGTACTGATGTCTATATAGGGGTCTGCGCGTTTTCAGAGTCTGAAGCGTCGTGTACAAGGGGGTCTTCGGACTGGTTCTCATACGCGCACCGACCAGTTTGCAGTCGCCAAGCAACTCGAGGGACTACAGGAAAAGTTTCAAATCTTGAATAGAGATGAACTTGCCGAAGCCCTTCATATACGCCTTGTGGAGCTGGAGAGAAATCAGAACTCCTGGCTCCCGGAGATCCTGAGTCTCTTACTGCAACTCTCAGATCGCCCCGCTCTTTTGTCTACGGTCAAACGTTCAGAGGAAGGCGCCAAGGCACCAGAACCAAAAGAAACTCTTTCTTGGTCAGACCTCAATGCAGATGGGACTGCCTTCAGTGATGAAGAAATTTGGGAACAGGTAGACTTTGCTGGCGATTCGTCAGATGACGACTTTTCATCCGTTGCCAGTGATGTATCTCTCCCAAAGCATAGGCCCCAACCCGTCACGACGGTGGATGAAGGTTATACTATCCCAGAGGACGTTTTTGTTCCGACAGAGGATGAAAATCTTGTTGTCTCTCTAGAAAAGGCACAATTCTGGAGAGCGGAGAATCATCCTTCGTTGCCCCAAGGAGGTGGCTCAGCCACCTCGCGACTTGTGACAGAATCCCAACTCGCTAGAGAGACTATCTTTATGCTTCAGGGCCTTCCGACGTCTATTTATGTATATTTGGATGATGATTTCGGGGCGGATCGAAGATACATGCTCGCACATTCATCCAGGGAATCCCTGGCCTCGCTTTTGCGGTGTTTCAGCGAGATTGGCGCCAAACTCAATAATGTACGGTGTTTCACCAAGCTCCCACAGACAATTCCATACATGCAAACATTCTGCCGGGGCATAGAAGATCGTCTTCTTGAATTTGATAGAGTGTTATCTCAAGTTCAGTGCACATATCTTTCCGCCGGGTCAACTGTCAGTCTCATCCAGCTTCTTGTTGACGTTCGTCAACACTCTCACGAGCTAGTATTGCTCGCAGAAATGATCACAAAGCTAGGCAAAAACTCTACCGATCAGCCAATGCGCTGCCTTGATTTGTTATACAATTTAATATGCAAGTTGGAAGCCCTTGGCGACGAAACTTCCTCTCAGCGCCTGGCGGAGCTATTCTTTATGTGTTTCAAAACGTATTCAAGCTCGATTCGACTCTGGATGGAAACAGGTCAGGTCGATGCTTCGGACAGCACTTTCTTCGTGCGAACCAATCGTGAGAACGGGGATCTACGAACTCTTTGGCATGACTGGTTTGTGCTGGATACGGGCCACAGGAATCAGAGGATCCCTCGGTTCCTCGAAGCTGGTGTCCAGAAGGTTTTCACGGCAGGGAAAAGCATGGTGTTTCTGCGCCACCTGAATGCGCCACCAGACATTGAGGCCATGAGATTCGAGGACCTCTATTCCCAGGACTCCTCAGTATTACTTCCTTTCCCTGGGCTAGTAGAGTCTGCTTTTGAAAAACTTGTGGATGTGGATCATTCACTCAGTGCTAGCCTGTTACGAACAGAACTCGACCAACAATGCGGATTACGGACCTCCCTGGATGCTCTTCAGCATGTCTATCTCGCCAAAAACATGAGCGCCGTCAGCGTGGTTGACGCCAAAATCTTTGAGCTGATCGATCGGGGTCGTTCCTGGGACGACAGGTTCCTGCTCACTGAGATATCGAGGACAGCTTTCAATTCAGTGTCTGTCATTGACACATCAAGGCTCCTTGTGCGGCCAGCTAGTACTCCATCGCGGGTTTCTCAAAACAATCATCGAACCGTGGGTATTCTGGAAGCAATCTCAATTGATTATGGCCTCCCGTGGCCTATTGCGAACATAATCACCGATGAAGCAATACACACTTACCAGCGGATCTCGACCTTCCTGATGCAAATTAGGCGCGCTAAATATGCCATTGTGAGACAGCGTATTCGCGACGCCCGCATCACCACACCTGACGACAATGACACATTGGTGCACGCTCTACACCATAACATGCTCTGGGTCCTCGATTTTATCTACGGCCATCTGACCTATCTTGTGATCTCCACAGCAACCAAATCTCTACACAAAGATCTATCTGGCGCACAAGATGTCGACGCTATGATAGCGGCTCACCAATCCTACATGTCCTCCTTGGAAGCTCAGTGCCTCCTCTCGAAAGAGTTATCACATATCCATGATGCAATCATCAATTTTCTAGATTTGTGTGTTCATTTCGCAGATCTACAAGCTGCGCACTTGCTCGGCGACGAAGACCAACACCTGGAGAATTTGAAGACACCAGACACAAAGAGAGACCCTGAAGACGAGTTCGATACCGATGATGATGAGGACTATGATGATATGAACCACGAACACACACTCACAGTCTCATTTCGTGATTCGACCTACACCCAACAAATGAAAACCGTCAATAATCATTTCAGCCATCTGACCACCGTCGTCACAGATGGTCTGAAAACTTTAGCTCAGGCAGATGGACTTCAAAGTTGGGATATTCTTGCCGACAGGCTCGAATGGAGACGAAATTGGCGTAGGCTTTGATACATGACAAAAATACCCTTGTTTTCGTTCTAGCGGGAGTTGGGGTTATATACTAGCTTAAGAATCGGCACTGGGCAGTGGAAGAGCCAATGGCTTTTCTTTTGACATGAATCAATTTCTGTCTCAAAATAAAGTAGCGCTGAGCGTGTTTTCTGGCCGATTCAGAAACTCAAACGATTGATCAATCCTTTTTTTTTTGGTCCGGGGGCCGTAGACATGGACCGCATGGATCG